CGAAAGTCACGTGACAGCACCAAGAGACAGACAACACACGAGCCAAAGCCGTTTGCACACGCCGCCTTGAATTCTGGATGTGGTTATACTCGATTCTTGGAAATGTTCGCGAGTGTTTGCTGGCAACGTGGTTGGAAAACCGATGGGAAGATCTAGACACCGAGAGAGGAAAAAAAAGATCAACAACGTGACTTGTCTGATCGTTCGAGATATTCGGAGGTTATTCGGACAATTTTTTCCCCCGGAGAAAGGAAATGTCTTCCAGATAGATAAAAGTTAACAGATCGATATCTAAGCTTTACTTCAAAAGTACAGTAGGTGCAGTTGATCTGTGAAAAGGAGCTCGAGGGTATTCTTTCTGTTTTCAAAAACTCTCTCCTCGAATGACAAATTTCCCGCTTTGATATATGCTATTTAATAAGAAAAAAAAAGATTTGATGAAGATCCAGCGGTCGGTAAGGTAGGAATGCGCTCGCCGAACGAAGTTGGCGCAACACGTCGGTGTGAAATGTACCGTCGCAGTCATACATGCACGGGCGCATGTATGTGGGTGTGTGTGCGTGTGCGCGCAAGAGAGACAGAGAAACGAGACGAGTAGGAGGGTCGTCCCGCTGGATGCACACTATATAGAACGCCAAAGCCGTTTTCTCTGTCTCGTGTGCGTGACTACGTGTCAGTGAAGGCGACTATAGATGTGTTAGGGGGAAACGAAAGAGCCGCATTGTATATATCGCCCATTTTTTCTTTCTACTGTAGTAGGTATATATATATATATATACACACCACATATACGTTTCTCTTGAGCATGTGCCTCGGACAAAAAATCTTTGACGAATTGGATACAAAATAAAATGAGGCAGAGGAACGATAAGTTGAAGCGTTATCAAGAGAAAGGGAAAGCGAACGAAATCTCTCTCTCTCGCTGAGTTCCCCCCGAAAATTCAAACGCGTCCTAAAGCCCTGCCGCAAGGCAAATACACTCGCACAGAGAGAACCCTCCGCTGGGTGCTCTCTCGTGCATTTTTGCTCTGACGCTGCTGCTGCTGCTGGTGCTGTGTTGTGAGAATGGACGCCTAGGCACGAAGAGTAAAAAGTGTGCGAAATTTGTTGACCAGAAAAAGAGAGAGAGAGAAAAAAAGAGGAGGTGGTTTCGTTAAATTCCAACCGCGTCGATGTTTCGTCTCTTTCTTTATCGTGCATTTTTTATCTTTCTCTCTCGCTCCCCTTGCTCGCTCAGCTGTTCGAATACTTTTATGATTTCACGTACTGATTTCGTGATTGGGTTTTTTAATGCTTTCTCCCGTTTTATAAAGGCGTTGGAGCGTGAAAAATAAATGTTGGAAAATATTTGACAGGTTTTTCTTTTCCATAACTAAGATTAATGATAACGGACGTTTTGTTTATATTACATACGTGGTATTTTCTTATAAGAAATTTCAATCAAACAGACCCCAGATTTCTCTAACACTTACAACTATATAAATAGGAGAGAAATAAACAAGCAGCTACGTTATGATATATTTTCCAAGAATATCAAGTTATACATTGATACTTCCTTGTCTATCTTGTACTTCGGCATGCCTTTGAGGTATATAAATATTCAGTTACAGGCATGACATGATTTAAAAAGAATATACTTCAACGAGATGACGGGAAAATCAATATTGCAAAAAATATGCGACTGTTGTCGGCATATCGGTATATAATGGTTTGCAATAATTTTATTCATAAAACATTATTTTGTAATAAGCTTAAGAATGCGTACTGCAATTATTAAAGAGCTTTCGAAGTATTGCAAAAAAGGACACCAGTAAATAATTTATTTACAATGGAAATAAACGATTAGCGTTTTTTTTTTCGAAAATTGCGATAATTTATAAGTAATAAATAAGCTACAAAAACAAAGTTTCGTAAGATTTCATGGAACGCGTTATCAACAAATGATTGAACAATCCAGTAGCTTTCCTACAAACAAAGTTCTTCTCGAAAGAAAAAATTACATGGACAAATAGCCACTAAAATAACCATAAAAGTCCATCTTAGTATAAAATGAGAAAACGTTGGGATGACGTGTTTGCAATTTATTCGAGCAACAATGGAAACGCCATCACTTAAAAAAAAAAAAAAAAAAAAAAAAGAGCAACAGCACTGTCGATTTCCCTTCTTAATCAACCTCTCATCTCGTATCTTTAATTATATTTTCCATCTCGCTCTTTCTCTGTCTCTCTCGCTTCCTCTCATTATATCACACAGAAGGCTCTCTATCTCGGCTATGTCCCCTCGCGCTCGAACACATCTCTCTCTCTCCGTCTGCCTTTTACATAGTTTGCACTCTCCCCTTCTCTGTGTGAGCTTAGTGCTTTTGTGTTGGTGCGCGCTGGCACACAAACACACGGCCAAGTCCCCCATCGGAAATATAAAATGTCGCGGAGTCGAGTCTCACTCGCCATTGGAGGAAGATGTTTGCCAGCGATATATACGGGCTGACTACACTCGTATGTGTGTACGTGTATGCGTGCGCGCGAGAGAGCTGTGGGGTGGGGCGGAAACGCCGCTTAGAGACAGCTGTGGCAGGGACGTAACGCGAGAGTCCCGGGGATTATGTTATACACGCTTTCTCTCTTCCCCCCTCCCCCTCCCCCAAAAAAAAGAAAAAATTCTATACTTGTCGCACTCGCCATTTTCATTATTACGTGTTTTGTTTTTTTTTCGAGACGCTGACAGGGCAGAGAGGGAGGGAAAAATGTTGCTGAGTTAATCGATTTTTGCAATGTCAGGTGTGAGCAATGCCTTTTTTAAGATAACGCGCGCTGCTGCTGTTGTTGTTTGGACGACCGGGATTGGAATGCGCTCGTTATCGGAAGTATTCACGCGATATAGCATAGCTTTAACCTTTAGATATATACCCAAAAATGCGAAAACTCCGATGTGAAATTTTTTCGACGTCACAGGGTATCAAGTGAAAATAACTTGCACGTCGTAGACTTTTGGGAAGTCAGAAGTATTTTGCAAAAATATTCAATGACTGTCTGGGGATAATCATAATGGTGAATCAGAAAATTAATAATTAGCCAATTTTATCCCAAGGATATAAAAACATAAATAAATGCTTTTTCGTTTTTTACAATCGATAATGAGAAAATTGAATATTTATGCATGCATACAAAATTTTTAAAAAATTGTTAAAGATAGTGTTTATCTAAAAGTTAAAATAATTTAAAAACATATTATCATATAGAAAATCTATTGTTAAATTATATTCTCATTTGAATATAGAAGAAAACTTCTTTTTTAACTCAGGAAGAAAAAACTTTTATAACTTAAAAAGACTGTCTTTTCGCTTCGGCGAGCCAGTCCCCATGCAAATGAATGATGAACGAGCTTTTAATTTTGGATCCTCACAAAACAGATTTTGTTATAATGCTATAGAAATATATTTCTTTCTGTAACGGTCGATGGGGAAAAAGTGTTGGAGACCTTTGTACCGTTTCCATTTTTTTATATTTAACGTAGTCTTTATTGGTAAAAGATAATGTTAAGAACAATAAGAATTGACAACTAATCAGTCGAGTCTTAGTATCTCAACGTCAACAAAATAATAAATGTTATAATACAACGAAAATTATGGGCTTAATTATTTTTAAAATTAGATACTGACCATACGAGTTAAAGTAAAATATGCTATTTACGAAAATGTCAAAATTCATGTAAAATATGTTCTATTTTATTTATTTCTTAATATGTCACCGAAATTGCATTAAAATAAATTTTTCAAAATAAACATAATAATATTAATCTTTTGTATCACGAATGTGTAAAATAATTCAGATATTTCAATTAATAATTTCTAATGGTAAATTTAAATTTCAGTTGAGTCTAAATTAAATTTAATTTCCATTAAAAATATATTTTTCCATAAAAATACATACTATATCACCTTATTTACAAATGAATCAGAAAGTTTACCATTAAATTTTTGAAGGAATATTTTTAGTATTACTGTTGAAATTTTTGAAAAAATGTTATACAATAACAGTCAATTAATTATATCTTGTTTCCTCTTAGAAAATAAAAAAAAAATCAATTATTTTAGATGATAAGAATAAGTGTCGATTGTCATACAAATATTAGGAAAAATATTGCTTTTTCCAGCACTTGAAAGATTGAGAATGAGAATCGTAAAAACGAGGCACATAAGTTCCAGGGAATTCTCACGAGGGTCGTAAAAACGAAACAGTTTGACCATTCCTTTTCATAATTTATGAAGAATCTCTCATTTCCCAAAGCTCAATTAATAGTCAAAAATATAATGATCCGATGTATGAGAAATCATTATAGAAATACACAAAACAGCGTTACAACAAAACTTTGCAAATAAACAATCGACCAACTGAAGGAAGACCCTTGAAAGTTTGCCCATAAAATCTAAAACAAAACAAAAAGTCACGTATAAGAAATAACAACCGTCATCAGAAAAAATAGATCCTCCCCCAACGTCCAATTGTATTGCTTGTAGAGGCTGCCTCCAAAAAAAATAAGAGTGCGTAGCACAGTAATATTCGTCTCCCCCTGAAAAGGAAACAAAGAGGCCTGGTATGCACCCCGTCGAAAAACTTCAATCCCCTGGACGCGAATCTAGCTACGTCCCTGCGTGCCTTTCGTCTATATACGTATATACGTATCTACACGAATATCCATTCCTCGTCCCCCTTCTGTCGAGGCGCAGAGAACGCACACAACTGCGGAGCTTCTACAAGCGTGAAAGCAGGCACACGTACGCACACAGACACAAGCGCGGCTGGCTGGCTCTCCCTCGCTGCTATCCATCAATTGACCCCACCATAGCCGCCGAAGCGCGGCCATCTCTGTGGCGTTAGCTCGGCCCGATCCCGTTACGCGAGGCATGCGCAGTCGGTAGACTCCACCCCATGAGTGGAGTCGAGTTGGCTTCGCCGATTTGTCGGTTGTTGGAACCAATCGTCGCCACGCCAATCGGCCTCCTTTTTCGTCTCGACAGTGACCAATCCCGACTAGCAGCCGCGGAGTGGGGTATTCAAGCCAAGCGTCGGACAAAGACAGCACCAGACAAGTAAGAGAGACTACAGCAGACGCACCACAGGCTTCCTCTTGGGGCTCTCTCTACGTACACTCTCAGTGTGTACGTGCGCAGTGAGGTCGACGGATAACGGAGCCTGTTTGCAGTAACTTCTTATTTTTCGTTACCTCGTTATATTTAAGAAACGAGGAAAGTCGGCAAAAGTGTCAGTCGTAACTCCAAATCGTGATCAAGTTCGATTCTCTCCGCCCCACTCCACCTCGACCGCGTGAGACTACAGCTGATTGATATAGACGGAGACAGACAGAGATATATATATATATATCTTATACAGTTGTGCAGTGCCTATCTCGTATATAGCTGTGTGCTTGCGCGCGCGCGCGTGTGTGTGTGTGTGTGCACTGGTAGACGGTGAAGTGTGATATTCCAAGCCTTGTTTCGTCTACCGTATACGAGTACAAAGAGAAAGAGAGCTTTTATTATCTCGCGGAGGATGCGAAGAGAAGATTAGAGTGCAAGATAGTGTTGGTGTCCAATGCCGTGCGAGTGTGCGTGCAAGCGCCAGCAAGAGCGAGAGCTACTTCAAAACGTGCCAAGGTGTGACTGCGCAGGCGCACTGTAAGTATCGCAGTACATAATCCAAACATCCTTGCAACTCAAAACTTCTGCTTTTCTTTTTCGAAAATTCGAACTTCCTTCCCTCGTGTCAATTTGTCGTTGCGTATTCGCCCTCGTTACGGACGCTCGCATCAATTATCACACCCGTTATCTGCTTTCGCCTTCCTTTTTTTCGGTGCGGCTTTGACCCTCCTCTTCTGGCAAATAAAAAAAAAAGAAAAGAGAGGCCTCTCTCACTCTCTAGGTTAGGGAACGCATGGTGGGGAGGTTAGAGAGCAGCTCCAATTTCCCCCTGCTGGCTCGACTACTACGGCGAGTGAGCACTGCTATACTTATATAGCTCTCGGCCGTGGAAAAAAGAGAAAGTAGTCGCGGCCAGTGCCGGGATAGGAGAGCTCTCAGCGCGCGACCTCGGAGAAAAATCAGCCTAACCTTTAAAAAATCAAAGAGCGAGAGAGAGAGAGAGAGAGAGAGAAAATCGAACGGAAAAGAGAGAGAGAGAGAGAGAGAGACGAAGGTGTGCGTTTACAACAGAGTGGGGGCAATACATCATTACCTGGCGCGATGGCGAAAGCGTGTTCGGTGCGTACAGCCCCGTTCCATCGCGGCTGCCTCGTTATTATTGTTATTATGCGGAGACGGGATGATTGTCGGGGCCCCCTCGCTGCGCGCGCGAGAGAGGCATTCAACCGTGGGTAGACATGGAGGGAGAGAGAGCGAGAGAGAGGCATGCTATGCGGGAACCTCCCCCCCCTTATTTTTCATTCGTCTCCGCTGTCTTCATTCTTTGACTCCCCCCGCACGCTCGCGTTCGTTCGTTCCCCCCTAAGTTCTCTTTCTCTCTCTCTCTCTCTCTCTCTCTTCGTGTGCCGCCTTTATCCCCCTTTTTGGTGAAGCTCGTGCGTGTGTGGCAGCAAGAGAGAAAAAAGGATCGTCCATTTCTTCTCTCTCGCCCCTTCCACTTTTGCTCGTTCGTTCGTTCGTTCGTTCGTTCGTTCGTTCGTTCGTTCGTTTGCTTTCTCATCTCGTGCCATGTTGTCTTCTATCTCTCTCTCCCGAACGTGGTTTCTATACGTTATAAGACGTCCGTGTGGGAGAGCTGCGCGCGTGTGTTGCGTGCTTCACGAACTTCTCTTTTCCAAAGCATGTAACGTGCACGCTTCGCTCTCTCTCTCTCGCTCGTGAAAAAAGTTTATATTCCACGCACAGGCCTGCAGGAATGCGTGCGTCGTTTGGCCCTGACTTGTTTCACGTATGTCTGCATAATATTTTTAATGCCCTATCTTGCGTTTATGCCGTCGACTCTCTCGCTCTCGTTGCACAAAGTACGCGGTGAGTTTTCCAAGTTTCCTCGCTTGATATCTTTTGCGTATCTTCAATTCGGATGTGTCGTCGCTTTTAAAAAAAATTTTTTTTTTCAATGAGCGGAGCTCTATCTCGATGAGCGCTGTGTTCCTCCGGTACAATTGAAAGTTCATCCTCGACATTGACGAATCTCTCTCGGGATCCATTCTCAAAATTACAGCTGAAAGCCTCCGCGCCGTAACTGTGCATTTAATTAGCTAGCCTCACTAGCAACGCGTGCATGCGTGCAAGTGTTTCTTTTTTTTTTCTTTTTTTTACGGGAACAGATTCTAATCTGCATTATCGCGTACGGTTAATTAACCCTAATTAAGAGAAAAAGAGAGAGAAAGAGAGAACTAACAGCACGCGTGTAACGGACTACGAAGAGAAATAAGTTTCGCAAAGCTAACGAACGTCGAAAAGAGCGACATATATTTGGACTTGGCCACGGGGACTAATCGAAATGCAACAACCTCGCTGAATGATAATGAAACGGGCGAGAACAAGAGAAAGAAGAAGCGGGCGCGCGAGCGCTCGCTGGCCGGAAGTCGTGCGCTGATTTAATCGATAGGAACCAATGTATCCAGGCCTAATTAAGGCGAAATAAAAAGGAGAGCGTAACGAGCGCGCTCGTTGGCCGAGCCAGAAAAAAAGGCCGGAAGCCAAGCCTCCCGGCAGGCGCGCGGCGCTGAAAAATTGGGAAGGGAAAATTTCCTCTCGTATTTTTTCCTTTTTTTTTTTTCTTTTTCCGAAACACCATTAATTAAGCTCGGCCGTTTCCCATCCATTCGTCGTCCTCTATATCTCTCGGGGCGCCTGCTTCGCGTCTCTCCGTCTCCCTCTAATTCCATCTCTATCTCGGGCCAGCATCACGCGCACCCTCTTCTGTGCTGGCGCACAAACACACACGGACTCACGTATACGCACGAGTGCGCGCACACGAATGCAGAGTCTGCGCTCCGTATACTTGCAATACCTCCGCCTCTCCATCACCCCTCGGCGTCGATTCCTTTGAACCGGTCTCTCGCTCTCTCTCTCTCTCTCTCTCTCTCTCTCTCTCGGGGGACTCCCCCGCTGCGAAAAGGGGGGCTTCTCTTCCACATGTACACTGCGAGCCATGCCGCCAGGGCTTTCGGTGCGCGCGCGCGTGTGCGTGCGCCGCTAATTATGGTGGCTGCAGGCTCCGTGGGACGACATTTTGTTTCGTCGAACGCTTCAAGATGGATCGTAGCCACCTTCGCGGATGGCCTGCGACCTGCCCTCCTTCTGCCTCTCCTTGCCCCCCATAGACGGGACGCGCCGACGCCGCGCCGGCCCCGCGGTTCTTCGCTCCTCTCTCCCACAATTCGACTCGGCGCCGCTCGACTGCTATACCTGCGCCGCCTCGACTCGCTTGCAGGTCCAAGATTGCCCGAACGCTCTCGCGGACGAGAGACTCGCCGCCGCTAAGTTTGCCTACGGTCGGCGGCCGAGAGCTGCGGTGGCTCCGTTTCTCTTTTTTTATTTCTTCTTTCTCTGTCTTTCTTTATCTTTTTACGAGCCGGGTTGCGTCGCGGCCAATTTTCACTCCAAATTTTTCTTCTCTCAAGTGGCCCTCGCCCGCCCTCGGTTTCCTTTTCGCTGTAGTGCGGTCGGGCTGTTTTCACTTGTTACGCCGCAGAGTCGTCGATTTTTAACTTGCACGCCTTTCTCGCTCGATGCACAACAACGTGCCTTTCTCGTCCGATGACGCTGCGATTATTCACGAAAAAACTGCGATTACCGAGAGCCGTGATATTTTACCCAAACGTGATCTTAGATTTCAAGTAAACTCAACGTAGAAATAATTCAGATAACAATATCAGAACGCACTCTACACAATGAACTTTTTTCTATCTACCCAGCTGTGATTTATAATGCGAAATGTAACAGGTAGCATCTGGGAATTCTTTTTTACAACGTGAATGTAGTGGCAACTATAACCCCATATTTACTCAACATGCAATACAAATGTTTCCATCATCATTGCAAAAGCTCAGGGCCAACTTGCCTTGAGTTAGTTTTTTATATACGTATATGCCATACTATTTGATAACTCAGCTGTTTCCTGTAGCTTCAGTTTTCACTTTTCAAAACAAGTGATGATTCGTTCATTGTGAAGTCACTGAACTGCCTCAACTTGACACTTGACTTGTGCGCCATTCGAGAAGAGCCTCGGTGGCATTATTTATCGACCTTATTATACTCCTTGGCTGCACATTTATTTTACAAGAAAAAAAATCCTTCCACTCTGCAAACTTGCAATCTTGACGAAAGAAAGTTGAGTAATGAAATTGAAAATGTTCAGCGGAAGTAAAGATTTCAAGTGAAGGATCACAGGAATAGAGACTGGCGTAAAGCAAGCGCAAGTAAAAGCGAGAGTGAAAAGTTCAGTAGCTCGAGCAAAAGCTGTTTTAAAAGCATCGGCATCGCGGCGATCCCTTTCAGACAAGTGCTCGTAGCGTTCGATTCCAATGACACACTCTAGTCAATTGAGTACTAGAAAACTCACTCAGGCTCCCACTGAGCCAACTTGCCGATAAACGCCGTGAAGAGTGAACGTCGCGGAATCGAGAAGCAGTTGGCCAAAACAAGAAAGCGCATACGTATACAAGCACAGAAACTCGTGTTTCTCGCGAGCGCGCGCCTCCTACAGCGAGAGAGAAGTGTATGTATGGTTGCGTGTGTACGCGTAGATGGAAAAGAAAAATCGGATTGTTGCAATGGCCGTGTGACTCAACGAATTCGTGGGAATCGAGCGAACCGGTCCGCCGCGAAAGTAAACTATCCGTCGCGCGTATGCAGGCGCGCACGCAAATTTGCCTGCGGCTACTATCTTTTTTTTTTCCTATTCTTTTTTTAATTTGTCGCCGTTTGCGCTCAAATGAAAACGCACGCCGTGCACGCTTCGGCTTCCGGCTCGTGTGCGCTGCGACTAGCACCACGATTTTCTCGGCCGAGATCGCAACCTTTACCCATATGTATCTATATGTACGCATACGTGTGTGTATATTTACGCTTCGGCTGTGTACACACGCGGCGGACAGCGGCAGCACACGACGGAGAGATAACGAGCCGATCGAGCGCAGTGTCGTCCTCCCCTCTCTGTCCTCTCTTGCTCTCTGATATTCGGACGAGAAAGCTTCCCCCCCCCCTCTACGCGCGTTTGATAGCTAGTGAAAACTTTGTTTTCTTTGATTTCGTCGTCTTTCCGACGAGTGTGCCTCTACACACAATCTTCTCTCTTTCCTGTCTTTGCGAAGCGTCCTACGAACGACCGAATGTATTTTTTTTTCTTTCTACTTCCAAGGTTTGCTTTGCTTTGATGAAAGGCAATTCCTAAATTCTCCGACTGGAGCATTCGTGTTTGCGACGCAATGTAGTACAGAAAAAAAATGTTGCCGATGAAATATACGTAATGTGCTCCCTCGATACGAGGAAATCCTTAGATATATTAAACAAATCAAGTGTTTGTTCCAAGTATCAAGAATCAGACTATCTATGACGTAAAAAAGTTGATCGTTTTATTAAACGCGCAAATAAGTAATTTATAGCGAAGATGATGATATCCAGTTAAGCGTTAATAACACAATTACGAGGAAGATGATTAGAAATTGAAAGGGGGAAAGAACTTGATTTCAAGAAGAGATTATTATACGTTCCGTGTTGTCATAATAAAAAAATATTCTAAGCCTAAGTGGAAATCTTCCACGTATTTTCCCACGTTAACTACAAAACACGGTAAACTTGATTTGTACAAATAGCCCTTGGGAACAAATTTCATTTCAACAGCTTTCGACTAAAGTAAAATAATAAACAGAAAGCAAAATAAAAAATCAACAGCTGATTACCATTATAAACCCATACTTCAACGCACAATTCTTTGACTTATTGTTGAGGCAACACAACTACTCCACGAATATTGACAAATGTCCCAGACTTCGATGCTTCAAATGTAAAACGAGCAGATTGGATTTTAGAACATACCTTATTAAACAAATTAATCATGTGCACTCAATCTTTTTAACGCTTTCTTCAAACAACTATCGTCCCAAGTTAACAGTCATGCGTGAGATATAACCGAGAGAAAGAGAGAGAAATTCCATCTCTCCTTCCCACAAGTACACCCGCGAAACAGAAAAAAAAGAAAATCTGTTGCTTGGCACGTATGAGAGCGCGCGGGACCTAACAAAAAAAGTAAACAATCGCGCTACTCCCTAGCACCTTTTCCCAATTAGCGCGGGAGCATATTCCAAAACAAATAAAGCCCCCAAGAAAAATCAATCCGCCTAGCAATAAGGCGTCTTTGGATCCCGTCATTGTCGTCTAGGTTATGTCACTCGCGGCGATCATCGTAAAACTTACCTAAATTTGAAATGTTTCCTGCGCGTATCTTGATTCAACAACCACTACACGCGAATTGCACAGACACTTTACGAGCAAAAAACGATTCAGCTTGTCGTCCTCAGCGTATCAGAGGCAAATGAAAGCCCCTCTAATGATAACGCGAGACGCCATCCGCGTACACATCGCACTTAGCGGCCGCGCGCGCGCCTCTCCATCGGCGCCAGGCGACATAGAAAAAGGTTATCTCGATGATGACGTAGTATATGTGTGTATATGTATGTATATAATAGAGCGCTTAATTGTTACTTTTTTATGGATGCGGGGAAACATGCCTTTTAGGCGGACAAATTGATTTGACGAAATTACTCGAGCGGGACAAGCTCTCTTTGACCTTTTTTTATACGCCGATTGATCTCTAGTTTCATTTTTCATCGTTTGTTTTTTCTTCCTCTGCCCCTTTCTCTCTCTTTTTCTCTTTCTCTCTCACTTTCGCTCTCGATATCGTACTCTGCTCGTAAGTCGCGCTCATGGTCTAGTTTGTTTTTGATGGCTTTAGCTATATATATTCTTCGAATTTCTTCATGATATAGGGTCAAGGTTGAAAAACGAATCATCAGCCAAATTCTTTTTAAACAGTTAACGATATATTTGGTTTTAGAAGGAATTAACCTGCTCGAAGTACGTCTAAATAACAAATGAATGTTTACACTTTGCGAGCAAAAAAGAAATTTCATTTATTAATGAGTGAATAGTGTTGCCGTAATGTACGTTTTTATGCACTGAGAATTTTGTTATATAAATTATTTTTTACACCAAATTTGAAGAATCATAATTAAATGTTTGAAATAGTGCACAAATCTAACAATTTTAATTTGTCGTGTGTTACAGTGTTAAGATGTAAAACAATGTGCAATTGAAGAAAGAAAGAGACAATCACATTCAGAAGTGCTGAGCTATCAAGTAGAGGATAGTTAAGACCTAAAAACAAAGTTTGTCAGTAGGAGGAACGAAGTAAAACTCATTGATAATCATGGCAGATGGTAACAAACCAATGGAAATGGATCAGAATCAAACGCAAGCCCAGCAGCAATCACAGAGTCAACAAAGCCAACCTATGATCATAACTACCCAGGAGATGCAACAGAATATGCAGCAACAACAGAGTCAACAGCAGCAGCAAAACCAGGCTCAGCAGCAGAATCAACAGCAAGCCAACGGGCCACAAAAGATACAGACGCAGGTCCAAGTCCAGCCGCAGGTGGCAACAATAATGCCACAGCAGCATGTATTTTGATTTTTTGTTACTCCATTACTCCCCCAACATTCCAACTATCGCGGTGACTGATTATATTGTGTTCTTTGGGAGATATTCTTTATAACAGGGTTTGATTTTTTATTTACAATATCTTTTTCGATGACTTGTGAGTCATCTGTAATACATTTTATTCACTGTAGTTCTTTTATGATAATATTCATTGTAGATGTTGTACTCTGTTCAGATCTAAAATTAATAGTTAAAACATTCATCATTAATTATTCCAATTTTTCTGTCAGTCACAATTCTCTCTCATTTTTTCTACTCTGTAGTAGTTAATTCTCCAGAATTAAAATAAAAAATAACACAGTAAGTCAATTAATGACCATCCCTGTTGATTAATTCACTAATATCAATAGTAGATTGTTTGCAATAGTAAGTTAATACTTGGAGAGCATCTGTTTTGGGTTTTGAATTTAGAATAATTCTATTTTTGAAAGGAAATCTATTATATATAGGTATTTATTTTTTGTCTGTCCTACTACAATCATATCTTGTAGAACAAATTCTTAATTGAACTACAAATTGAAGAGTAAATTTATTATTGCACAAATCACATTGAGGAATATATTAAATTTCATGTTAATAACTAATGAAACCCGTGAAACAAACACGATTTCCTTTCAAAAATCACGTTTTGCTACAAGCTTTGACAAACATATACCTGTCACAGTACAGTGATCTCAAAATATTCAACATCCTTGTTTTTTCCTACATTACAGGACACTGTATCAGTGTCGATGCACCAGCAGCAACAATCTCAACAAAGCGTCGGCGGTGTATCGATGACCCTGTCGGGTCAGCAAGGTGCCACGACAATCACGACAATGGCCGCGCATCCGCAGGCAGTTCAAGTGATACAGCAGCCAATGCAGAATCAGTATCATTTGCAACAATTGTACAATGCCCAGGGTACCCCGTTGCTCATGCCTGGCAATCTCTTGGCTCATCCAGCTGGCATCAATCCATCGCCCATCCAGGTAAAAGAAAATTCCACGTCGCACGGGAGAAGGATATGTGTTGAGTTTCTATTGATTCAATTAAAGGAGCGCAGCCCGTGCTTCGATTTATTTGTGCATCTGTAGCTGTGGCGAAAGAACTTTAGCGTTACACGTCGGGACTGACAATTAAATTAGGTCGCACAGCTTCCAGTTTTTTCCAGAAATTCAGCTTGGCGTCGTGTATTAACTGCGGTGCCGTGTTTGCTGGCTGGCAGGCAACTACACAATATGGAATCCGTGAAGGACGATTTCGAATCTTTCACATAATTTTATGTAGTAAAGCGCGTTAGAAATAAATACAGTTTGAACGGCGCGATGATGACTAAGTTTATAAAAATAACTAATGGCAAAGTAAGAACGAACGCCGCTACTTCTTTACGTGTTGTACAGGCAACAACAAGCACTTCCAGGCCTTTACTTTACGACAACTCGTTTAGAATACCGGCATAGTAATTTGTAAAGTCTACTTGTAAATCTCTGTTGTACGCACGAGATTTACGCTAAGATTTGTGATCCGCGATTCTAATTGATCCCTCGCGGACGTCATATTGAAGTTCGATTTAAACGCTGTCGTCGGCAATGTTTCTCGCCGATAACAAAACTACGTCGATCATTTGTCGAGAACGCGGAAATTTCAACGAAAGCCGCGCGTCTTGAAAGTTTCCCGTGGCGATTCGGCCGACGCTGATCTCTCTCGATTCTCCAATTCGTCAGGTGCAGTTCAACAACATCGCGGGAAAACCCTTCCAAGCGGGCGCTCAACTGGCGGCGCCGCACATGTTGACAACGGCGTCGACGGGCCAAGGTGGTGGCCACCCGGGAGCCGCCGGGGCTAAGGTCCAGGGTTTTCCGGCTGGTTACATTCCCGTGCCGACGTCCGCGACGCCCGGCGCCGGACAGACTCTCGTCTTCGGGCAGCTGGAGGTGCTCCCGCAGCACCAGACCTCGATCCAGCAGCAGCAGCAGCAACAAGCTGGCAACAAGACTGATCAGGTGCAAAAGGCTGTAAGTGTTGTCACGTGGCGTTCCTTTTAGTTTTTTTTTTTTCCTTTCTCGCTTGCCGTTGAATTTGTGAGTTTCGTCGATGGCGACGGCTTTCCAAGAGGCTGGTTCACGCTGTCACGTCGATGATTGTCGCCCAAGCAAGCGACGACCATCGACGCAGTTAAAATGGCATTTCTTGTTTTATCGGAATTCGCACAAGAGTGCTATTCAAAGCCATTGCATTTGAGGCGCAAATTGAAAAATTACGTTATCGGTATGTTATCGTTATCGGTTTTCTTGGAAGCTCGAGACAGCCCTCGTTGTCGTTTTCCTTCTTTTGCATGAACTGATTCGACGAAACAACGACGCTAGGCTAATTTATCGCAATTGACCGTGAAAATGTTTATTCATTGATTTGAGTTGACTTAATTTTAGAGCATTATTTTATGAATATGTTGTCAATGTGAAAGTGCGCGTACGTCGAACTAGTTTAATTGTGGATGTGATTGGATGTGAATTCGTTGATAATCGTTGCTCGTAGATGCGTGTGATTGTGCTCGCTAAATGTTTGGACGCCTAGCGTCTCTATTTCGTGCAGTATGCATCTGTCGGCTGGTGCTTATTATCGCACTGGTTACGAACGGGAAATCGCGATGCCTGTGGCAGCGAGCAAGGCCGAGGGTGGGCGAGGTCCATAATCGCAATGATCATTGCCAGCAGTACACGACGTGCGCGGCGAGTGCGGCCTCCGGACAGAATCGCCAGATGCAGTTCGCGCCTTGGCAATTCGCGACGGCAACCGGCGGCATCTGGACGGGGTTGCAGCCGCAGCTCCTCGCTGCTGCGCCCAACCAGATATTCATCAGGGACCCGCAGACAGACATGTTCATCCAGAGTCCGCAGCCGCTGCAGGCCCACAACGGTAGGTGCACGACGCAGTGCGCGCGACGCACGTCGGCTAACGGATTGCCCCGCGCGGCCCTGTCCGCAGCACTGGCGGCCCAGCAGCAGATACAGGGCGTGCAGCAGATCGCGACGACCGGCGGTAAGCCCCGAGTGATGAACATCCAGCAACAGCAGCAGCAGCAGACCGGCAAGCAGGGGGTGGTGGGCCAGCGACCGCTGAGCATCCTGCCCTCGTCGCTGCAGGGCGTGCAAGCCGCCAACATTCGGCCCGCCAGCTCGGTGTCCACCCAGACGAACCACGGCGTGCAGTCGACGGTTCACGCGCAGGTACGTTTGACCGGCGGCGCCGGAGGCCGATCGCGTTTCGCTAACGCCAAGTTTCAACTCGTTGCGCAGAGTGGCCAGAAAGGCGGCGGCGCCGGCAAAGGTCGCGGCAAACCGGTGGTGCGCACGAGCCCGGGCCCGAACGCCATGGTCTCGGTGACCAAGGCCGGTGGCGGAGCCAGCGCACCGACCAGCGCCTCCCAGCCGAAGCTCGTGATGCAGCAGCAGCAGCAGCAACAGCAGCAACAACAGCAGCAGCAACAACAGCAGCAACAACAACAGCAGCAGCAGCAGCAACAGCAGCAGCAACAGCAACAGCAGCAACAAGGCGCCGCGACTGCAACCACCACGGCCAACGGCAAAATGCTGATAGCCACGAGCACCGCTTCCGTGCAGCCCGCGCCTGGCTCGCCGATGACCGATAAGCAGAACTTCGGCCAGCAGCAGCAGCAGCAGCAGGCCAACAAGCAGAGCGTGATGCAGTCGTCGCAGCAGGCTCAAGCGCAGCAAGTCCAGGCTCAGCAAGTGCAGGCTCAGCAGCAGGCCCAGCTGGCGGCTGCTCAGCAGCAGCACATCCAGCAGATCTTCATTCAGCAGTTCCAGCAGCAGCAGCAGCATCTACAGCAGCAGTACCAGCAGACGCCGCAGGGCCCGCAGCAGATCCAGCCCAAACCGCTCATGGGTGAGTCGCCCGTGTTCGAGTTCCACAGCTTTGTCTTGGCGCCGTGCTGCAAGGAAGTTTATCTGCCTGCTGGCAGGCCAAAAATAAAATATTCCTTCGAAACTTCGGTTATCCCGCGTAACGCCAATGCTTTGCAAAATTGTTCGCGCTTGCCTCGAACTGCACCGGCAGCATCATAAATTGTAAAACATCGTAAAACAAAAATCTCCTATAATTGACACTACGGAGCTCGCTAGCGACCGTCTGCTCAAAGGGAAAGCGCAAAAAAAAATACAATCACCATCCGCGAACATACAAATTGACATTACTCATGGCGGCAAACTTTGCATTGATCAGGCATGGCAGTGCAACAACCTGGTGGTCAGCAGCAAAACGTAGTCCTCGGTGGCGAGCGCCCGATAATGCCGGTAGTCTCGATCAATCCGGCACTGATCGGCAATCAAATAGTCGGCGGTGCGCATCAAATACAGGCCCTGCCGATAGTCAGCCAATCGCCCGAGCAGATAGCCCTCGCCCAACAGCAAATGCAGCAGGCCGCCGCCGCGGCAGTGCAACTGCAGCAACAACAGGTGCCGACCGAACAGCCTGGCGCGAGTATGCCGATGCTGGTGACCTCGCCCGAGAGAGCTGCCGGCGCACCCGCCGAGCTACAGAGTATGATGCCACCACCTGCTGCTACGCCCATGAATGTCGACGAAGCCAAGCCGGCCACGGCTACGCCCAGCAAAAAGGATTCCGAGGAGAGCAATGGCGAAGCTCACGGTGAGTGTCGAATTTGGCTCGAGGTCACCGAGGCGTTTTCATGTCGGGGGACGGCAATTTTCCTCGAGTCCAATGGCGCGTCGAGCCTACGGAAACTTGCCGGTCGTGCGGATGCCATGATATTCCCATACGTCTCGTTATTCTCATGTTGTTCGTGCTGGGATTGACGACGTCGTTTGCATAAGCAGCGCTCAATTGTTCAAATCACTTCCCATAACAAATTGAATCAGTTTCGATAACTGCTATCAAATAATTAGAATCGTAGCTAACGATCGAGATAATTTTTTCAAGGTTAACACGTCACCCATTCATCAATAGAAACTTTATCAGTTATCAAATAATATTTTATCACGCCTAACGTAGCTTCGCTACATGACGCATATAAGCAATGTCATATGTGCGCGCGAACAAGTTGTCTCAAAGCAACCATGACTCACCGAAATATCCCACGATTTCAGAAGCGGAGAGAAACGCAAAGGAAGACGACGCCGCAAAGACTGACGACAAAACATCGTCGAATCCCCTGATAAATTTGGCGAACGCCGTTAACTCGATAACCAACGGCAACATCGGTGAAGAAACGACCGTCCTCGAGTCCTTGCCGACTACGGTGAACAAGCAAGTGCCTCCAAAGGCGATGGTCAAGCCACAAGTACTGACGCACGTGATTGAAGGCTTCGTCATACAGGAAGGTAAGTCTCCTCCCGCGGTTGGATTTTAAAGCGACACGAAAGATCTCTGAGAATAATGATGGCTATTATCTTATAGCTTCGGAGCCGTTCGCTGTGAATCGATCATCGCTCAATGGTTCGATAACCCAAGAGAACAGCATCGGTAGAAACTCCGCCGACAAAGAAAACCACGAAGAACCGCCGAACAAACGTAAAATATACTTTCATTTTTTAATAAGCTTTGAATGTTCTGGTGAAAAAAATATTCAACGACATATGGATTTGCTCGTGTAGGTAAGAAAACTGTCAATCACAATACAGATAACGAGGCTGGGCCTGGTAAATGCGAAAACTGCAATACAGTTCTCGACGAGACGAGTATGAAATTGAAAAAAGACAAAAGATTCTGCACAAACTATTGTGCTAAAGCGTGAGTATTTCACAACAAATATAAACTGGAATAACTTGAATTAGTTGATGAAATGCTATTGTAATTGTTCATTGTTTCGTAGGAAAAAGAAAGAACTGAAGGAAATGGCTGAAAAACAATGGACTGAAATTGATATCGATAAAAATGACACGGATTCGTTGAAAAAAAATGGAGATGACAAGCCTTTATCTAATTTATCGAATGTAGCAGCAGATAGTAATTTGCCAAGAATCAACCCTGTGAAATGGAGCGTATGTATATACATTCACTGGATTTTTTATTAGCATGCGGAAAAAGCTAAATATTACATTTTTATTGTAGGTCAATGAAGTATGCGACTTTATTCGAAACCTACCTGGATGTGCGGACTACGCTGAAGACTTCGCGATTCAAGAGATCGACGGTCAGGCTTTGATGCTCCTCAAAGAAGACCATTTAATGTCAGCCATGAGTATAAAACTTGGTCCAGCTCTCAAGATCGTCGCGAAGATCGACTCGATGCGCGATGACTCAGGTCCCAGTACAAGTCCCGTGGCCGGCGCTCAAGTTTGAGTGTTTACATTCCACGATAGCTATGTAACTATGTAAAATAACGCCACTTTTTGTACTCGAGAGTGTAAATAGTCAAGTTAGTTATGATACTGCACAAAAGATAAGTTACTATATTGATGTTTTATTCTTTTTTCTGTTATGACGTAAATCTAAGATTGAAACAAATTCGACGATTTATTGATTTTTTTTTTTAAGAAAGAAGTTAATTTACTACAATCAGCAAATAATTAGCTTTAAAAAGAATAAGTTACGTGAGGTTTTCGACGGAACCGAATGAAAGAATGCCGGTGCAATACATTTTTTGAAAATGCATCGCGATTTTCAATATATATAGCTATTTTGAACAAATAAATATAGTTATTGCTAGTATGCTATTCTCGATAGGCAAGAAAATGAAAAAAATGTAAACTTCTTTCACATAAGTAAAAGAAGTTCAGATTGTAAGAAACGTTTAGAATATGTAAGTGTACATATTACATCTAAGATGTTTATTTCAATACAAATTTTATATATTAAAGCGAAACTTAATTTAAAAATTTAATAATGGCTCATCCATGTATATTGTCATAATAATAAAATTTCCAATTTGCAAGAAATTATAAAAGCAAATTTGGATTTGCTCATAAAAAATCACACTATTTTTCATGTCGAGCGAAAATTTATTCTAAAAAGTGAAGAAATAAAACCATTGTGAAAAAAATGTGTATTTGTATTACAAAGTTCGAGCAACTGTACTTACAGCTGAAAATCTCATAACTTTTTATAAAAAAAAAGTGTTTCTATGCAATTTGGAATATACAAATATGTGTACAACAATATTTGAAGTTTTTTCTACTTTTCAATCACCTTTACCCCCCTATTTCATACTCTATGCAGATACAAAATCAAAATTTATAATGCATGCTATTATCAACGTTTCAAATAAAATGTTTTTGATATCAATAAAAATCTCTTTTTCAACAAATTAATTCATTGTTATTTTGTATAATAAATTTAAAACATCATTGTGCTGTATTACATAAAATAATGTACAAAAGAATTTTCAGAAGAAAAAAATTATTTACTCCTAAGTTGATCAACTAAAATATATTTACTAATAACTTAATTACTTGACCCATGGGCTCCATCCCTCATCATTCTACCTTCTTTCAATAATTCTTCTTTGAAGCGCTCTTCTAATTCTTGCTTAATAGGTTTAATTTTTGTAAAGTAGTGGTACAATTGATATCCTATGTAAACTGAGGTTCCAAAAGTCACAGCAATACACGATGTAACCCATCCTCGATGCAGAGTATCATATATTTTATTCCTTTGCCTTGTAGTTATCATTTTACTTACTACTTGCTTAGCTGAAAGGTATACCATATATTTATAAACACAATTTACATTACAAACTTTTCAACATTTGACAAATACATAAATTTAAAGTTCTTAACATTTTTAAAAAATAATTAAAAATTTTGTTTCGATAGAGTTGTTTTATAACTGTTTTATATGTTTTATGATAGTTTTGTTTTATAGTGAGTGTTTGTTCAAAGGAACTTATGCCTTAAATAATTGCAATTAAAATAAGAATGTTGCAAGTAACGTGATGAGAAAATTTGCGTAAATAATAACAAAGAGATAATTATTATAATTTACTTTAAACTGGCTTGATGTGATAGCGTAATTAACCTATTATGCAGTAAGATTATGTAAGTGTTATGCCTTACCTTATAAGTTAAAACATAAGTACCAGTACTAATGACTATGTAAAAATGTATCTCAGTTAATCAATTTTTAATAACTACCTAGATCAGCTACTAAAAATATTATTCAAGCAAAACTTGAACTTCGTTATAACCTCAAACTTTACGACGTTTGAAACTTGTCGTTCGTTTTACTGTGCAAAGAAAACATACAGTCGATAATTTACCACGTGACTAGCTGAATTCAAAATATGTAATTAATATGCTACAATTATCAATATTTATAAAAAGTGAACATATAAATAAATGACGGAACATTAATACAGCTGTGATTTTTATAAGGGAAAAAGACGTAGAAAGTAAAACATAATTAAATCACATATAACTATAGATTTATATTTTTATAAAATTTTGACATATAAGGAGGCCAGTTATTTTTTTGTATAGCACTTTTTTTTATTTCTTTATAAAAATACAGATATGCAATTCCCATCACACTCAAGCCTTAGAGCAATTTGCAAATCACATACACTCTCGTTTTCATTTGCTCTCTTCCTCTCAATATATATTTGTGATTTATGTTATGTATATATGTACAGATGCTGCCTGCTTAATGGTTTTCGTAGAATACAACTTTGTCGAGGAAGCATAAAATACTTCCGAAAGTAAAGCTTTTTTTCTACTGCCTCTTAACAGTCTTCTTTGAAAAGTCAGTTAAACAATCACTCTGTCATATAAAAATCTTTTTAAATATTTAATTTCATAAACTAATATGAACATACATACACTTACACAATTTCGCCGTTTCTATTTTTTATTTCATCTTCGTATACATTTATGCGCTGTATGAAATAACGACGTTAAAACTATTAGTAACTGCAATTACATTGCATCCTGTTATCACAGTGAAAGTACGATGTTGCACTAGGAGCAATTTAATTTTGTTCAAATCCTTAATTATGGCATCTATTCAAAAGAATATATTCTCTACGAGTAATTTAAGCAGATATATATCTTATACAAAATTAATTATTGGAGTTTTTCTTATAAAATTTCCAATGATTTTTTTTCTTTCTTTCTTTACTTTTTCGCTCAAGCACCTGCCATCTTTGCTTTCACTGTTAATATCCATACTTATTGTTGCTTCTTATCATACATATATTTACAAAGTCTCAAATTTTTTTGCTTCCAAGTCAGTTCTATATATCAAGCATAAGATTTCTAATATCAGTAATTGTTTTACTATATTTATGTACACTAAACATGGCAATAAATATTATAAAATAGAAAAGTATGAATGAAATTCTCATAGATGAAACAGATTTCTTTTTTAAACAATGCTCTCTAGGAACCGACAATGTAAGTACTAATAAAAATATATCTATAGAACTTTTGAATAGTTAGTCATTAAACTAACTAAATAGTATACAACAAACATTATAACTGATTTGTAGTGGCGTAGATTTATTAATATGCCTACTGCTCATGTTACTATGTAATGACATTGCTAATTAGAACAAATGTTTAAGGATATTCTCTTGCTCAGTAAACTTACTAATAGTGTTTTCCGTAAACCGATAAATATTTTTGATTCATTATAAAAAATTACAATTTCGAAAGTTATGAAAAGAGTAATTTGAATCGTCAACAATCTGCTACAAATTTTCGAAAATTAGATTATTTTAAATGTAATATTGATTAGAAAAAATTATAGAAGCGATTTAATGGAACAGCGTCACTCTGAAGCATCAATGTTTAAGCACACTTTTTTAAATTTCTGTCGTACAAGCACCGATACCTATATTTTTTAATATATCAATTGCTTCATAACTAATAATCAATCAAAAATAATTATCGGTTCGTGTAAAAGACTATCAGAATCTTTTTGCTTAAAGAAGTATTTCAAAATTTTTTTGTTCTAATACATCTATATCTTTCAATATGCGAGTGAATTGAACTGATGAAACGCTTTTTTCGATTAACGGTGCTCTCTTTGACAACCACTAAACAAGAGAACATCGTTAAATGTTATGTGGTTAGAAACAAGGTAAAATAAAAATGATACAAGTTGAATTGCAACTAATTAGTTCGATTTTTTAAAATGATCGAATTATTGAAGTCATGGTTGTAAATATTTTTTGTATTCAATAGATTTGGCTTTGTTTTGGAAATACTTAACACTATTGTCCAACTGTTTGATTCTTACACAATAAATTGCATTAGAAAGGTATAATAGCTTTACTTCCTAGAAGCGGAAAGTACTTGGTAATACATATAATAAGCCATGTGTATCTTTAATACTACAATTCTAAAGTTTCTATTAGCAATATAATTATAATCTTTGTTGCTTTCAATATAATACGAATTAATTTAATTTCAGCGCAAGTTTTGAAATCGCATAATCAGTTAGGTAAATAAAATCTTATCTTTAAAATCGTATCTCTCATTAATGTACTATACATTAGTATAACAGTCTATAATCTTAAGTGTTTAAATTCATTCGAGATGTGACTATGAGCGTTTCTTCTTCACGGTAAAGAAACATTTGAATAAAGTAGTTTGATCTATCAAGGCTATGTACTGGCAAATAACTTTAAAAATTTTTCGAACATTCAAAGACTACAGAACGTTCCTGTTTAAAAAATAGCGTCATCTCTTAGAAGAAATTAATCGTATCGTCGATCATGCCAGGCATATTACCTATTAGACAAGTGCTTAAGAGGTCCGAGGCTGAGAATGGAGGTAGCACCGAGCGCACCTAGATTACAAGTATTGGAATTTCGTGCACCGTCCACCGTAATTATCGGCAAACCGAAATATCCACCCGTCTGAGCACTTAACTGCGACAATGGTATATAACTTTGGATACCCAAACTCGCCAATCGATTCAGGGTATTTTGCGATTTTAAATCGACTACCGGTAGCGCGAGTTCTATGTTATCTGGATGATGCGGTGTCGCGTCTACTTCTTTATGATAGGTTTTCTTGTGCGTTGCTAAGGCCGTTGCCGTTGGGTATTGCGCTGGACACAAATTACACCTGCAAAATCAACACCATTTAATGTAATTATTCGTTAAGATATTTGAAGAACACACTTAAATGTAAAAGTTACATACTTGTGTAGTAATTTGTTGGTTGTCCTGTGAGTTGCCATGTGCTGACTCAACATTTCTTGACTTTGAAAACGTTTGTCACATACATTGCACGTCAGTGACTGTAACATTCTATTTAAATTTCAAACAAATGTAAGTTAAATACTTATTTACCCAGGGTACAAAAAACCGCACAATATTTTGAAGGTAAATGTCAAATTTTTAATTTTACCTTGGAGGTCTGCCTCTTCTAACTACAGGTAATGAAGGTGCATCTTGCGTCAAATCTACAGTAGGAGGTCTAGGTGGTCTTTCAACTTCGTTTGTTGTCTGTTTAGCCTGTTTGTTCTGAGGAATAGCAAACTGACCTTGTTGCTCTTGCTGCTTTCTTTGTACACTTGATGCAGGAATGATGGATATAGCTGAATTTAAATTCAATGCCGAAACGTTCAACGGTTGCGGCTTCTGCTGTTGTTGCTGCTGAGACTGCTGTTGTTGCTGTTGAGTGATTGGTTCTTGAAGTTTTTTGTTAGTTGCGGGTGTCACAGTGATACCCCGAGCTGCCAAAACATTTGCTACAGCAGAAGCATCAGACTTCTTGGTACTTTGTACCATTGCATTAACTTGGGCTGGATGAGGACCTTATATATTAGTAAACAGAAATGTGGTTCTTCATATTTGTGCACTTCTCCATTTCAAAGTTGACAATGAAAATCCAAAATAAGGAGAAGAAATAAAAGTGCACAAAAACAATAAAAACAAAAAACTATAGCAAAACATCTTACAAAATAATGTACCATAAAAAACTTTAAAACAATTTAAACATCAGTGAAAAAATACAAATAAGGCTTTTTTTGTCAATTATTTCTCAACTAAACACAATAAAAATAATGAAAAAGGATATTTTGTACATACCAGGCTGCCTAACACTAAGAGTAATAGAATCTGTAAGATGAATAGTAGAATCATTTCTACTCGATGACTGTACTGAAGTGCCACCCTGAACGTTTTGGATGACTGGGAGGCCATCATTCCTCTTTTGTTGAGCAATAACGTGACAGTCTGCATCCTCATTACGATCAGGTATCAGAACATCCATTCTCCTTTTAGCTGTAGTTGGTTGAGACTGTTGCATTTGTACTGGTTGAGATGGTAAAGGCCTTTTCATGCGTTGACGAGGTACGGGAGGTGCAATTGGAGATTGAGGCATTCTGGGTGCCCTGTAAACAATAAACAATTTACGATTTTTATTTGTTGAGTACTGCGGTGAAAAAAAAACACCAACAGTGGAATGATCATTAGTTTGCTGCTTAACATTGAATAGTATGACATTTATGAAGCGTCACTTTTGAATCTGAAACGTTCCTGTCGACCTATCAACTAGTTACTAATACCAACACAATATTTTCTTCTAGAATAGTTTTAGTCATTGAAATCAATCCAAAGAACACTTCATAGGATCCAATAACACAAAAGAATTCACGTCAAGTAATGTTTGTTTTCATTCAGAAATCGTCACGTGTATAGTTTGTGCGCGCGCTTTCGTTGAAGAGAATGAACAAGTGACGATTCGACAAGACGAGCAAAAACTGAACACCGACGGTATTGGATACCTGACGAAACTATACCCCAAACAAATTATGAACATAAATGTATCATTCCAATAACGCGGAACAGAACATATGATAACATGTATTACGAATAACTTTTAGTTCGGAAAAGTAGAATGGAAACTTTAATTTTTTAATGAAATTATGGAAGTAAAGCTGGGCAATCAAATAGGCTCATGTGAAAGAATGATATAATTGCATCAAAAATTATGGTTATCCCTGTCGAAAATAATTTGTATATAAAATTATAATCAATAGAAATTATCAATTAGTAACATTTGTTAACAGTTATTTACAATTTACAACCGTTTATAAACGTCAGACTTATGACACGTATAACAATTATAAAGAGTTATTTTCACCTAAAAAACTGTTATTATTAAATAATAATGTTTTTTTTAGTTATTACGGTTATTTGCATTTTCATTCACCTAAACAATTTTATTTTCGGAAATAATAAATACAAAAAACTATAAATAGCTACAAATAACAGTTATCACCTATTACCTATTGGAATAAAAAATTAGTAACTATTATTTGCGGTTAATTACAATTATTAATTTGCCAATACCGGTCACGAAAAAATTACTTATAGGCGAAAAAAATTAAATGATAATAACAATATATAAGTATTTAAAATAATTCTTAATTATCACATATGATGACTAACTATTTATTACAGTTGTAAACAATTATTTATATTTTTGAAATTGACTTAAAAACTGTTCATAATTGCTATTAATAGCAAATTTTTTTATGATAAAAAGGTGCATTTTCTAAATTATCTATAACTGTTAATAACTGTATATAATTAATACTGACAGAAAAAAAACTGTAATAACTGTTATACATTGTCTAAAATCTAATGTTTATAAACTATTTTTAACTAGAAATAACTGCGTGCAACAGTTTTACGCAAAAATGATTTCTAACAGGGATGGTAAAATAGAAATTATAACGCATGCAGCTTAGAATTTGTTGAGTAGTAACTTGAAGATTTATCCCGTCGTATTCTCATGGTAGAATCCGATTACGCTAATATCGCGATCAGGTGAAACTTTTATGACAAGTAGTTGTATAGAACATTAATTTTAATATAATTAATAACGTACTATTATAATATTGTTTAATATTGAATTTCGTCGACTATTCATATCAAGTCTTCGATAGACACAGTCTGATTAACTTATTATAAAATACTGTCATCATCGACTAAAATTATTCTTCACTTTGAAAAAAAGAAAAGGAATATCTTAATACTTTACATTCTTAATGCAGAATTAGTTCCGTATGGTTCATTTATCTCAAAATATAGACAATATCATGAAACTGATCAAATAAGGCATTTATTAGAAAGGAAGCGGTCTGTGTTAAAACTGAATTTTTGTTATGTATGCTTGCGTATATCTGTGAAACGGTTAGATCGATTTCGATGGGATCGTTCGTTTGGATGGCTATACTTCCGAAATGGTCTCGTATCATTATTGACTTGGTTGAAGTATAACTTTACGAGTAATTGCAAGAAATTGATTTTGAAGTCGGCTTTTTGTTAGTTTTAATTAATCTTATCTCAAATACATATCAAACAATAAAAATTCTTTAAAACATAGTAAAACCAAATAAAAAAGAATAAAATAAAACAAGAAAACCTAATTAATATTCACCTTTGCCCTGGTACCATTGCTGGATATCTCCCTCTTGTCATCTGCTGTGGTATCTGTGGCTGCATTTGTTGTTGCATACCCAACTGTTGATAGTGTGCATTGTATTGTTGGTACAAATGAGCCAAATGAGGAGGATACTGCATAGGTGTCTGTACCCTGTACATAGGAGGTCTACCAGGTGGTTGTGGATAGTAATTTGGTCCAGGAATCATAGTATTTGCACCAGATGGCATAACACTAGGCATCTGTGGTTGAGGCAGGGGCATACGTTGTACCTGTTGAGCAAGTTGCTGCACTGGTGCTGGCAATTGTTCCAAATTTACTGGTGGATAGGTCACAGGAGGTTGTTGAACACCATAAGTTGGACTGTTAGTGTGTGGTGACGTTATAGGGGAATTTCTGGCTGGAATGGCTGATTGTATATTGGGTGAGTGTGGTGAGTGAGCATTCACATGAGGGGACATTCTGTTCAAATGTGGGGAGTGTGGATGTGGTGGAGTTTGAGATAAATGGGGAGAGGCATTGCTGAGTCTAGGTGAAATTGGTGCTACATGGACTTGTGTCTTATGTACCGATAGTTCCATAGAAGTGTTGAACACTAAAGAACTACAGTCCGGTATATTGCACTGATAGTGACCAGCCTTCGATCTATGCGCATCCAAGTGAGCAATATCTTTGAATTTCTCATTGCACACTCTGCAAGTATTGACTGTTTCTGCTAGCCTCTCGAGAGACACGTATTCAGTTTCAAATGATTGAGCATTGCTATTTGATTCGTTTTGATTACGCTGTTGCTCGATGAGAAAGTTCTGTAGAAGGCTGCCGGTATTTTCCGAGCTTTCAGGCGACTCTTTTTCTCCTCTCTCATTACTACTTTCTCGACTCCTACTCCTCGAATCCTCTGTGCATTTATTCCAATTTATTGGCACTATTTCAGTTTCTGCTTCGCCTGGTGACATATTTGTAGATCTGTCAGGCATCAATGATGCCTTTGGAACTATACTTATTTCTCGATTGCTACGAAGCTCTTCGATTGCATTCATTGGATCATCTTCTTCCTCTTCTCTCTCCTCTTCCTTGTCTTCTTCTTCAACAGATACATCGGTTGGCTCTAGCAGGTCTGATGATCTAGAACTAATGTACCTAGTGGTGTAAACAGTCATGTTTAGAGATAAAATGAAAAAGAACTAATGGCTAAGTCAGGCATACTCAATGTTATGGGAACAGAAAGTGAAATTTTTTAAACAATAGTAATAAACAAAATCAACTCTGTATAAGACATTTAGAAAATGAACAGTTATTCCAATGACAAATGGGTTATAGCATTTATGCCAGTTTCCCATATGAATTTATGTATGAAAAGAGAATGTTAATTTACCTAGATTGTTCACCAAGTTTTTTCAAATTCTCAATTGTTTCTCTACAAGCTTCCAGAGCATCAGTCTCCTCGTTATCCTCATTTTCAGGCACATCTGCAAGATCCTGATTACTGGCATTGTCTGCCTGTGAATCGTTATCATTTTGATCATCCTTGTCTAGTGGATTGACAAAATCACTGCCAACCCCAGAGTCCCCCTCATTATTATCCATTGATGGCCTTTCTGAGCTTTCCAGAGGATTGTGACTGGGCTCAGACTCAAAATTATCATCACTGTAATTGTTCTGGAAAAGCAACAACTTGGATTAATACAAAAAGAAACAGTTATAATCTTTGGTGTTAAAAGATTCATAGAGTATTGTACCTCTTGATTCAGCATCACGTTTTCAAAATCTTGTTCAGCGTTTTCTTCCTTGTCCGAATCACTTTTGGTATCATTATCCTGTGTTTCAGCCAGCTCGTCGTGCTTATCAAGACTTTGTTGGATGTCCAAATCAAAGTTATTGCTAATGACGGTGAAGCTCTCTGATTCAGGGGACTTTTTTAATTTGAGCTTCAAGGAGTCACACCCCGAATTCTTTTTAAGTGTGATCTTCAGGTTGCCTCGTCGTTCACTACCAAGCCAATAATTATCAGTTTGCTGCTCCTTTTTGGGCAGCGTCTTCACATTGGCTATCCTTTTGAGAACTACTCGAGGCTTGCCCAAGTGAATGAGCACATGCGTTTGAAGATCCTTTTTGGTTTGAAACTTTTGCTCGCAAATTTCACAGCTCTCCAATTCCTTTGTGTCCAGCAAATTACCTACAGCACACAGTGGTAAAAAGGACAACGACGATTATTACTCCTCGTTGCAACATCACTAGCCTAACCACATTTACCAACAAGACAACACAAAGTAAGACGACACAATATTAATTCCGTCTCATCTTGTATCAATCATTAAACTTGTTCACGCTCCTCACGCTCACGTAAATATTGACACTACGTGTGATGTACCACAGCACGCGTGCTACTCACACGCAACGCTTTCGAGCCTGTGTTTTTTGATTGTCGTCGGCGGGAAATGCACAGGTAAACAGTTCGTCGCTAGAGGTTAATCACGGCAACGCGCACGAGACCCTCGCCAGGATCGCGCCGCAGGACGACTGGCGTCTCCTCGTCGTCACTGGCGATGTGTGCGTGCGTGTGCGGTCTGCGTTTGCCTGCGTGCGTGTGTGTGCGTGTGCGCGAGCGTGCAGTAGCATCAGCAGGCAGCAGCACAGTGACGGTGCGGCGCTAGCGGTAGGCGAAAAATCGCGCTTGCCTTCCGCCAATCGATAAGCCGCTTTGCCGGCCGGTCCGCTCGCCTCATTGGCCAAAATAATTCACAAATCCCCGTCAGGTGCGCGAACTTTAGGTATATACCATTGAATCGAGCCGCTCGCTCATCGCGCGCGTCCATGTACGTGCTTTCTTCCTCGTCTCGCGCGCACGCTGCCGAGGAGGTTGTGCGCGCGTGCGGGCAAGCGATGGTAACTTACATGGTACATACGGCGCGCGCTCGGTTGGTATCACCTTGTTTACAGACTCGCGGAGTTCAACGATCCTGCACCCCAATCACATGTGCGCGGGGCTGCACCGCGAATACGTCGTTTAGATCGATAACTCGCGAGTCACGGCTCGCTCGTTGGAAACCGCCTCCGCGAGAAAAACCATAGAGCGCCAGATCCGCGACAATTATTCGTACGATCTATGTACCGTTAATTTTGCGACAGCGCGCCGTGTTCTTCTATAGCGCTCATGTAGGGTCAAAAGGCGCGCGCGCGCACTCGAATATTAAGAGTCACGTGCATCTCCTCGCCTCGGCTCAAAAGTCACAGCGAGAAATCCCACGTCTGGCTCGGATTTTAATAGCCGAGGACGAGATTCTGCCTGCTTTTCTCGGGTCGTTAGGCCAACTTTTTTTTACAAGCGTCGTAACAGAAGAAAAGCTTATAAAGATAAATTTAGCGTGGTACTCGACTGGGCTTTATAACAACGTTATTTAGACAATGCAGGTGTGCGTGTGTGCGTATATGCTTCCAGACCTTTCCTTCGTATTCCAAGTCTAAAGTTTGACCACGACGATATATCTGTTTACGACCGCGGCCACTATAAAGAAAAATAGTTTTAACGAGAGGGGGTACATTTTTTTCCTTGTTGACAGCTTAATTGGTGCAATCGACCTTCGGAACACCATTGAATTTTCACCGTAAGAAATTTATCGTGCCTATTGCCCATTGTTACAGTAACATCGTGAGCGATCGAGTACGCAGGAGTGGCTTTCGGGAGCGTGATCATGAAAATTCAGCCGAAGCACGAGCAGATCCACACACGTGATAATTAAATAAAAGAGCGAGCGTCGACAAACTCGGTCACGTTTGCGTGTCCATTGAGCGAGTATTAATTTCCCGTGAGGCGACCGAGCCATTCGTCTCCGGCATATCGACTTACTCGTACGCGCGCGTGCGTGTGTGCGGCAAATCGTCAACTGATCCGGCAAGGAGAGGAAGCTACAAAGGCTTCTGCGGCGAGCTATTATTCCCAAAAGCATTGGCGACCTTGCGGGAAAACGTAATCTCCGTAAAGGGCTCCGGCTAAATTGCTCGTATCTTCGTGGATGTGTGAAACTGGCAGTTTCGAATCCACGACTCTCCATCCCATTGGTCAGTGCCGCGCGCACGGGGATTCATTGCGGGGAAATTTGAATAGTCCGATCGCCGCGCAGTGTCCTGCGTGCGCTCGCGTTGCCCTCGCTCGAGCTTCCTGCGCCTGCGGAATTTCCAAAGCGCGGCTCGTGCTATCAGAACTTGCGGCGAACTCTCGAAAGTTGTAGGCTCCGTTGGAGCCGCGCGATCCTCAACATTGTTTCGCGCGGAAAACTTTTCGCCGCTGCGCAGAGTTTCAGCAATATACGTTACACAAAAAACGAAGCGAGGAATAACGAAAGCACAACAAAAAAAACTCACTGAAATTTTCCAATTTGTCCTCTACATCAGTCTCCTCAAGCTGATTTTCCCTCGAAAATTTAAATTCATTGTAATCTTGTTCTAATGAACTGCTCATTTCCAATCTGCAAGAAAAGAAAACGGAAAACAACGTAAATAAAACGACGGACAGCAATGGCAACCAGAGAAAGTCAACGAGCGGTGTATGCAAGCTCATCAAAGTGTAGCTTGGAAACCGGAACGTTAAAAACAAGCAACAAATACATGATTGTTGTTTTAACGGCACATCGGTGAATCAACTCGATAAGCAAATGATTGTCTGTCATGAGTGCTCATGAATGAAACAAACGTGCGCCAGTGTGATAACATAAGCAGTACATTGAATTTGAAAAAAGAAAAAGTTTCAGTAGCCAATGTGTAAGGTAGTCGGTTCTGTACCTTATCGAGTCGAACGTTACTAAGGATTCGGCGCAGGAACCCCGCATTACGTAAGTCTGTTTGTAAAAGAACTGATTGCAAGCAGAAGAGTAACAAAAAAAGTAGAATTTCCGTTTATTTGTTTGTTCTCGGTATTTTGCGTAAACTAGTTGGAACGTGCCTTGTGCAAAAACTGCCAGTGCTTGCCGGAGCTTCACGCAAGGTGCAACCTTAGTTCACTATATATGCGGTGCGATAGTCTCGTGTGGTGTCTCACAGCACTCTCCAGCGAGCGATAACGCATAAGAAAACAGCCGGCGAGCGGGTCGGATGCATCGCTCGCAGCGGCACACTAGCACAGCGCACCAACCACGTTTAATCCTCGGTCATATCGGATCGAGAGAGCGGCCTCGGCCTCGCAGGACAGCGGCAAGGAAAACGAGCGAACTCGCGGGGGCACCTGTCAGACACCACGCGCGAGGCGCGCGCCGAGATACAACTGCGCCGCGCCGCCGAGAATACGGCCGCGCAGAGCCGTGTGAGCGCGAGCGAGACAGAGAGCAGAGGCGACTGGAAAAAAGCCAACAGCAGGCTGCAGGCGGCGCGCCGGAGCTCTCGGCTCAGCTGTGCCGTACTGCTGCGGCCCAGTGATGTAACGTAATGCCAGGTGGAGCCGCGGAGCGGCGCGCCGGGACACTGTAGCGCGTCCGGAGATACGCTGATCCGCGGGCGGGAAGGGGCTGTCGAGCGGATAAGCAACCCTCGTTTCTTTCCCGATGTTTGCTCTGGCCAGCAACGAGATCGCTGCAGACGCGCTGTTGCCAACGATGGCGCTCGCGTCGCTCGGTTCTGTTGCTGAGCTTTCGGTCTCCGCTTCCCCCACCACCGCCGGCCAATTAGTCAAGTCGGCTCGGCTTCGTTGCTGGATCGTCAAGTGCGCGATACTGAAGCTCAGCCCGAGTACAGCTTCGTTGTGATTTACGCCTATCCCCTCTCGATCTCTTTCAGGGTCGTCTTGTAATTATAGAATGCTCGCTCGCTTCGTAAATCTATATTTGAGCTTCCGCATGACGAGCACGGATATTTCGGAGCATAGCTCTTTTCTTTTCTTTTTGGGAGAGTTTCAATTAGGTTAGAAACGAGAGACGCACGCGGGAGTCCAATCGATTGCCAAGTAGACGCGTGTAGTTGTACGGTAGGGGTCTGGAGGTTTTATTGGGGGGACCGGCTGGAACGCCGTTAAATAGCCTGATGGTCGGGCTTACGAGGACAGGAAGAGGGAGAGGGAACTGTAATTTTAACTCGAACGGATTGCTGAGTTCGGTGCGCCGCGTGGAGGGGAGCTGTAGACTTGAAAAACGGAGCAAAAATGCTTGGATAGTGGGGGGCCAATGGCGCAGCAGCATGCATCTGTCGTGCTCGTTCTCCTCTCGTTCCTCTCCTCTCCTCGCACTCGCCAGCAGCTGCACAACTCAGAGGAAAATTGCACCGTACCACGAAATACCATTTGCACGCGTGAGCGAGCGTCGCGTTTCTAAATGTATTCCCGGAGGCCAACCATAATTCTCTGTCTGCCAGTGTATAACGGTTCCGAACGAATACCTACTCCGGGTTCTCTCACTTTTTTTCCTGTTCCCCCACGCAACGCGCAATCGGAAAACGCCAAGATATACATCCAATTGTCCAATTGGCACTCAACTCTGCGGATCACAATTATGTGGGTCGCGTGGCATGCTCTTGGCCATTGCGCAGTTGATGCAACGTGAGCGCCTCATATTTTTCTTCGCAATGCAAATTATTCAGAATAGCCAACTCCGCATTTTTCTTTCGCTCTACGCTCGCTGAATGTTCCGATTCTGCCGTACTCGAGTTCGCGCAGATAAGTCGACCGCTATATACGTCGTCCACGCGCACGATAACCGTCGACCGAACGATATTACATTTTATCTGGGGTTAATAAACATTTATTGGCGGCTGTGTTATCTGGCATAGAAGCGAAATTCTGTGCAGCAACGATAAACGGAGCAACGTTCTTGGTGAAGCTATCCGTCGGCTGTGTACACACATGAGCGTGACGCCAACGCGTTTAATCAACAGAAATATAACTCTTGCGAATGGAAAGGAAGTGCACTTCAAAAGTATTTCCTTTTCCATGATCGTCACTGCCTTAACGAGAACAATAGCGGTCAATAAAATCATTCAACCTCGTCCTAAAAATATATCTTTTATTAATCGTAGCACGCGTATATTTAAGTCGACGTAGTCAATAAACTTCGCGCGGCATTTGCATAGAACTCTACTGCGCATTCGAATAGACTTTAAAGAACAGCAACGCAGTCATCTAATTTGAATTGCAAATGCTGGAGCGTTAAAGTAAAACCGTCAGATGTAATATTGAATGCTCAATCAACGTGATCACGTGATTTATTCAGCGCCAGTATGCTTTAGAAATTCCAATGAAAGCTCAGCGCGCAACGCTCTGACCCGTCGGACATGAATACTCGGAATCATCAATCAATTTACCAATTCCAGTAGGTTGTAGTTCGCGCACAAGCCCCCACTCCCGCCGCAGTCGCAAAGTTTTTCCTTAATTTACCTTTGGTCCCCTCTCTCTCTCTCTCTCACTCCCAATGGCAAACGTGCAGGGCTTTTTGGCCGCGCACACGCCCAATATAAATTACCTTCCTGCTTCCTCCCCTCTTCCTCTGACAGTCGACTTCGAAATCTCGGCGACGATATCGATTTTCCAAGTTGTACAAAGTATCCGGTGCGCATGCGCGCAGCGCGCGGCACCCGTCGGAACAACTTTGTCTTCAGCACGGATCGCTGCAGGCTTCTCGCCTCGTCGCTAATACCCCCTCCCCCCAATCCCAATCCTCAATTCCCATTTTCATTCTTCGTTGGGAGCGGCGACGCACGCGCGTAGCAGATGGAAGAGGAAGAGGCTAATGTTAATGGACGTTTCGACTGAGTCAGACTGTGGCTATATATATAGAGGCATGGGAGCAGTTGGCCTTTGTCTGCGTGTTCTGGCTGGGTTTCAAGGGGATTTTCAGGTATATACGGGAGGGGGAGAGAGATGCCCCGTTAATAATACTAGACGAAGAAAGAGAGGCAACTCGTTTCAATTTATACAAGTTTCATGTGACTCCGGGGGGGCATTAAACAAAAGGTTTGGGTCCGTAAATTGTTGCTTCTTTTTTTCGCTCTTTTTAACTTGATCTGCTCCCCTCGCTCGCGTGCGCGCGCACTTGTCGTGCTTCGTGAACAAACGAAGAGGCAAAGCCGCGCCCAACCTATTCTGTTTATACATGTGCGTATATATATATACACATACATAGAGCTACAGTACAGACTTAACTCGCGTTTGCGCAATAATCTACCATTTGCTCTCGCAGCTTTCTAAAGTTTGCTCATTTCTGACAAACCCGACGGTTCAAGTTATACGCTTTCACTCCCCACTTCCTCTCGCGACACTGCGTCTGTTCCATTTATCTCTCTACATGTGTAGAGAGTTTGCATACGTATATGCATGCGCAGCGAAGTGTATACGAAAACCTGAGAATGGTTGAGTGCACAGCTTGTCCGTTTTTCGCTTTATTTTGTTTTCGTTGAGCATTTGTGACGTAACTGGTTTTTTCTACAACTCAGGGCTGCTTCATCGAGAAAATTATTGATTGGGAAAAAATGTTTTTTTTTGTAAAAACGCTGTTGTAAGCTGATAATTTTTTGTCGAAAACCGTTATAAAACATATTTCTATAGCAGCATAATGTAATATATTTAATATTATATTCGTGAAAAACACAACCACAACAAATTATGTGTAGAACCGACTACGTATATATAGTGCTTGTATGTAATTTACCTCAGTTCGCCATCTAGCGGCCGATTTCAAACTAAAAGTTTTTAACGCGCTACTTCATTAGTAAAACGAAAATTGAGATTTTCAGAGTAAAAAAAAATTACCGTTGAGATATTGTTATATTTTTTAAGTGGAATACAGATTACGTGAGTCGCTATCAGATATATTTGTATTAAGTACTCGCCAGATACAAACAACGATAAAACGCGACATATCTTATCATTCGGAAAAATAAGTTAGAACACTTACGTTTTACTTTTGTTATTCGAACATCTAATACAATTACGACGAGGTCACATTTATGTCATACAATATTGTTACAAAACGTTAGAATTAACAATTCAAACATGTTTGAGAAATAGCTTCACTTAATAAATGACGATAAGGTCCAAGCCCCTTGCGCTTGCGTCAGCTTTTTAACGTCAATATACGATAATTGAAGCCCATTCCGCTGAAGTCCGTACTGACGAGTCTAATTGGTTCTGTGACAGCGGCTCTCGACGAAAATTACACTAGCATTACTCGTCTGCTACTGCTTTCAAATGCGACGAAGTAGATCTAAGGTTTCTGTTATAGTTGATGAGTCGATTTAGAGTCTTGTGAGTCAGAAATAATGGTTTACGTGAGTCGTCTATACTAACGATACGAAAAAATCCGCATTTCAGCTTTGTCTGCAAAATCGAAGAAACCTTGGTTCTAAATTCCTTGGCTGAAAAATTACTTCACATGCTTGCAGATATTTCATAGCATTGAGGCTTTTCGCTGGCGATTTGCTATTAATTATTGTTATTGACGTATCTCGCAAACCATACACGTCTATAACAATAATTTGTCGCTAGTGTCTAGAAATAGCTCTATACAGTCGAGACTGTTGTGCTTTTACATCTACAAAGTATTCTTTTAAAGTGAATCCGCGGTCTCATTTTGGTATACTAGACGCCATTTCGTGTACGCTTAGATCACGTGATTGTGAAAATCGTCAATAAGAATTTACGCATTTAAATGTTTCTTCGTCGAAAAATTGTTCGCATTGATAAAACGTAGAAACGTTATAGTAAGGCTTTAATCAAGCTCCAAGATAATAAAAGGCATCTATCATCTGCTGGGAACACAATATTCTTCTCTATACAAACGAGCACACGCCAAATACGTTCTTCCTGGCTTTAATAACACATATAACGGTATGAAATTTCATACTACAGCAGGAGAGAGAGATTGTCTGCGGAAAGCTGTATATGTGAAGAGAGAAAGAATGAAGGGGGAGCAAAGAACCGCTATGATTCTAAGCGAATAGCTGAAGGAAATTACATATACCTATATAGTCGTTGGAGGGTCTTCGTCAGTATAAGCGTGTGCTTCGTATATCTATCTAAAGTAAATTGAACGCATCCGCCAAGAGAAGGAACGTCTTTTACTTGTATATGGAGCCTCTATCTATATCTCTTCTTAGCTTCAGAATATCTATATGCGCACAATAGCTGGCTTTAAGCTGGGTCAACATAAAAACCGGTTTTGTGAGCGTTTCTCCCTAGAGTGCATAATGGAAACATGAGGCCGAGAAAATCAAGGCTTACGTTGTCCAACTCTCCTCTTTCTCCCGCTCTCTAGCTCACTCTCTGAATTTAATGCCGCCCCCGCTCTCGTGCAGGCTTTAACTCTCTCCCGCCCCATTCCCATTGGTACCACTACTACTACTACTACCACTACTACTTGCTTGGCGTGCCATAAAGCAGGCAGGCAGAGAGTGAGAGAGAGAGAGAGAGAAAGAGCGAGCAGACTTTGGTTGCTATAGCAACCGTCCTGGTATCCACTCGGGGCCGAGGAACTAAAAGCCGCTTTCTGTATAAGTACACGCATACGTGTGTGTGCGTAGCTTGACTAGCAAGTACGTGCAAGTGTGTCTGGGTTTGAGTGCCGCATTTCTCAACTCTGGATAGCTGTTGAAACCTGAAACGACGCTGCGTCGTTGCCAAGTCTCCTGTACGTCGCTTGCGCGGCGCAGCTTTGTTTTCTTCATATATATATTTTTAGAGGCTGTGTTGCTGCTGGGGAAAAAACCCCACACATTCATCGCACTGAAAAAAAAACTGCTCGCGCCGCGTTTTACGAGTACCCGCTAAATTGGCTCTCTCACAAGTTATGAGAGTTTTTACTGTCTGATTAATGTGTGCGACGGCGCGTGTTATTATTTCTTTTTTAGAGGTCTCCTTTTTAGTACTCTCGTGGGGAAGGAAAGAGAAAGGCGAGAAGTTGTACTCGTCGGTATAATACAGGTTTCGACGGCGAGTGAGTGGAAAAAAAAGCCGAGAGGAAGTTTTGAAACTCTATGCTCCAACTGTGCCAATGATAAACTTAACATGTTCATATGCAAATGCGTTAAGTGATATTGGGCATTGGTTGGTTTTCACTGCGTACGAATTGGTTGACGGGAAGAAACCTAAAAACCTGAATTAACCGTCAGGTTTTTTTTGTGATGATTTTTCTTTTTTCGAGATTTTCAATTTTCAAAATGTTACGAGCTTAGATTGAGTATTTCTTGATGATGTGTACGGGAGATTACGCAAAAAAATTGCATAAAAATAAAAAATCTTGTATAAGGATATCGAGTCGAGTTATATAAAAAAAGTTTAATGAAAAGTTTTGCAACGTTATACGATGGATATTTTTTGTCATCATGCGATACTATATCGCACACGCTGAGAAGTTTTACGACAAGACTAACTACGGCTATTTCTATCTTTATCGTTTATAGGCTGTAGACATACACTGCGTTGCTAGCAGCTGACGTAGCAGACTGCACATATCTAGTACATACACATGTCATTTGTTACGCGAAACGTTACGTCATGCACTGTCATGTACGTTACGTGGGAAATCGTCAATTTGAAGATAAATTTACGTAGTTTAGCTTCTACTCGCTCAACTAACGACTCGAATTGAAAATAAACGATATAGAAAGATCGAACGAAATTGTATATTGTATCAAACGAACTTACAATTTTTTTAACTTTATTTTTTTTCGTTTATCGCTTTTGCAAATACTCGTTAAATGTAAAAAAAATAGAATCTTTCAAGTCGTTATTCTAAGAAAAGATAATAAGACTAACAATTACTACGTACATTTTACAACGTAGAACAGAAAATAGCTTTGGTACAAAATTAACCACGGCAAAGTGCTTTGCTTCCGTGTACGCTCTTTAAAATCTGCCACTCTGCCTCTGGCATTCAGTTGCCTTGGACTAGCTCCAAAAGTCCGACATCCACACTGTCAAAAAGAGGATCAATTTACTTATGTAATATCGATTTTCGTCCGAGAGCTCATTTTCCATGTTACATGCACGACGTGTGTTCCATTTGCGCGTGACCAGTTACTTTGCGTGGCGAAAACGACACTAAGCCAAGCGAATAGATCGTCGCGACAATGAAACTGAATTATTTCGTCAAATTAAAAAACAAAAAAAACCCAAACCCGTCTTTTTTTTCAAATGAATTGTCTGTGTGCTCCCAGCAAATATTGATAAAACCGTGGGGTACGTGTGATCAATAGATTACGCGTTGATCTTGCTATTTACCGACATTTTTTCTGCCAAAAATGAAAATCGGCGAGGGGGAGAATTATCGCGGGCAAGAGATATTCGCTCATCGTGAGTTTTCGAAATAACGCTATATTTTATCTGACGATTCTGGCAGTTATTGGTAGCAAAAAACTTTTCAAAATTTTTGGATCGCATTCTTCCTGAATGAACAGGCAATCGGTATTTTAGTTATAAAAGTCGGCTTAAAATTAACAACGAAAGAAAGAAAAAAGAACAGAGAGAGAACTAAGTAATAGTTAAAATATGTGACCTGCAGTACTGTTGACTTTGGCATCACCGCTACCAGTCTGACTGATGTTGTTGCTGCGATAATACGTAGCAACATGTTTGTCAAGAGTTTGCACTGCAACCTTCACGGGGTCTAGATTTTTCGTCGTCGCCGGACATCCGTCAGAATTGGTGCGTTCTGCGGGTAACATTGGCGCCAGGCGGCGTTTCAGCGACGATAGCGACGATGACGCTTTCACTACATGTGCGACGAAAGAATAAAAATAATTTTTTTTCTTTTCTTACTAACATCGTATTATACATCCAAGCTTGTTTCGTTAAGTGAATGTTGATTTTCTACGAAGAGATTTAGACATAAGGTTTCACTTCACAATTGAACTTTGCACATTATTTTAATATTAATGAGAAAAAATGATGAGGTTCACATATATAAATGAAGTCAGGGGTGAAGGACATCCAGCGAAGGGTGAAGGAATTTTTTTTTTCATGCGACTCGTGTTCTAAGCCAGCTCTCGTAAGTACGTTCAACGAGCATGCGCAAAGTCGAGTCACACGGAGAGTTGCAAAAAAATGTTTATCTTTTGCTACTTCTCGTTGCTGCCTGCGATCACTCGGAGTAAACTGATAGCGTGCTGAATTTCATCATAAACATGATTGATACAGTTGTCCTCCTTCGTGCAAAGTCATGTAAAAGTCAATGAACCGGATGTGCGCCAATTTATGCATGCATTGTATCGATGAACGGAGATGAAGCTCAGATCTCCTGGGAACGACTTGATTCGTATTCTTTGTTAACGTAGCGTGACTCGTTGTTACAATTCAACTGCAGCAATTCTCACATACGTTTATTGGATTTAGAAGACCCGCGAAGAAAGTTGACGTTCTTATCGGATTTGTTAGCGTGCAAAAATTACCGAGTGGAAAGATATTTTTTATTTTTTTCGTTCAGATAAAAATATGTTGAGAAAAATACACTTCCTAATGAATAACTTTGCCGGCTCGTTTCTTTCAATTTTTCCCATACATCGTTTCGCTTACGTAATGCATATAATGCCATTTGGGAGCGTGACACCAGATACGTTAAGAAATTTGCACTGAAAATCATTTTTTTTTCCAAGAAGTGCGATTGTAAGGAATGTTCGTGTCACTCGAATGAAATTCATTTTGTGCTTTTGTTCAAGAAATAGTGAAAAAAAGCACAAAACAAATTTAAGCTTTGCAAATGCCCTGAAGGTGAACCCCCCAAAAAATTCCTGGTTCTCAGATTTAATTAGGCCATGGGCGAGATCTCGAACGCGCCGTGGTAATGTGCACCAGGAGCGCGACCGTAAAGCAAAAAGGAAGAGAAAAAAGAAAGGAAGATCCACCTTACCAGCGCTGTCGTCCAGTGTACCCCTGTCGGTGATTTTCTGGCTCCTGCTCTGCGGCAGTCTCCTGGCAACGGCGATCGGACGGCGCAAGCTCCCCTCGCTCGCGACGCGCTGCACCTCCGCGCGATGGATCCTTGTCCGCGCGGGCCGCTGCTCAGCCCTTTCCTCTGCCATACATCATTCACGACCCACTTTATTTCACGTGGCCCTGCGTTTTCTCGTCGATCGCGCGCGCGAGCGGGTGAAGGCATGCCGAGGAAGTTGGCCGAAAAGGAAAAATGCACCTTGTACTGCGCGTCGAACGCACGTGCTAACGCGCGCGCGGCGTCGCTTCGAGAAGCTACAATGCGGGCTGCATTCAGTCTTAAAATTGGCCGTAGCGAGCGAGCCATAACAGTTTTGCCAGTTGGGAATTGAGAAAGTGCAAATTATTCGCGATGACAAACGTGTAATTTGGACAGATATCGTAAAACTTTTTATCAGGTCGTAAAATACAAAAAAAAAACTCCTCGGCGAGTATCGTGACACGTGAATGTTAAGATTACTTTATACGAATGGCAACGTCAGTATTGCTGACTTATAGGTATAGATTACGCGGTACCTTACGTGCCGAAGGCACGGGGGAAAAAAAATTAGTAAAAAAAAAAACAAATACCCAGGTCATAAAAATATCGAAGTAGGCCAGGATAATTGACTTGAACGGTTAAAGATATGGGTCGAATACGAGATGTTTCAAGTACTGAAATAACGTAATGCGTTATTACACCAATCATAAATAATAATAATAATAATACTAATAATATTAATTATAATAGAATCGTGCTGGAAAAAATTGTATAAAAATATTAATTTTTTTATTTAACATAAAACCGTGATTTGAATAATTTTGAACTACTCTCAGGCAGATGCCATATTATCAGGAACGTTTTGCATGTTTTACCAAATTGGTATTTCTTATTCAATTTTAAAAGCATACGCGCATGAGATATTGGCGATTTCCTCCCAATTTCAGCGGGTACAATTTATTATATGCGAAGAGCTTTCGACATTGCGCTAAAAAAATCTGAAATTCATTACGTATTCGAATCGATTTACCGAATGGAAATGGTTTTTCTCAAAGTGAGAATTTTGTTCCTAAAGTACGAAAAATTGCTGGTAATTTCGAGAACATGTTTTTTTTTTTCGGAATATGACAAATTCAAGAGCAGTTTATTCTTTCTTAGCTTTCTACGCCGCATTCCGAAACTGTAATAATAAATGAGGTTGATAGAATGTATATCGATTAAACGAACATTCTTTTTTTCCAATCCGTCCCTTCCATAGACTGCTTGTTCAAGTCAAGGGCACTGAGACCATTGTTCGTATTTATTGGCCCAGAGTAATTGCTTTGACTGAATTTTTTTTTAGCTCAGCGCGCATTATATAAATTTAATCAGCCACTGGACGCATTGTAAATGGCCATTGTGTACTTATCGTGTACACAAGAGTAATTACGACCACTTTAAACTCGTTTACGTGCTTGTATTATGTGTATTAATTGCCGGTATAGTACAGCTTCAAAACGGTGAAACATAACTAACTTTCAAGCGTCACCTGCATAAGTAATACCAACAATAACCTTGCTAAACAAAATAATTCGTATCGCGATAAAACCAAAATGTTTATCGTTGCGATAAAGAATTACACTCGCAATTCGGTTTTGTGCGTGTCGCGTGATCTGCCACCGTTTTATCGCAGCGGCAGGAGGGACTAATGAGTTTTCCTCGCGCATGGCAAACAAAAACCCGTAGCTGAAAAAAAAGTGAACAAAAACCAAAACTACTGACGTCTGACATCTTCACGAGCCCAGCCGCCGAAAACCAGTTCCACTGGCAAATGTATACGACAGGCGCGACCCACGCGCTACTGCAGAATATGGTCACTCGAAGAAAGAAGAAGAAACCATTATCGTTTATTTTGTCCGACCCCTTATATCGCGACGTGATGTATACCTTTTTCTTCGTCGGCGAGATCGGGACTTTTGCACTTTCCAAACCCCGACGAGCAGCAATCCCGCGTCTGTCCGTCGGCGTCGTCATCGTCGTTGTCGTCGACATCGTTGACATTATCGATCTTCTCCTGCTTGTCGTTCCGTCGATTCGTACGAGCACTCTCGTGTATACTCTCCGTGCTCTCAGCCGCTCTATACTGTTCCAAAGCCTGCTGCTCTAACTCCTAGAGGACACGGATTTTTGTTTTTTTTTTTTTTTTTTTTCACGTTCCCGAGGGAGTCGCGCGCTCGACGCGATGCCCGATTTCGGCGCAACAGAGCGCGCGTTGACGACCGGTCGCGGGTGCGACCCGACCACGTTACCGATTCTTCGTCGCGCTGATTGCCGACGAGGAGCCACACGGAAACGAACGAGAAGTCCGAGCGAAACGCCGCCTGCCTCGCGGCTCGGGCAAAGTCGCAAACCAAATTATAGCCCTCGACCCGAGCGCCGAGAGCTAATCTCCGTGTATATACCCCCCTTGCATTTTCGGGCGCTGCTCACGGGCGGCCTTAACGCGTGATTTACGGGGCTCGCGCCGCGCAAGTTTTGCGATAGCAAAGCCGGAAAGCTGCCGCGCGCGAGGAGCGAAGCAACCGGCACCGGAGGGAAAGCTGGATCGGCCGGGCGTGCCTGGAATACGCACTTGGTATCGGAGAGCGAGGCACTCCTCCGAGGACCGATACTGCTCCATCGCCTGGCGCTCCAGCTCGTCGTAGCTCCCCTCCAAGCTCGGCGCCTCGGCGTCGCGCGCCGGCGGGCTGGCCGTGGCCGCTTCCTCGTCCTCGTCGTCGGACGACGTCGTCGCGCGGCCCACGCCGCTCGGCTGCGACGTGCTCACCGACACGAATTCCCGCTCTCGTTTCTGCGCCATTCAACACCATTCGGTTATGGTCGCCGGCGCGGAGCCCCGCGCTCGGCTGCCATCGGCCGGCGCTGAGAGTTGCCGCTTCGACCGGCTGAGCCGACCTCGTTGCGTTCGGAAATATCAGTCCGGACGGCGAACCCGTGGAAAGCGCATAATTCAGTCAAGCATATATACAGTTCGGAATTGGGATGACCCAACGAGGTCGCCCGTAAATGTTGCCTCTTATACCAATACTTTCAAAGCTCTCTAATTATCTCTAATTGACATTCGGATGGCGAATTAATGCACACGTCTGACTTTAATTAAGATTCGCCGAGCGACAACTTTTTCTGCAACGAAAATGTGTTATGTTTTTTCTTCCATCGTGGTTAAGGATACCTCGTTCCACGCTACAACGCTAACAGTACTCGTATGCGGAATATTGAAAATCAATTATAAAAGCCATAAGCGTACGCAAACGCATTGGAAATGTTTCGAATATCCCGAATAAATTATCCGGTTTTATGCGCGCGGCATCATTATGAATATAAATAACCGAATAATCTCGGAGCTTATTCCCCTCCACCCGCCTGCCTCCAATGGCAACCTCGTTCGAGAGCACCGGGCAAAATATTTATTTATGATATCGATCGATCGAAAAACGTGCCTGATTCGCGAGAGCGAAGCAATATTCGTCGCAAGAAATCCGGCGTTGGATTACGAGGCCGTAATTTAATGCATTGCGAGCGAAGACAATTCTTTCAAGACGATCTCGTCTCCAACGCCCCCCCCCCCCCCTCCCCCTTCCCTCCGCCGTCGTATTTCAATTTTTCGCGAACGATCCATCTTCTGGATCTGAAAATTAAAGCCTCCCCACCCCTTCCCCCGAGTAAAAAAGAGACGAGAAATTTCCTCACCAGCCCTGAGCGCAATTTACTTCCCCTTGCCGGGGGCGTCGCGAATCAGCGGAGGAAGGAAACGCCAGTGAGTAATGTTCGGGCCGGCGCGCGCGATACCTGGTATCCTTTGTCGAGCCACCTCGTGGTCGCGGCGTCGGGCTTGACGTGGCTCGTCCTCGCGGACTCGGCGAACGACTTCCTCGCCGGCTTCACTTGAGTCTTCCTCACCTTCATCGCGCTCTTCGTCAGCAATATCAGATTGTTGAAGTCCACACCCTGGCTTTTTCTCCGCTGCGGGTATTCCTGGTTGATTTTGGCAGTTCGCTGATAAACTGGGATGTGCTTATGGGCCGTCGTCGGGTGTTTGTTGGCGGTAGCCTCGGTAAGCCTGACGGGTGGTCGGTGAACGACGATCGGACACATCGGCGCCGGTGCCGGTGCTGGTATGGGTATCGCTGGCGGGGGCGTCGGTATCTGGTGAATCGGGACCGGCGACGGCAATATTCTTTGAGCCCACGTCTGGGACGGCCAGAGCAGTGTGCTCACTATAGGCGTTGGAACCATTGGCATCAGAGTGTTCTGAAAGATTGCGATCGGGCGTGATTCGCCGTTTTGCGGAGAGGACTTGACCGTGAAATTCTGGAAATAGGCATGCCACGCGAGTGCGCGATCTGCAAACGCACCGCACTATCAGGTTATTATTGCGCATCGTTTTTTTTTGTTTTGCGGGTTGCGCTCTATGAAAAGAAACAATGCTCGAATACCTGCTTAACAAAGACACAGCCTTAAGGCTTCTTTTCGCGACACTTTTTAACGCTGCTATCAACTGCAAATTCTCAAACGTGACTTATCTACATTCCTACTGGGTCAGTTCATTTTCTCAAAACTACCTTGAGTTTCGAAGAAAAAAGTTCTATGACAATAAATAATAGACGTGACACTTGACGAACAGCGTATTCCTTTTATCTAAAAGGAAAAGCCAACCAGAGACGTTAGACGCTAATCAAACGATCGCTCAAAAGCATAATCAATGATTTATTGGAAGAACCGAGCGAGATTTGGGAAGTACCACGATAGTGGCGGAATTGAAATCAAGTACCAAAAATAACAACTGGCCTTTCGTCGCAGCTGTGGAAATGAGTAGTAGATTAAAATGGATGCGTCGACCGGCGAGACACCTCTTTATAAAGTTCAACGTCGACGTTCTTCTATGAGCGCTAATGCTCGATCCGACGACGGGGAAGTTGCTTCTTAATAGAGCGCATCAATTCCAAATATATATATATATATATATATATATATATATATATATATATATATATACACACACATACACGCTCTGACGGATATTTGCCACTTCGCGCTCTAGCCTCGCTGCTGCCCAAATCAATCTTAATCAAAAGCCACTTTAAATTCCGCAAAGGCAATAACCATTACAATGACTCTCCAATGCATTGAAACAATTAAATCAGCTTGCCGCTGGCATTGCCAGAACGAAATTGACCGAGGGACTTATTCTTATCCTCGATCGTGCGACAAAGAAAAATTGTTTTTGACAGGTCGCGATCAAACGGCCAATCCGAGGCCAGTTCATTGTTATAACGTGAAAACTACGACTGGTAAATTCAGTGGTGCTTTTGTTGTGCGCAATTAATGGCTATCTATGTGAACTTCGATTGCAGATAAAAATTCAATTCCGAACGTTATCAATTTTATATTTCGATGCGAATGGATTCTACGCTAACTAGATTGGCTTTTAAAATTTAGATTGCGCGGTCGACTTTATTTTATATTTCAGGTGGAACGTACGAAAGCTCGTGCTTTTTTTAAATTACAATTTTTCCAAACGCTAAACGTTCTTTTTTATGAGAAAGTAGAAAAAATAAAACATTTTAAATAAAAACGTGATTAATTAGGTTTATTATGGATATACGTAAGGAAACGAAAGACGTGACTCGACGGTAAAAACCCGTAATAAGTTTTCTAGAAAGGAAAAAAAAACTTGTGCAGTAGTTACGAATCGCATCTTTTTCCAGAAAGTTGGAAAGTAGCGATAGTTTTACGATTTTAAGACTAAAGCAGATAAACCCAGAATTACACAAGTTTCATTTTGAAATAGAGACCTTAAGGATAGTTATCTAAAGATATAATCTTCAACAGTCTCCCGTACATTTTCTGGCATTAAGAACTACGTTCATTTGAGCCCCTATTACAATAGTGTGAATCGATCTGATATATCTGGTATAGCAGAATATTCGACATATAGAAATGAAGTCGACAAAATCCATTAAAATTGGACAAGGTAGATATCGTCCAGCCAGACTAAATAGGCCACTTGTAAGCAAATTTAAAAAGAAATGACTTATGATCTTACATTTCGAATTGGCAAATATATAAAAAGTTATTTTAAAAAATCGACAAAAATATTTTATTTTCAAACAACAAGTATACCAATCAATTCAATGAGCAAAATCTAGACAAACATCTCGTTACCGCTTTTTGGTCTGACTCTGTTTCATTGGTATAAGATCGTTATAAACAATTTCAAAATATCAATAATTTTATGTTTTTAAAAATCCAATTACAGTAATCGCTACTACGGAAAAAAATCAATACAAAAACTTTCCCAATGTTTTTAGTCACCTTCACTATGTTTTAAAGATTTCAAAATTTGTTTTGAAATTTTTAAAAATAATGGGGACAATCGACAAGTAAACTCAAGATACAAATTTATTTTATTGGGTTAGTTGTTTGTCGAAAAAAACGCTAGCGGATTTTTGTCCTAGAAGTTTTTTAAACTATTTTTGATGAAAAAATGTTAAAGAGATTTTTATTTTTGATGTTTTATTGAAACCATATTTTCGTTTAATTTTTAAAAATTTAAGAATTTCAAGCTGTTTATATAATTTTTAGCAAAATCCACTTTCCACCTCTTATACAAAATACACCTCCATCACTCTTTTGTAAAAAAAGAGAACCTAACAAAGTGAAGTCAGTTTATACTCGTGAACTGATTGATTGACAGATAGTCACATAATCAACTGATGTGGTATAGTGTACATATGTTGTGTATGGTCATTAAAGATTACTGTAGATTTTTATAGATGATTAAATGTTCGAAAGATGTATTGGCTTGAATTTTATATGAAATGATTGATTTAAATCTAACCTCAAAATAAAAATCGCCTGATACCTCGGTAGAAAAATTAATCGAACTTTTCTCTATGCGAAAGTTTAGCTTCGAATAAACAAAGTAGAGAATAAAAGGTATAAATCAATAGATTATTATGGTAAAATATTGTGCATTGATTCCGATTTTATTAAGTTACGTAAACTATTAGAATATTTTTTTAATGCACTAATTACAACTGTAAACATATAGAAAATTATGTTATTTATATTCTGAAGGACATGATTATAAAAAACTATAATGTTTTCAGAACTTACGTTATATTTTTTATCGTCTTATTCACACTTTTGAATAATGATTTTTTTAACGCAGAACTTCGGATGATAATAACTTAAAACTTCATTGATAATATTTTTAAATTATGAGTATCGACGTAACTGTATAAATAATATCGTTGGCTAGATCTTATATCAGATCAAGGGAATATTTATTGCACATTGAATTTTCGAATTTTTAATTTTGCCAATAAGTTTTCATCTACATGCGTGCATTAAATCGACTGCGAAAAATTGACGAAAAGGATGAGCGCGTTAAGCATCACTAGCGGTGTTTAATGATAAAACGCTAAAGAGGTTTTTGTTTTGGATTGTTTCGTAGAATCGATTGTCGCTTTAATTTTTAAAGATTATGAAATGTTTCAAATCTCGAATCATTTATGTCAATGTTATACCAAAAAATAGAGTCTGACGGAAACGAATAAAGAGGTTTTTCTATTAATTTTTCTCGTAGAATAAATTGTCTGTATTAATTTTTAAGGATTAAAAAACGCTAGATATTTTGTATGTTTTTTTTTAATCATACGTTCTTTTAATTTCTAACGATTACACAAATGAAAAAAATTTTGAGTTTTTATAGATTTTACACTAAGAGGTTTTATGTCTTGATTTTTACCTTGAATTGATTAGAATTGATTAGTGTGATTGATTTATCAAGAAAATAAAAATTTTGACGATTTGTTTAAATAACTTTTCACAAACTATTAAAAATGATAAAAGAGAAAAACACCTTCTTCGATTTACCTACGAATGATATGATTAGTTTAATGTTACCTAGCTCAGCTTTCGCCTGGGTCTCAATGAGTTAAGAAAGCCACTATAGACAATAAAAACACTTATGCTGAATATATTACCAATCGTTCCATTCGATTTTATTCCTAGAATTTCAAGTCGTAATTGTCGCGCCTGAAACTTTACTCTTTACCTAACCAAATCTGTGATTTTGGACAAAACCTAACAGTGCCATTTTGTGATCCTAAAAGTATTCCATTTCAAGCAACTTGCGCAGGTTCGATATCATCAGAAATTGTCGAGACATACCGCATGCGGGCTAAATCTATCGACAGGACATCCAATATAGGACGAAGCCGCGCCAAAGCTAAATGCCTTCCTCGGATTTGATGCCGGGGGGGGGGGGGGGCATTGTGCATCGAATATGGCTATCCTGCACGACGCCTGCACAAAGAGGCTTCACTCTCCACCGGGAAATTACTTGGTACAAAGCGACGGCTTTCCTGCTGGCGGTCTGTACGTGAGCCTTGTACGAGTACGCATCGTCCTGGTAGGGACTCTCCGCGTATTTGGCGTGATCATCGGTCGTCGTTGCCGGCAGCGGCCACGCCACACCACTTTTGCTGTTGCTGCTCAGCAAGAACTCCGGTACCTCCACGCACAGCGGCGCCGCACGTTGCTGCTGCATCGCACTCAGCGTCTGCACGTACGGATAGTGGAGACGACTCCTAGGTAGAAGGATTTCAAACGTCATAAGTTAATGGTTTTGGTGATCGACAGTCGAAACCTGCACGCGCTGCGCAGCTAAAATTAACTGAGGGGGTCTCTCTCTCTCTCTTTCTTTTTTTTTATTTTTTATTTCATCGGAGTCTGATATAAATATAACATCAATTTATTTCCGTGAGCAAAGTTTGCTGGGTTGAGCAAAAGATCAAGAAGAAAAACGGGGAAAAAGCGATATTTGCTACGTATTTTACGACGAGTACTAAAAATTCTTGTACAGCGCGGTATTCTGATATCGCGTGCGATTTTTTTCTTTTTTTGCGCAAGCCACGATCGATCGTTTTCTTCCATTTAACGCGTGCGTGCGTTTCCAAAGCGACAAAAAAAAAAAAAAACTGTTTCGAGCCAGCTCGCGAAAGTTTTTCCTCGAAATTTCATTCATGGTGCAGCGAGCGTTCTATTGTGCAGCGGTGTGGTAAGGCTGTGGTTTGGCGAATACGGCGAGCAACGTTAGCGACGGAAACAAAACCGTGATTGTAGCGCCCGTGAATTCGTCTCGAGAATGCTGCACGCGCGCGCGTTGCGAGCGTATATAGCTTCCGAAGAAGTTCCCCTTGCGAGCGACTAGTTCCTCTTTATTTTCTTTTCTTTTTTTTCCATCGATCTTGAGCTTCGCCTTTCCCTCCCCCCTCCTTTCGGCGAGATCGATAAAAAACTACGCCTTCGCGAAGTTGCTGATTTATTGACGGGCTTTGTACGCGCGCAAGGGTGGACAGCATTCAATTCCAACCCGATGAACTGTGTGTGTGTGTGTGTGTGTGTGTGTGTGTATGTATTTTTTCAGCTGAATTATACAGGTGATGGCGAATGGTACGTTTCAACTTTGTCATTTTTTTACGAACACGAGAAATGGCAGATGTTGAACTGTTTCGTTTTTTTTCTTTTTCTCTTCTTATCAACAATACGATATCGGTGTACGAGGGAGCGAACATTTCTCGCAAAGCAGAGGAGCTCGAAAGATTCGCGCTGTAAGAGAAATCGCTCTTGTCGGAGATCAAATTGACCCCCTTCCCACGATCCGCGAACCGCATTTTCGGTTCGTTTACGCATTGATTGCGATCATTTTCCTACAGGCATCGTCGTATCTGTCAAGTCTCTCGGGGGGAATTTTTGGCACCCTACACACCCAATGGGTCTTTCACTGCCAAAGATTGGCAAACGACGATCCTAGAAGAGAAACCCAACCATATGGTAAATTAACGCAATCTTTGGCTTAAAACGCAGAACACAGACGTAGAAACGACCATAAAATAAAGGGGAGGGGGGAGGGTCAATATGTCTATATACGGCATTCGAAGTCTCTCCGCCTGGAAATTGCTGTGAGTTTGCTGTACGTCGCTGCTGGCCCTGGAGCGCGTCCTCAACAATCCGAGTTCTCGCTGCAATTCGTCGCGAAGTCCGTGGTGAAGCAGCTGTTGCTGCCGCTGCTGGTGCTGCTGCCGTTGCTGGGCCGCGAGCGTCGTCGTCGTCGACCGCCTCGGCGGACTGGGCGAGCGCCACAGGTTGCGAACCGCCTCGCTGAAGATGCGACCCTCGAGCTGCGCCTCCGACACGTTCGTCACGCTGAAGCGCGGCGGCGTCGCTGTCGTCGACGTTATCTCGTTGATTTCTCGCATGCTCAGGGCCGGCGTTTTATCTGGAAATTGACAAGGATCGCGCGCTTTAACCATCGCGAGCCTGTTCCCCTTCGTGCGTGCATCGATTCGCCTGTTCACTTTGTTCGACTCTGAGCTCTGCTCCACAAGTGGTCGAAATCACTTTTTCAGTGGAGCTCGAATTGATGGAAACAATTAACGAAACTTTCAAGTGCAAATGAAGGCGTTAAATTATTTTTTCATGGCTGTGATATAACTTGAAAAACTTCATTTTGGTACAAAAGATAAATTAATAAATGAAAGTAACGCAGCGAAACATTAACAGGTGTTTTTGTGCAGTATTCATGAATGAATAATTTTTTAAAAATTTGGAAATACCTCTGTCTTCTCGGACCGACGCCGTTTGATTACTCGATTTATGCGAATCTGACGACGTTTCGTCACGTTTCGTTACTCTAGAACGTTCGAAAAAGTGTCGTTAAAAAGTTTTCCCTCGATCCTACCCATCAAATTTCATTTGTATAAAACGTCATTGAAATTGATGCTCTAACGTATATATTGTAGAAACTTTCAGCTCGGAAAGTATATGATACTCCTCTAGAGTTAGTTCCGCCTCCTACACTGGCTTTCACGTTAATATAGTTAGCGGCTGTAGCTTTGCTGCGCGACCGATCGTTAATCACAATTTTATTTGGAATTATCTCGTAGGTTTCGTTCAGTTTTTAAAAAGAATATGCAACGGAAGTGACGTTAGCATCTGTCAATCCTTTAGAAACTCTGAATCCGTTACTTCGTTCCCCTGTAACTGGAACTCTATTGAATGCAGGAGTCTCTAATACGATGCGAGTGCAGTTCGACATATGTCGAAACATTCGCGAATCTGATTCAAAGTAAAATTGCACAGCTGCTGCTTCGTCGCGACGAAACTGGAGATATCATCGTCAAAAAAAAAAAAAAAAAAAAAATCCACGAGCGCGAGCAAAGGCGACGCGCGCGTGCGATTTTCATCTCGCTGACAGCTCGCCCGACACGTCTGCATCAAGAAGAATGGTGGCATCGCGGTTCGAGCAACAGGCTTGCCGTTACGATCCATACGGAAGGCGACATCATAACTAACTGTTGCCTGATGGAGCGGCTTCGTTTGCCAGCGTCGGCTATCCTGGCGAGATACTCCTCGACCTCGTCCAGCATCCAGGGCAGCTGCTTGTCGTCGTTGTTTCGCGATCCGTTGCTCGGCTGCACCTCGTCATCGTCGTCATCGTCGTCGTCGTCGGTGTCGTCGTCGTCGTCGTTGTTGTTGTTGTCGTTGTTGTCGTCGTCGTCGTCGTTATTGTCGTCGTTATTATCGTCGTCGTCGTCGTCGTTATCGTCGTTGTCGTCGCCGTTGTCGTCGTTGTCGTTGTCGTCGTCGGCGGCGGCGGCGTGAAGCCCGGTCTCGTCCTCGTACTCGAAGTCGCCGTACGTGGCGAGCCGCGACTCCGGGATCACGTCGCGAACACGCCGCTGCGAGCGCGTCGCCGAGCCCAGCTTAGCGTACTTCTCGGCTATCTTGCAGCACTGCGGTTCGTCACGTTCGAGCGTTACAGCCAGTCGCCGCGAACGGGCGATTCTCGATGTTCGTTACGCGTCTCGCGGCAGTCGCGATAAGTCGCGCGAATACGTTGGACGAGAAGTCGCGAGGATTCCGATCGACGCGTGCAGCCGGCCGAGAGTTCAGCGTCGTTCGCTCGGCAAAACAAGACGAGGCCGAGGTAGAAAACGCGAGTGCACGCAAGTTCGACGCGTCGCGCAATTGAGGTCAGCGTCGGTGCATTGCGCCTTCGCGTCTGCTCGATCGGCGATAAAAGCGAAAACCTTCGCGAGCGCGCGGTTATTGGGTTCGCGAGCGAGCGATAATGCCTCCGCTGGGCAGCCGCGCGAGCGGCGAGCGCCGCGGCGTTACAGCCGAGTGCAAGGTAATTAAACCGGCAGTTTAAATTAACGCGCATCGCCCGAGCAATTGTCGAAGATCGTTGACTCCGCGTGTAGCGTGAATGTCGCTCGGGAAACGCTGCGTTGTCCTCGCGGGGACGACGATCACGAGAGTAACCCCATACTCCTCTCGCCTGACGCGACGCGGCGTCCGCGGCATGCAGGATACGGGCGAGCTCTCGTACACCAGGGGGCCATTTTTCACGTTCTCGGCACGCCAAATCGGCGAACCGCGCCGCGCTGACTGAGCGCGCGTATTTTGAATATCCGACGAGCCGGTGCACGGGACGATCGTGCAGATACACCAAAGCCCATCTGCTCCGCCACGATATACTTGACGATTCGAATCGTCTTGACTCGCTCGAAAACGCGCCTTGAGCAATCTCCAAGCTTCTCCTTCAACTTTTTTGTTGTTTTTCAAAACTATGCGCGTGCTCTGTTAGAAAAACTGGAGAACTTGAAATTTTTTTTTTTTTTTTCATTCTTGTTGTCATAGAAAACGGTTGTTGGTACAACCTTGAATGGTCAGCTTTCTCATACGCGAATAAAGAACGATTCAATGTTTTCGGTCCCAAAGAGGACGCGAGAGACGCTTATGTGAATCCACGTCCCGTTGGTAATCGCGATTTTCGATTCGCGCGTTGACTTGGCGTAGAATCGAACGGCGCTCGCCTACAATTTTCTTGTTTTTATCTTTAAGCATTCGACAAAGATGTCAGTGGAAACTGTGCAGTGACTCATTGACGGATAGGTAAAAAACAATGGAGGTGTCTTTTCAAGGCGCGTCGACCCGGTGATATCCGCGTTTTTACCTGGCGAAAAGCGGCCCGACACACTTTTTCGCAACCAAACAACTCCGCGCCTCGAGTTGAGCTAGCGGACGATAACGCGATTAGCAAAGTTAGCGCCGGTGCGCCGTTCGCGATAACTTTTCCGGCTATAAACGGCGAGCAAAAGAGAGAGAGAGATAGAGTGAGAGTAAAAGGGCGAGCGAGAGAAAGAGAGAGAGAGAGAGAGAGAGACACGAATAAAAAAACGTAACCTCGCAGCGGCGAATAAACAAATACACCACGACGAGCGTCTGCTAGACCGAGTTCCCCGAGTAAACAGAGCGATGCGCGAGAATGATAGTCACCCTGATCCAAAGTCGTCGATTGAGTCTCCGATAGGATGAGCGGTTGCAGCTGCCGGGGCACCAGATGTCGTCGGCGGCGAGGCCGACGTTCGCTTGTGCCGACCTCACTGACTCCTGCTCGTCGCGCGACGATGGCGACCTGGGCATCGCATTCTAACCCGGCGGCGCTCGCGAAAACAAGCTTGGCCAGAAAAATGACTGGAAAGCGCCGGGCTTGATTTGCTCACTTCATGGCGCGCCATGAATTGGCTCGCTTTCGACCGCGCGCCCGACCGATTCGGACGCGCGTCGTTTCTCCATTTCTCGCGGCACTCCGAGGATATCGTTTATCCCAAATCGCGCGTTCGCCCGCGGGAGAAAGCGCATCATGATTTTCCTCGCGGCGCAAAATTGAGATGACTTTCTTCGCGGTGAAAACTACAACATGCTCTCCTCCCGCGATAGAAATCATCGTTCGAGTCGGCTTTCGAAGGCGATTTTCAACGGGTTAATTGTTACGCTACGTGTCCTCGAATATATCATCGCCTCGGAGCGAAAACGCCGTTCTGGTTAAATTTTCCGCACGTTTCGTTCTTTTGAAAAAGAAGAAAAAAAAAGAAAATATACGACCTTCTACGCGTCGCTCGTACGGCCGCGTACGATACAGTTCGCGCAACTTTTCGCAAGACATCTGCAGCGTGGCGGGAAAATACTATTTTCCTACATATGCGCGCGCGACTGCGCTGCGTCGCTGCTACTCGACGTACCGCCATAATTTGCCATTTGTTTGCGCGCTTATCGCCGGAGCCTAGCGAATCGTCGGAAAAATATGTTTGGTCCACTGGTCGGTCGAACGCGCAACTTTTTTCTACTTTTCCTTTTTTTTTTTATTTACGCGAAACCTCTTATCGTCCAGTTTGCCGAGCGATATTAGTCGGTTTTTGCGGTGAAAAGGAAAACATCCGTGTTACGTAAGGTGTGGAAAATTTTAATCCGCGCTTTGTAAAAATCAACTTTGAATCACGTAACACAACTCCGGGCGCAAATTCAATAATATATAATTTGCACTTGAAGGAAGAGTTGACATCCGAAACTCCCTTGACTACGCGCACGAAAGAGCAGTCGTGTTTCCGAAAAGAAACAAAACCTTCCGCGAGATGTTTCATAGCCCCCCCCCCCCCCTTCAACCAACTCTATATATCCAATTATAGAACGTATAAAACCATTTCTGGCAGGACCGAGAAACGAGAGCCGTGTCCCGCCTTCGTCGAGGGTCTCTGGATGGAAACTTTTGATTTCAAAATTCCTGCGAAACTTTTTTTCTGCTATACCTGCCTTATGCCCAAAAGTCTGCGAACACGCCTCTTTTTACAGCTGACAGCACATAATAGAAGTCCTTGTTCGACTCCCCTTCTTTTTTCTTTTTTTTTTGTAGTCAAAAATTTCTGAGTGGAAGATTTCAGATGTTGAAAAATGCGAGAAGTTCCATTTTTATTTATTCATAGTCACGACGAGAAATATGTGGGTACATATAGTGGGAATGTATCTGAAGAATAGTCATGTTGAATGTATTATGTGTATCTTTTCTCCTTCTGAATGGCATGAGCAAGCGGGTCTCATTCCATCACAATGTGATTAATGGTCGTGGGAACGCTGGCAGATCATTTGTTTTCTTAATCTTCTGAACGGCAGACATGAACGTGAAGAAGAAGAAAAAAATGAATTCAACTATTTTCAATTTGTCATTAGAAACGCTGATAACACGTCCGTGATCTTTCTGAAATGTGAACCGTCGAACGAACCTCGCTTGTTTCACTGAAACTCCAAGAAGAGACAAGTAGTAACTGAAACAATAAGCAATCCTTCCGAGTACGAAATGCAACCTATAATTCGTTCGACTCATCCTCCTGACTATTTTTCGCAACCAAGCAATGAAAGGAATGCCGCTCATTCAGCAATGCAAGCTTTCGCATACACACATGCATAATCATCCAATTGACATTTGAAAAATGTTTCCCCTCCTTTTCTCTGTGCCTCTCGTCGCAGTACGGGTAACATTGTCACCGAGTTGACAACGCCTGCTGCACTCGGTAGCGTACTGTCAGCGCCAGTGTGGCCAACATTTCGGGGCGGCCACGTTTGTTTGTTGTTCTTATCCAGCTGTGCGACTGCGGACGCTGACGAGTGACGCTACTGTTGCCTGCCAGATTATCGAAAAACCAAACAAAAGAGCTACAGTTGTACGTATAGTGTGTGTAATACAGATACACAAGCAGCAAACATAAACAAGCGCCAGTGCTATGAGAGGTGCAGTGCAGCACACTTAACGACCTTTTGTTGGTGAAAAGTGTGTCAAAGAGTCATTCTCATTTCTGTCCTTTTTTGTAGGTTATGACTCATACGTTCGACTTTTTCGCAAAAAGTAGCAGCTGCTTAAAATGGATTTTCTGATCGGCCAAGTTTGACACATCGCATGAGTGGAACAATATATCAGTAGAAACAGCTGATCAGAAGCATTATCGCCTGTCAGACGCTCAATTGAATCGCGCGGGGAATAAACCAAAGTTAATAAGCTCGTAAACCATGCCGTCCATTGGAATTTGCTGCTCGAGTGCAGATACGTGCAACACATAGATATGAGCTGCTGCACAAAAAAAACAGAACTAAAGGGATTGTGATAATTTTTTATTTAATTGATACCAACGTAGACATGCCTAGCACTCATCAAGCTGCTCCAGTGGGGATCAGAGTTATAGAATGGACTACTAGCAAATGTTGTCCGCATGACCGGAGAAAAGATCGCATGACATGGCATCGTGCTGGCGTACTTGCTCTTACTTATTTGGCATACACTTGCTATCATATGACAAGGAAGCCAATTTCAGTTGCCAAAAATGTACTTAGTCAAAATTGTCGTGATATTTTACCACCTCCAGGTGTTATTGTCAATGCTACCAACAGGGAAACGTGGTGTGATTGGGCTCCATTTGGTAAGTTTCTTTTCTTTGTCAAAGGTTCGTGTTAATTACATAGCTTTACACAGTCAGTGGTCATTTTAATAATTTATAATTACAGATAGACCAGATGCCTCTGCCTTACTAGGAACACTAGACTCTGCGTTTTTATTTAGCTATGCTGCCGCTATGTTTATCAGTGGTTTCATTGCAGAAAGAGTTAATCTGCGATATTTTTTATCACTTGGCATGATTGGAACAGGTATTTTCACTTACCTTTTCGGCATTGCAAGGCCTTACAATATTCATAACTTGTGGTACTTTATATTTGTACAGGTATTTTCTTATCAGTTATGTAAAATTAACATTTAAATAATTCTTCCCCCCTCTTCCTATATAAGCATTATTTTTTCAGGGTATGGGAGGAGTATTTCAAACATCTGGCTGGCCAGGTGTTGTCACAGTTGTTGGAAATTGGTTTGGTACAGGGAAGAGAGGTTTGATATTTGGCATTTGGAATTCACATACTTCCTTAGGCAATATTGTTGGTACGATCATCGCAGCAGAATATGTTGAAAGGGACTGGGGATTGAGCTTTATGGTCCCAGGAGCCATTATAGGAATTTGTGGATTCATTCTCTTCCTGTTTTTGGTACCAAAGCCAGCTGATGTTGGCTGTGTACCACCTGGATCTTATGGTTATAGAAAAATAGAATCTACTCATAATTCTGATGAAGAGAACGACCATGATGATGAAGAGTCTGCTTATAATGCTAACAGGGTATGTTTTTTTTATTACCTCGAAAGACATTAGTAGTATATTAACATATCCAACTTGAAAGATTTCATGTTTAATCAGTAGTGTAAATCATCTGAGGAACAAACAAAAAATTGTATTTATCAAAGTACTGGTGGTGCAATTGTTGAATGTCATTTGTAATTAATACTTAATTTGATCATGCTAGATATGTAATTTAAGGCATACTCAAACTCTCGCAGTTGTCCTTAACACTTGCAGTGACTTTAATGAATTTGAAATACATCTACATTTTTGACACATTTACTGCATGCTTATAAAACTATGTAACCATATTTTTTGTTTATCCCTACATCACAGAGAATCACGTATCGAAATACTGGGCGTCAGCAGTGCGTTACTAATGTTGTAAGTGCATGACTTATTTTTTGTTTTGACTTATCATGCTTAAAAACATTCCTGACTTTATAGATTTTTAGTTTGTCCATTATAATTATCAATGACTAATCATTCTTATTCATACTCTCTTGATTTATATACAATACGCATATAATTGACAACTTTGCTTTTTTGAAAGCTCACATCTTATTTTATTAATAGTACTGAGGTGACCTTTTCATTCAACAAATATTGTTAATGATGTTTCAATGTCAATCAATTGTATATATTAAGAATGCAAGTCGAAATCCAGACTTTTCTCCTATGTCAACTAACAATGTATTAGGAGATTTTAACACAATGATAATACTCTGTATTGCGAATAATTTGAGTGAGCATTTTTTATCAGTAGATTGAAATAAAACTTCATTTTTTGTGTGTTACACCGAAGGATTCTGTAATTGATTTCACGGAGACAAGTCCCATATTGTCGGTGAATCAAAACGTAGAAAGTACCGACGAGAGAGCTGTTGGATTTATGGGTGCAATTAGTATACCTGGCGTTATTGAGTATTCTCTGTCGCTGTTTTTCGCCAAACTCGTTAGCTACACATTCCTCTTTTGGCTGCCGCTCTATATCTCCAGCTCCAGTAAGACATTTATGTCATTATTATGGTCAAAGTATTGAGAAATATAGTTTTTTAATTTATTTAGTCACCGTTGAAAGATACGTTATCGTTAATTGCGTGTTTTTCAAATTAAACTGTTGTTAAAACGTTTCTTTGTTGTTGTACAAAGCTCTATTGTATCTGGAACCCTCTTTGATAAAGTAACAGATAAAATACAATAGAGCTTTGTTCGTTTAACAGTGTCCAGATTTGACATGGACAAACGAACGTTATTAAATAAATCTGACACTCTCATTGAATTTCACTTACTCAATTGCATTAATCTCCACAGCAACCTACAATCCGACATTGAGTGCGGATTTGTCGACGCTATTCGACGTCGGTGGAATCATTGGTGCAATAATCGCTGGCGTGTTATCCGATTTTTCGGGTATGAGTGCGTTGACCTGCGCTGTTATGCTAGGATTGTCCTGTCCGACGGTCAGTATATACGTGACAATCCACCAATAAATTCACTTAACCTGATTGTTTCCCATCGTTTATGGGGACTGCATTGCGTGTGCATCTATTAATGTCGCTATTCAACTATAATTCGGTTTGCTAACAAAAAATTTGTAATATTATTTACAACATTACAATGACAACAAGAGAGAGAGAGCGAGAGAGAGAGAGAGAGAGAGAGAGAGGAAGATTGATTAATTTTTTTTATAGATGAACGGTTTATTTTAAAGAAAATTAACGGAATTTATATTTTTATTTTTGATACCTAATTAAGTAAGTATCAAAGAAAAGCTCAATAAGCAATCTTTATTTATTGTTTATAATCCCTAAAATAGTTTGCATGTTATGCTACGTTATCGTGTACAAAAATGATTGCGTTGGAAATTGCTTTCTGATATCGAATTACAATAGGCATTAATTAAGAATTTATCGGTTTCTGATGTTATTAACTAATTTTTTTCTTATTCACAGCTTTTGATATACGACTTTTTTGGTAACATGAACCTCGCCGCAAACGTATTACTGCTGTTGTTAGCAGGTCTCTTAGTGAATGGTCCTTACGCATTGATAACGACAGCCGTATCGGCTGAATTAGGTACTCATCCTAGTCTTGGACAAGACTCGAAAGCTTTGGCTACCGTGACAGCCATAATTGATGGTACCGGCAGTATTGGCGCAGCTGTAGGTCCACTAGTGGCTGGATTTGTGTCCAGTCGAGGCGATCCTAAGACTGCTTGGCATAATGTGTATTATGTGCTTATTGCTTCCGAATTCATGGCAATTTTGGTATGTATTACATTAGAATGAATGATTTAATGATCTGTTTTTGATTCTTTGCTATTCGTTTCAGTCATTGAATATTTTTGCAATAGTTCACAAGATACAAACATGTTAAGACTAACAAAATAATGATCTTTTCTGCCTTTTTAGCTATTGTCAAGATTGGTATACAAGGATCTCAAGCATTACCCGCAAAGGCGGCGAGCAATGTAACGATGCACAAACTAGTTCCATAAAAAAACATTTAAAGAATTAATTTTAAAACTATGAAATATGTGTAAATGAATTGTTGTAACTGTATTTTTGTATATTGTATTTTTAAGAATGAATCTTTTTTGTTAAAGATGAATTTAAGATGAAATTTATCAAGTAAATCAGACTTCAAAAAGAGAAATTAATATACTATTTATTTCTGAAAATAAAATGTATATTGTTTTTTACAAAAAGTCCTTCGTTTTCTTTAGCAATATATACTTTTATATCTCCCTTAATCCTAGTGATCATTATATCATTTAATTAAATTAAAAACTAAATAAAGTCCTATGGTACTCCTGCTGGAATTACAAAACTAATAGAGTCTGCAAATTGACCCCATTCTACTCTGTAGGTTTGAAATACAATTATCCAAGCCACATATGCAGATATCGATATTAGTGCTAATACTCCAGACAGTATCACATCTGTAATAATAAAAAGTTAATAATTTTAGTGTTAACATTTTTTGATAAAAATATTTTTCAATTTGTGTATATAATTATATGCCTTCATAACTTTGCAAATTAATTATTTTAGTATTAATTTATTTCTAATTATGTAATTTAATGAAATATTACAAATAAAAATTATTTTAATAACAGGATAATTTGGAACATTTAAAGAAATAGAACGATTGAGAAGTAAGTTCAATGTCCTTGTGGAGACCATTGGAGACATTTGAAATGCATCATTCATCATCATGGCATGAAATACTTTTTATTTCTTATTTTTGTGTATAAGAATTAAAGAGCTTTCTTTGCATAAACAAAATTAATATGATTTTTAAAAAGAATAATAAAAATATTTACATTTTTTAATCTGTTTTTGTTCCTCATATGGAGGTGCACAGAATGCTTGTTGGGCAAACCAAATGGCATTCACAGCCCAAAGAAATGGAAGTAATCCAAAACCACCTGAAAATAACAAATGATTCAATTGTAACATACATATTTATTGACACGTTACCAAAAAATATTGAAGTATAAACATTTCTATATTCTCTGATATCACCTTTCATATCTAACTAAAGCAAGTACTCCAAAAATACTTAAATCCTCGAGAAACTCACCATAAAAATAGTATTTGCATAACTGCAATTTTTTATCGTTTGACATTTTTGAGAGATCCATGGCAAAGCAATTATTTTATTGACGGAGTTAAACTGACGATGTAAATGTTATTTTTATTAAAAAATACCAAATAGCAGCAATCGCAACACAACTAAGTCCCGAAAACACTGAACCGAGTTAATAGAGTCACGACTGTGTCGAGCTGGTGTCGAGTACTCTTATCGAATATATATTCTGTTCTATCTTTCCTGTCATCTGGCATAGCTGCAGACACGCATGCGTAAATATAGGCCACCTAGTGGCTACTAGCTCTGTTGCAGTTATTCGTCTGCTGGACTACAACATATTTTTCTCCCTACAAAACGCGACAAACATCAAGTTGGTCGTATTGGATTTTTCCAGGAGACGAGTCTCGTGCCCTACGGGATCATCTAGTTATTCATTTGTTACGACAGCTAATCATGTTTGTGGCATTAAGAAGCGGTTTAACCGCTAAATTTCCTTTTTCTACTATTGGCAAGGAGTTATGTAAGGTTAGTGCGAATCTAGTTAATTTTTTTAATTTTGGAGTTATTTGTTGTTATTAGTTTTCAGACAATTCATACAATTTTTAATTTTTCACTAATCTTGTACGGACGGTAATTTTGTCAAAATTTTTCTTTAATGTTAATTTTTGTTTTTTTTTTCTAGTGTTTATATCCTTGGTTCTATATGCACATATTGTATGACACATTGATTGTAGTGACAATACTTGTCATAAAATTATATTTTCTCAAAAAACTCAAAATATTTCTACATAGTGCTTTTTAGATATAAACATATAATGTAATAATACATTGCTGTCAATTTTCTCAGGTTGTCTCAAAAAACAAATTCCAAGTGGCAACTCTCACAAGAGCTGCCTGGCGAGATGAAGATGAGGTTCCACTCATCAAGCCTTTCCCCTACCATGAGAAAGAATATACTGTCCTCACAATGCTTATGGATGTCCACAAGTGCCGAGTTCACAAGCACTCCAAATTGATCGTTCTCGATGGTCCACCAGCAATTGGAAAAAACAAGTTGGCCAAAGAATTGGCAAAAGAGTTTGACTTTTTATATTTGCCACAACCAACTTTTGATGACCTGTATGTCACATACTGGGGATTTGATGTAAGATCATTAGATCCTAAGTTACCCGAAAACGCAAGAACATGGGACATTGAAAGATGGCTGCACAATCCATCTCACGTGAACACGTGTTCAATGCAAATGTACATGTATCTGTTGAGACAAAAACTTTGGATGAATTGCTTGGCTCATATTCTATGTACTGGACAAGGTGTTGTCACTGTAAGATCTCCATGGAGTGATGCTGTATTTGCTAAAGCAATGTGTAAGAATAAATATTTAACACCCAAAGGTTTAGAATACCATGAAGATGCTCTTGATGCATCACTGCACTTTTATTTGAGACCGCACTTGGTAATCTATTTAGATGCTCCAGTCAGTACTATCCAAGTAAGTTTTATGAAAAAAAATCAATGATTAGCTATTTGAAGTTTTATAAGATGTAATAATTAAAATTTTATTTTTGTCAACAGCAAAATATTAAAAAACGTGGACTGCCACATGAAAAAAATAACAAAGCTCTCACTGACAAATTTCTCACTGATCTTGAAGAAAGTTACAAGAGTGATTACTTAGCCAAGATCAGTGAACACTCACATCTCTTAATTTATGATTGGTCACAGGGTGGTGATACTGAAATTGTGCTTGAAGATATAGAATCCTTAAACTTTGATGATATCCCTGACAAAGAACTATTGTTAAGTGACTGGAGATTTGAACCTTTTCAGTACAAGATTCACATTAAGCACTACACATATGACTCTGACATGTATCTTATGAACATGGATATTGCCAGAACTGATGTACCAGAAATGATTTTGTCACCTGAGGATTGGAAAGCATTTGATAATGTATGGTATAATGTAAGTATTTTTCTATTTTACTTTAGTTATAGGTAATTGATTGATAATGTTTAAATTTAATATGTTTAAAAATCAAATCAAAAATATTTCTAATTAGAGACTGATATATTTTTACAATGTCAGTACTATTTGAATTTTTTAAATGACATTTTATCAAATATATTTGTATATGTAATTCGTATAATGTTAGAGTAAAATAAAGTACTATTAAATTTTATTTAACTTGATAGATTCCAGATTCAAAATATGATCCAGGATATAACATCTTAAAGGGTGATAAAGATGTTCTGTGGAAAGACAAATTTATACTAGCCAAGGATCATGTTACACCATTGATTCAAAAATATTATGAAAGGAAACAAAAATTGAAATCCGGTTAAAAAGTTATTATTATTTTTCTGAAAATTGTTAATTATTTATGTATACAAACAACAATAGTAAAATTTCTAAAAAAATAAAATTAGAAATAAACGGACTTCATCAAAGGCTACTTTCTTAAAAAATTGTTTTTATTGTTTTATGTTTTTACCTGCTACTTTCAATAAAGAAATAACTTTAGGGGATCAAAGAAATTAATTTTCGCTATTTGTAACGCTTAAAAATATATTGTTATGTTTAAATAAATTTGTTTCATATAATATTACAATTATTGGAATATTCAAAAATAGCTGAATGTTTTTGGTTATTTCACATAATGCAAATATAGCAACAGAAAAATCGGCGAATACATTAAAATAAAAAAAAATCTTTAAATATGTATGTTACATTATACGTTTTATATGTTGAAACTTACATTCCTTTGCATATGATATCTCGATTTGCTATAAATATTTTTGGTAAGAGTCTTGCAAATGCTAACACGACGCCTCACATCACAAACATGCAATTTTTATTAATTTAAACCACAAAGTTATATTTAAGTTTTGCAATAAATATATACTTTTAATTAAACGGATTTTATAGTTGATGTTTTCAAATGTAACTCTGTTTATTTGTAAATACTATGAGTATTTGTAACGTAATAAAAGCTCATATTTATAATTTCTTGCATATCATATTTTTTCACTTACTTTTTTCAAGGAATGTGAATTTTTGTATCCATGCATTCGAGTTTTTGGTACTCAACAATATTCATTGGAAACATTTAGAAAGTTTTCAAGATAGGCATTGAAGATTTTTTATAGTAAAATTTCATTTTCAATACTTTGTGCAATTCTTAACAAGTTCATTAGATCATCATGATCTCACAGCAAGTTTACATTTAAAATATTCTATGTAATGAAGCATTTTGATAAAAAAAATATCCACATTTCCCTATATCTACATAATTATTTATACATAAATTTTTATGTTCTTACGTAAAAAATAATTGGTTTTACAAATTAACTAAAATTCATATAATTTAAAAATTAAATTTGAGTACTGAATTCATTGGATTTATAGACATTCATAGACATATTACTAAAAAAATAATATAGTGTATGTTGTTTTGATTCCTATTAAAATATCATAATTACTAGCCATTGAACTAGAATTTTGTATACAGAGCTAGTACAATAATTTATAGCCATTTACCATCAACACAAACATTGTCTAATTAACAATGGGATATTATCTCATGATCAACTATCAGGCTAACATTTAAAGGTTTCCTTAATGAGTTTTATACCATTTGTTTTTGGAATTTTTGCTATCAATAAACTGTTACTATCAACTGGCAGTGAACTCTTCGATATAGCGCCAGAGAAACACTAGAACAGTATTAAAAAATTTATGCGTAAAATTGGTATGCCAGTTAATAATATATGCAGATAAAACATTCAAGTCTTGTTTAGTAAATGGACAATCTTAGTCCAATAAATGGATTCATCTGCCCAATTCACATATAATTCAATGGTTCGAAAAACTGTAGAATGCTTATAAAAATTCTCGAACACGAGTATATGCGCAGTGATATACAAGTTTTAGTCTAAGCAGTGGGACAAAAGTACATTATAATACAACACAACAGGAATTAGTCTTACGAGCTGTGTGGTAAAAGGTTTTTGATTGGGTACTTAGATCTTCAGATTTTTGAACTAAATCGTCCAATTTTTCTCCCCTTTCAAGGACAGCTGATAATGTATTATGCTGAAACATTCAAAAGATATTCTAAATATACTAAAAATAAATGTACTAAAAATAATTTAATACAAAGTTAACTTACAAGAATAATTTTTGTTTCATCTAAATCTTCCTGCATTCTGGTCATAGCATCAGCTTCCCTAGGATTTTGATACTTTGATAAGTAAATGTTGACTTGATTGAAGTCTACTATTGGCTCTTTTAATGTAGTCCATGTATGTGCTGGATATTTAGATACAAATTCATCAAGGACTTTTGTAATTAACGTATGAGCTACTCTATTTGGGTACTCATGATCTGAAAGTAGAACTCCAGCTAAGCCATCTCCTCTGACATATACATGGCACATGTATTCTGTAAGATAAAAAGTAAAAAAGATGGTAGTAATATTATTTTTCCTGATTGTCATTTTATAAATATATAAGATTGAAGTACCTTGTTCTTTTACGCTCTGTCTAGCAGCAATCTGAGTTCGTTCTGTTATTGTTTTACTAATAAAAGCCATGAATTCCTTTACACTACTTCTTTGAAAGAAGGAGAAGGAATCAACATCATATGCTGATTTTAGGGTTGTTGCTGATGTTGGTCCCTTGTGAAGAATAGTCAAAGCATATAACTTGACCATCTTGTTTCTAGAAACACAAAAAAGTCAGTAACTATTAACTATAATGAATTTCATCAACTTTTTTTTTTAAAAGTGACATAAAATTTGTCAAACAATTTAGTTATCAAGGATTTCAAGTACAATTATTTCTCCAATAATTATCAATAACGTAGAGCACTCTCTCGATAAAACTCGCACAATGAAAACAACTGATGAATCACTTCAACTGTATTGATTATTTTGTCATGACAAAACACGCGTGAAAGAAAAAAAAAACATTGACAACAGCAAATAGGAAAAAACGCTGACGTTGAACAATATCGTACCTGTTAGAGCTTTTGCTAGTTTCGTATTCGAGGAATGTTTGTTGTTAACAAAGATTTGTAGATCAATCGTGAGAAGGACAACGAGGACAAGGATTCAGAAGGAATTTTATGCAATATACTGAATGGATGCGTTGCACCGAGTTCTTTCGCAGTCGTGTAGATGTGAACTTATAATCGGGAACGCCATTTGCTTTTTTAACGCGCTCCTGGATTCGCGCACGCGCTCGTCGTCTACTTTATTCCGGTTCGAATGAAATTTTTCAAAGTATATCCCAGATATATTTTTAATTAATCTACTCGCGCGTGTAAATTTTATTTTTTTTTAAATCTGTGCGTGTATGTGTGTGTGTGTGTGTGCGTGCGCGCACGCGCGCGCGTGTGTATGAATTTAAAAAAAAAATTCACTGACACGAATATTTTTATTCATTTATTTTTCTTTATAATTCATGCCGTATGTAATCAACTCATTGTCTAATAGTTTTGTAAATTATATAAATGTTTTTATAAGGTAAATTGGTAAATTTGTTTTGTTAGATGTACGATACGTACGAAAAGCTGATTCAGCCTGGGGTCTTAGACTAGTATCTGCGTATAAATTATACGAATACCGATATTATCGGCCAGGGAATCCAACCGGATGAAGCAACTCATCGCGAAATCGAGGAAAATCGAGCCGGAAAAATAATAAAAAAATTACTCGTGATTGGCAAGCACAACAAAACTGATTAATAATTTTGTGTAATTTAATTTTTGATAGTAAAGAAATTCCAAAAGTTGAACACTCTCAGATTAATAGAAATTGAATTTGCGTAGCGTTTTAATACGGTTTTTATAGGAATAAATTTATTAAAAATTGTTAGCAAACATCACGCGCAATTTTTCTAGCCAATCCAAATGTTATAACTGTATGTTCAAGAATACACGTTATTTGGCATTACAGCGATGCATGCACTTGGAAGATCAGGAGGTAACGTAGATCTATTCCCTTTTGTTGGGCATATGAGAGGAATTACACCCGTATAATAAGAGCTTTGTTATTAGGAATGAGTGATTTTCTGGAATAATCGTCAATACGTTGTACATAGATGAGACAAAACGTCCGTTAAAAACTTGTATTGATGAACACAAAAAGAATAAAAATGTTGAGGCAGTTATAAACATTCCTATAAAAAAATGTATAGTCGTAGGCTTGGCTGGGATGAAGTTCGAATGTCAGAATGGACGAAACGGTTAATATACGAAACAATGACAATGATAATGGAGATTCAATGAACGACGTGACACCGCACAATGTATACAGATTACAGCATGTGTATTTTCATGCACGAGTCTTCTCACAAATAAAACTATCGACAATCTTTCGAGAAAGCAATTTTAGCTTCGCGCGACTTTGTTCTCGCAAAGTTTTAGATCGATACTAGGCGTCAGTGGAATGCCGATCTAGCGTCGGTCATCGAGTACTTTGTCACCAAAATACTCGGTGAAGTATTCCACGGAGAAGAAAAATCGTCGCTCGTCGCAAACGGGTGCGCGCGTCTCAACCCCTTATCGATCTTTTCAAGCGCATGGGATAATTAATCGCAAGTACCATTCGCAGAATATATTCGATGTACTATTGGATTTGCCTGAAATTTTCCTTCGATTTCGTGGGATTTTGTACTTTCGAACAAGGCGATCTATCGTGACAACCGAAGAAGAAAGACGCGGGGCAGCGTGCATTTGGCAACGGCGGCAGAAAGCGGAAGGTATCCTCGTACACGCAGTGCAGCAGCGCCTTCTACGCGTGATTTCCGCTCGTGTTGCCCGCATACCATTGGTCATCGATCCTGGCCGAAAGACGCGGTACGAACGAAGAATTCGATGGCGCGTCCGCGAGCGTGGGACAGCCGTCGGCGACCTCGGCACGAGCGTGCGAAGTCAAAGTTCGCGAGCGTAATAATGGCGGCCCGCGGACGCGGCGCTCGCTCCCCGTTGGACGCGCTCGCGCAGCTGCGAAAGGTGTGGTCGGAAGGTGGACACGCCGTGCGCGCGGGTCCTCGGCGAGATCGCGGCGGCCGCGCGGACAATCGTTGCGCACGGCAGTTTGGTCGCGAGGCGCTGACTACGTCGCGCGCACGGCAACATGGCGCCGATCCTTCGCGCGGGGCAACGTCGCGCTTTCGCGCTCGTCGATCGACGTAAGCTAGCCGACGGAGAAACGTCTCCGGCTTGGACGACGGCATTCGTTATTCGAACGCCGTAGAGCGAAAGCAAAGGGAAGGGCCCGTAACGTTCGCTGGTCACGCGACGAAATCGCTCGACGCGCGCGTGTCTCTCTTCGCCAACGTGTCCCAGCTGGCGAGAATCGTTGATGAGGAGCGCGTCGCGCGGCCTTCGCTCTGGGACAGGCGATGTCAGCTATGCGCAAAGTCGCAGCGAGACGTATACTTTCTCGCGACTATATTCGTTCGTAATGCGATTGCGTTTTTTATGCGCCGATCCGAGGAAAGGGAAATAATGCGACCGCTCGCGCTTTTCCAAATCTTACGCAGCTGTGCAGTGCACGCGCTCTTGCAAAGGAGCAGATCGCTATAATCAAATATTTTAATATTAAGATTATCAATTTTTATTTTTAAAAACTCAACAATATTAACGCAAAAACCAAATTGTCTTTTACATATTTCATTCTCTCGACTATTTTGTGATATTGTGGAAAAAAATATAACGTTCGATTTTCACTATAAATTATCCGATTCTCAATAAATATAGCTTTTCAAGCGCGTTCTCTCGTAAGTAACGCGAAGTAACAAAAAGATTGAGAAAATAATTTATTGATTTTTGTGAAATTCTCCCTGTCAAACTTTATATTACACGAGCAATTTTCATGTGGGCAATGATTAAAACGGATATACGGAAGAATTCTTATAATTTTGCTAACTCTAAAAAAGAAAACAATGCAATTTTTTTTTTAATTTCTGCTTTTGATGATTAATACATTAATTTGCTTAATTAGTTGCTGATAAATGTAACTTACCTTTTTCTAAGTAAAGTAGTTAAACAAAGGATAATGATTTGGATTATTTGCTGTAAGAACTGATGTGTCGATATGTCGATTGGTGTAGTGAAACTAAACATATAGTGTCCGAGAAACACTACAGTTGCTTTCCGCAGCTGCTATCGCGTTTATCGAAGATGAATATACGCACTTTATGCGTTCAGAATTGTTGGCATTTAGCCAACAAAGTCCGATGCGGAAAAAAGGGTGCGTGTCCGCGAGAACCATTATCGCGTAGAAATCATTGATGCGACACTCAAGCTCTGACACCTGCGCATTGAATATTTCGTTGCGGCGATTCGACGGGGCATGCACTTTTTATCAGAGCACTATATGCACGAGAACTCACGGAGGATCGAGGGGACGACTTTGCGCGATTTGCGCCAGTCTTCGGGTAACGGTCAACCGGAAACCTTCATAGTTCTGGTAACACCTTGTCGACTTCCAAAACAACTCGACGCCGCGATCGTGCATTTACTTTGGGAGCAATTAGAAACAATTTAAAATGTAAAAGCAAACGCAGAATACTGCAATGCGCTACCTTCGCGATCATTATAGTTGACTGTCAATCTATCGATAGATTTATCTTCAACTTCGCAATCGTTTTAGATATCGTACATCGTGCATCGAAACGACGATATTTATCGGGGAAAAGTATAAAAGCTCTAAGTTTCAAATTGGTAATAGGTATTTTTCACGGCTGCAACGGTGACTACAAAGCAAGCGTCATTTCCTCTGATCAAGAAATAACGTATAAGATCGCTCATCAAACTATACTTTGATCGGCAATTTTTTAAGTTCGGAATTTATCGCAAACGTACGAAACGAACATTCCTGCTGTAAAGTCATAACGGTTTACTCTATTTCCATGGCAGGGCATTTATACCTGTATTGGCAACGGGAATTAGCGAATCGATGCCAATCGACACTCGTTACTTCCACGGCGTAGAACAGTGGTATTACTGTTGGTTAACATACGCGTTCCTCAAATCACTCTAGGCTCGTCTCTCGTATGCGTACAGATATCTTTTTCATTAGACTTTTATTGAAATTATCATGTCAAATGGATATATTGAAGTGTCGGATAGGAAAATTCCGAACAATTGTTGCCACACTGAAATGTATACGGAAAACCATGGATAAATTGAGAAAAAGAGGGTTTCGAGTGCATCAAGCTGCGTCAAATAATTCATCGGTAAATAAACGTTGTCTTTTTCGTAGAAATAGTATTAATCTTAATAATAATGTTATTTTCTAGCAGATTTGCAGAAAGCCTTCGGCAGTCATTTCGGTTTCAGTGAAAGTTCTCCACACATTTGCCGGCAGTCAAAGCCGTGTTATAGACAATTACTCGATGGAGCAAAAGAATTATAGTCGACAGGTTGATGAAACCAATTTTAATTGATAATCGTTTGACAGAGTATACCGAAACGTATTAGCGAGTTGTTCTTCGGCAGACCTTACCTGAAAGTGCCGAATAGACTATTTCCTACGAGTACGTGAAATTGAGAAGAGAGAAAACGGGATCGAAGAAGTGCATTGCCATGGTTGAAATTAATACGGTGCGTATGCAGCAACGCACGAGACTGTCAACGAAACGAGGCGAGTACCGTGATGTAAGACAGGGCCGTTCTCATGATCTGCAAGCGATCAGGGGTAGGCGTGAAAATCGGAACGACGGGCAGAGAAGTTGGACGTCGAGGGTACCTTGGCGTAGGTCTCGTAATTCATGAGCATCAGTCTGCCGGCCGTCAGCGGCGAGGCCCTCGAGCAGCGCAGCATGAAGATGACGAGTAGCCGTTTGGTGCACATGGGCGTGGTGTACCACTCGCCGCTGTAGCTGCAACGGGACCCAGAGATCGCGCGGTTACGTCGGTGATCGGCGCGATGCGACCCTCCCGATCGCAACTCACGCGTCCTCGCAAAGGCCGTCCCCGTGATCGATGATCTGCTGACCTGGCCAGAAGACGATGAAGAGGTGAAGCGTGATGCCCGCCAATACGGACACCGACGTGAATGTACTGATAGGACTGCCCACGTTGGCGATCACCTGCGAACGAATCAACGGTTCGGCGACGCGGCCGTCGAACGGCGGAGCGTGCGACTCACGGCGCAAGCGCTCAGCGGGATGAGCACGAGGTTTGCGGTGACGATGCACAGAAAGCACGCGGAGAACGTGTCGTTGATGGCCGAGGTGAAGCTGAGAGCAAGGGAACAAAAGAGCGCGCGCTCGTTAGCTGTCGTCGTTGGGCTTGGGCGAGCGAGCGTTAAAGTCGAACGATACGGGTACTCGAGGGCCGAGCGATGGAGCAAAATGGTTTGGACGAGCCACTCGTTGGAGCCGGGCTGCGGAGCGCCGACGGACGACGACGCCGCCGCCGCCGCCTCGTCGGAGCCCATCGAGCGCAGCGCTCGCAGGCGATGGCTGCCGACACACGCGCGCAAGTGGTTCAGTTTGCGCGCTGTTAGGGGAGGAGGAGCCCCCTTACCTGACGATGGCGTAGAGCGCGCAGCACTGCAGACTGCAGGTGGCGTACATGGAGTCGACCGACACCGTGGTCAGAATCACCAACAGCACCGTGAGCGCGTCGATCGCGAACAGCTCCGCGAAGTAGTTGCTCCTGTCGACGAAGTACTCACCTTCGGTCACGTACACGTGCTCCCGCGGCCGCGGCAGCGGGGCCAGCACGTCCAGGATCTTGGGTATCGACGGCAGCATGATGATGGTCGCGGCGAACGCCGTCATGGACACTTGGACCGACGTCGATCGATTAGAGCGAGCTCCGCGCGGACTGCCGACGACAGCTCTGCACTCACCCGCGTAGAAGGTCGTCATGAGCTTGCCTTTCCTCGCGTACCTCACCAGGATCTGGCGCTCCTTCTCGCTGCGCGTCACCGCCCAGTTGTTCGCCAAGCTGTCGTACACGTTTCTCATCTGCGGGCATACGACGCGTCCGTGCAGCCGTGGCGCCTCGGGCTCGGCCTAGCGGACTTACCTTGCCCTCGGCCAGCGCCAGGCCCACGATCTTCATCGTCATGAGTGTAATGGTGACGGTAACGAGGACGCTCAGCATCAGCCTGTCCATGTTCGTGTAGTGCATTATCGCGCTGATCGACTGCGAGCACAAGTGTATCCGCTGTACTGGGCGCGCTCTCTCTCTCTCTCTCTCTCTCTCTCTCTCTCTCTCTCTCCCTCGCGAACGCGCTTGTTTGTACGGACCGTAGATCGGTCGCTCGCAAGAGAGGCAGCTGCCATTTGTCTTATCGAATAAAATGCAGCGTGGCTACGATGAAAACGAGCCGATTTTCGAAGAAGAGAAGGCATTATTGCCGAGCACTCGCTCACTGCTTTGCCAACAAGGTGAAGAGTTCGGCAAAGAAAACAAAAGAATAATCAAAGCCGGAGAGTCGAATGCTCGCGCTCACGTGAGGTATGGACAGCACGGTGAGCAGGATCACCAAGAAGCTCCTGACGACGCTCCTCGACGCTGCGTAGGGCCAGCAGCCGATGCAGGTAAGCAGCTTTCGGTTCAAGCTGAAGTAGGGTCCCTCGTAGATGCTCATGCCGTACGCCACGGTATCCCGAATTTTCTATACCTGCCGCGCCTCCCAACTTTTTCCTATGTACGCGCGAACGCGGCCTTCGCCGATGCTCTTTAATATTTCATTCGCCAACGGTATGCAACATTAACGGACGACGATTGTCTAATTGCGCCGCCTCCGTTTATTTAATTTTTCTTTTTTTCCAGTGCGACGCGCGACGCGCGCTACATCGGTATAGGTGAAAGCGTCGACCTTAGCATCGGCCAATGCATAATAAATGACGCCCGACGGAAACGCCCATAATTAAGCGTCGGCGACTCGCCGACGGCACTCTGGAAATTAAAAGTTTGCGCTCGACTTATCGTTCGGTTCGTTTCGCTCGGTTCGCCGCCAATCTCTTTATTCTAATTTTCAATTGCCCACGCGCGCGAATGAATTTCGCTGCACACGGTCCGCATCGAGCGAGCGACACGTAGATCGCGCAGCTATAAGTATATAATATAAAACTTCAACAGTTAGAATAAAGTTTGTCTTCTACGCGGAACGCCAACTGAAGTCTCATTGAAATTGACCTTCGTTTGCTTTCGATGTCAATTGAAAAAATTCCATTCGAGAATGCAGCCACTAACGAGGGGATATTCAATATCTGAGCGCGTACCTATTTAGATGACATTTATTTGACTCGGGAACAAGAAAAAGTTATTTGTTCGATCTGCCCGATAATACGTCTTATCCGCAACGTCGAATTACAGAGTGCGCTATTTCGATTGCCTTTGCTCAGTTTTATCGAAGAGTCCAGCACACTTCGGTTGGCGATTCGACGACACTAAAGTTCGCAAATGAAACATGTCGGTTTGCCTATATTCGATGAGAAAATAACTCGCGTGGACTGTTCGACCTGTTGGTTCCGGCTAGCACTATTTGGAAAAAAAAAGTTATCCATCGACGGATCGCGTCGAGTCGATTTTGTCGAGCGAGTTACGTTGAAAATTGTACTTGCAAACTGTACAAGCTCGACTTAAGAAGCGTAAAGACATCCTTGGTGAAATATGTAATCGCCTATTATCATCGACGCGCGCTTCAAATCGCCGATTTGGCGACGGCTCTGCTCGGCCCGAAAATCAACAGCCCATCCCATTGACAATTCAAAGATCTCCAACGCGAAGCACGAAGCGACGGCTGCTCACGACCAATGGACACGCTTGGGCGCGCGGTTCGGCATCTTCGTTCACCATCGCGTTATCGGTCGATGAATCAACCGCGCGGCTGACTTTGTTCTGTGCAAATCGATTCGGATGATCACGTCGGCCAGCGACGAATCGCCGTAGATTGAGGCTCATTGCCGCTAACGTTTCGCACTCTGAATTGAAGCTCGCGCCATTGACATCTTGCTGAGATTCTCGCAATTCTTAAATGAGTCTGAAGCCAAGGCGATGTTCAACCGAACACCATTAGCAATTTCAAGCCGTTGCCCTTGCGAGCGTCGGCTTCTCCGAAAACTCGTTCGCAAGCTCCTCTGGTCACATGACGCGGCGTGTGCTTTCGACTATAAGCGAGAAGATGAACATGATCGAATGGCCAATTGTCTCGTTGCCAAGCTAGTTGATGCATGGTGTCCCTACAGTAATCTTAGATCTGCCTGACATTGCGAACATTGAGTGGGCGTCGAAAACAGCACTTTCGACAAACAGAATCCCAGCATTGCAATAGTGACAAGTTCAAAGCTACGATTATAATTTACTGTAATTTTGGCTGAACCAGGTGAAAAACTTCGTGCTCGAAATTCTAATTTCTAAATTCATTTCGACCTTTAACAATACCATGGAAAACATATTGTATTAAAAATTTCTTTTATTAAAGAAGCGAATTGCAATGGCATTAGAGTAGAATCGGAGCAAGAAACGGCTCCAACAATTGAGAAATCGACTGCACAACGCATTTCAATTTTATACGTAAAATTATTTATTTACTTCAAGTATTCAACTAAATAATTGAAAATAATAGAATTTTATTTCAATCCTAAGTGGCTCGCCATTTAGAGTTGGCAATTTGATTCAATTGTTTTTAATTGCTTTTCGTTCTATATCATCTCAATCAGTGCTTAAAAAATTCACTAAAAAATAGCAAAGAAAATTATGGTAGAGTTGCAATAAAGATTACAGTTACTTTAGATTCTTATTATTTATTAGTGTTATTATGCATTTAAAACTCACAAACTCTTGCATACCTATATTCGTTTCACTCTGCGGCAAATTTTACCGCCGGATAGATACTTTCGAAACTATTCATTCTTTCGCTCCCGTAAAGTGTAAAAATACGCACTACATATATTTACGATTATGCGGTATCATAGGAAAGAGATGGCGATGTAATATATCAAATATACAACTTCATTTCAATTTCTTTGCACGCACGTAGTCATACATTGTTTCGTTGAAGAAAAAAAAAGGTGCGCTCCAACGGAAATATATTACAGATAAAACCTTAAAATTGTTTGTTTTTCTTTTTCATCGTAGTTTATTTGGGCAAGAAAGAGGGAAATGGTGTATTGAAAAAATAAAAAAGCCTCTAAATGCACCCATTTAAATGCCATGCTGATGGACGTCTTTTTTTAATAGCGCATTAAGATCAAACAAAAGTATTTCATTAATTAGTGCTTCAGCATTGCTTCATTATTTTTTAAATGTAGTCAAAAAGTAGACGTTTTGAAAACTGCACATAAATTATATATTAGTGATATGCGTTTTCATATCTACAGCATATAATTGATCATTTGTTCTTATGTATACATTTTAGAAGTTGATGTATTACAGTACATCAATTGATTTTCTTTTCATGAAGATATTGTTCACATATTTTATATATAATTTACATTTAATTCATACTTTTACATTGAATATTAATTTGCGTTAACGTATTAAGGTTAAATTATTCTTTTAACTTGTCAGAAAAGTACTTTAATTATTACACATAATTAATATAAAAAACAGTGTTCGTTTCAAATCATTTAAGAAATTCAATCAACGAAACAATTCTCTATTTAGCTAAAAGAAAAATTAAAGAACAAATTTTCAAAGTTATCATTATATTAAAAATCCACGAATAAATACACATAAAATTGTCCTATAAGTATTTACATGAAATCAATCTATTAGGCTGCGCAAACGACCATGTTAAAAGAAATATAACCAGAAAAATGTTTTTTTTCTTGAAGATATTACGTTACCAGAACGACTCTCGGTCAATTTAGCGTAAAAAGAAACGAAAAAGAGGATATGGGACTCAAGTAAAAAATTTTCGGAAAAAAAAGACTGTGTTATTACTTTTCTTTGTAACCGTTAAATTCTTAATTACTTGTTTTTGGCTCTTTGAGCGTACAAAAGTTCTATTTACAAAATGACGTACATTATTCAATAAATTGCTAGCAAGAGCAAAAGGCACGATCGAGTTGAAATTTCATCGTTCATTCACAGCAAAAAATAATTGATCATCCGATCGACCGATCGATCGGCATTACACGAGAATGGGAACGAATAATGGTGTTTCGCTCAATAGAGCGAATAACAGTTGTTTTGCACTTTCATCCCCTCTTCTATTATCGCCCTATCCGTCGAAAATTATGCATAAATACATAATCTTTTCGCTTATTTACAATAGTCGCTATGTAGGTGTGTATTCTTTGTGTAGTTAACAAGTTCTTAGCACTAGTTGAATAAAGCTAACTTGCAAATGACTCCTCCGCCGCTATCATATCCATATCTCTGCCATCTTTCTTAACCAAACCAGTGTTTCGAGGCTTCGTTTGTTTTAGTTTCGTTAAATAATAATTACTTTTACGTAGGAAAATCGAGTACCCTGACAGTAAATTAACGCAAGGTCGAACTTTTTTTAATCACAAATATTAATCATTCATTAGAGTATCAATGTAAGAAAGCCTTGGCATAAACTTTAGAGTAGTGTTTCTTAGTTTTCTTGTTAATAAAAAATAATTATTTAAAAAATCTTGGCTAAGAATACTTTTCCGTTTTTATCCACACGAGCTCCTTTCGCTTCTTTATAATTTGTCTTGCGACAGTGATGTCTTACTTGTTTATAATACGTATATATTTCTCTTAGTACGTTTGTTTTTTGCTATGAATTTGAACCCCACACTGTGAAACACGTTCTTTTGATTTGAAACACTAGGCTAAAACGCATTCATGCTGTACATAAAAAATGCGATTAAAGTCCCACTTAAACGCGAGAGCTGAAATGTTCACATGTACATATAGTTACAAATACTCATGTGTCGCTAAAAGATTTCATTAAAACTTCTTGAATGTGCGATTAATACAGTTCATTGTGGACTCGTAATTTTATATCACTTCAATTTTCAATGAAAATTCATCGAGCCTGCAGTGTTAATTCACATTGCTCTATCAAAAAATTTAAAAGCTTTTATAAAAAATGCGTTACCATTGCCAAAAGTTTAGAAGACACCTTAAACTTTTAAATTTCATTCCTGTACTAAGTAAAATCATTCATCAATTTAAAATTGTTGTATCTGTGATTTTATGTGAGAACAATATATTATAAACACCTCACAGTGTTGCTCAAAAAAAAAAAAAAAACAAAAAAAAAACAAAAAAAAAAGAAAGAAAAAAAACAACAGCCACTCAAAAGCATTACTCAAATCACAAAAATTGAACTATTCTCAATAAATAGAGATAAGCTCAATGGTATCGAATCAGAAACTGTTTGAAAAAATCAATTTTCCAAAAATTAACTGATGATTCAATAACATTACCAGAGATAAGATAATGCATAGGATATCATGTTGTAATGAATATAACTGGAGGTCATGAAAAATAGATGAAGGACTAGGTAACGTAGAGGATCTTGTTGGATCATTGAATTTTCCAGGTCTATTTGCTGAGTACCTATAAAGGTTCCGTGCTTGTAGAAATTCTCTAGTAAAGCTTCTTTCTCGGTCCATCTGTCGAATAACCATCTTGATAGTTGCTCGGGTTCTTTGGGGACCTGAAATAGAGACCAATAAAAAATTAGTTCTCTTGTAACATTTTGTACTTTACATCCGAATCAACGTGTAATAATAAAAGGTAATTATCGTTTTTTCTACTTAACAATCAACCTCTATTTTCGTAAAGTATTTAATAACTTACTGATGACGTAGGAAAGATTCGGTAAAAAAGAACAGTGTTGCACGGTGGCCTTGTTCCAGTTATAATTGTCAATAAATCTATTGGTTTTCCTTGAGGATATGCAATTGTTATGTCGAGTACCCATCTGATTTCCGACTTCGTTACTGAGAGAACTAAAAATGAATTCGTTCGTTAATTTTCGATTATAAATCGAATGAAAGCCGATGTCCATTTTCATATTTCTCACTTGAAGTAGAGTTTGATCCTGTGGACGAATTATTATTTTGAATAGGACCCACAATGTCAATTATAGTTTGTAGCGCTCCAACCCTTGGCAGAGTGACGTTTTCCAGTAGTGGGAGATTATTTTTCTTTGCATAATTTTGCGATGTTTCTCGTCTCTTGCAAAGAAAGCCACCTTCTGGAAAGAGGACCATCCACTTTCTATTTAATGGTATGTACGACTCTTTCAAATGTTTTTGTAAAGATCGCAAACTTTCGTCTCGTTTTTTACGTCCCTATTTAATCATCAAAATCCTAATTAATAAAAAGGTAACAATGAATTTTTCAGAAAAAGTATAAATCCATACAGATGCTATGAAAAAGTCATGATGAAGCAGCGATACAAGACCAAAATTGGTGTATTTGAATACACTGTCCATGATCCACATAAGATTGGGCAGTACGTTGGGTTTGGCATTGAAAGTAGTCATTAATATAGGAACATCACCTGTACTTTGGTGATTGGCAATAACCAAAGTTCTATCATTTATAATTCTTTTAATATCGTCTCCTTGTTCAACCACTGGAAAATATAATAAAAACACGATTTTACCAAATAAATTTATTGTGATTAATGGAAATGGAATTGTTGTCAGTTTAAATTACCTTCATATCCTGCTGACCAAGTCCACATAGATACCATCGCTAATAACCAATGAAAAAAAAGACCCTCCAAACGCCAGTAAGTTTGTGGATGATAAACTTTGACAGGGAACAACAGCATCATCCAAATAATATATGTTGGTATACAGTACACGTTGTTCACAAGAACAAATATAGTTCGTACTATACATTTTAATATATTTACTGCACATGTGATATATCTGAAAGAAAAGAAAAAGAGGGAAATTGAAACAGTAACATGATAAATATTTCCTCTGCAAGTCTTTGTATCAGAAATATGCATGAACTGCTTGAATAAGGTCATCAGTAAAAATAATGTATGATGTCACATATACAGAGGTATAAAAGATTAACAATATTACTTTCTAAGGTTTCTATATCTTACAATCATCATTTTGGCAAATGCATCAATCTATATTCTCCTTCAAATTGGTTATTGTGTAAGCAGACAAGCATGACAAGTGGAAAGTAAATTATTAATAATCCAATGATACTTAATGATAGCTATAATGAAAAAAATTGTCTGCATCATTGATTATATAAATGTGACTTGAGTGTGCCACAACAATCAAAAAGTAGCTTTGTATCTTTTTTATTAATTTAAAATTATTATTTTCCTGATTATTTTTTTGCTTTACATATTTGTATTAACGACAATTTTTTAAACCCTGCACATTTTTATGTAGTATTAATGAAAAATCAACTGCCAGTAATTCTACTGAGTCCACTTATGCAATTACATTGTTAAGAATCAAGGCAACTCTTACAAGACGATTCAAGTTAAATTTCACTTCCATCTCCCACTTATCTTTAGTTCGTGCATGAGACTAATGAAGTAAATGACCCGACTGTCAATAACAGACGCAAAAAACAGCTGTGTACGTATCTAGATATGAAAAATGTATCTGCACTAAAGTTCAATAGGGAAGTAATCAATCAATCATGAAATTCATATCAATAATTTTTTATTGCACATGTCTGCGGTGCTAATAAAATAAACAATGTGTTTCTTTAGTTAGAAATTGTTGAGTTTTTGAGATTATAAATGAGGTTTTCAGTCTGCTAGACATAATAAGATAGTGACACATGAAAGGTCACACTCTCAAAATCTTTTGCAAGATTTGAACGTTAAATTCTTGATAATGAAATTGATGACTCATAGGTTCCACCTGATGCCAATTAGTAATAAGCACACTCTAAAATGCTTCAAATTAATTATTTATTAAAAAATTACATGTTAACAATAGAAATAAACTTCTTGAAAAAATAGCGACGTTTAATAAAAATATATTTCAATCCATAATAAAATAACTAGACACATAATAGATCAATTTAGAGAGCTCAGTGTGAAATTTAAATGAGTTGAACTGATTTTATTCATACATTGTGTCGCTCCACATACGGCAGGGGAGACATACGTATATATGAGCTTTTAAATTCAAACGATAAACAGATGCGACATTATTCAACGTTTCTTGATTGCAGCTCTATAAATGATAGGAACTCGCGTAGGCATTGTATGCGCTGGTGTGAAAACTATAAATTAAAGTATCGATGCGTGAGAAATCCTAATATTCGATCATCGGTAAACCACTAGGTGATGCGTCGTTTGTTATATTATCAGATATCAACTATGACCACATCCTCGCAACGTCAATAAATGCAGCTTGCCGCCGTGCACGACATACAGGTGATGAGTGCTTAATGGCTACTGTTTATTTACGTAAATTTACTGCTGATAAGCGAGCACAACTTGTGCGACGATAAAAAAAAGTACCTAGAATTTTACGCGCGGTTACAGTAGTAACACACAACCCGCGCTGCATGACTTTAATCACTCGATATAATACATAACTAAACGAGAACGAGACGATAAAGTAGTTAAAGGACAAGGGGAGCAGCTCTCTTACCTGACGAAAGCCGACGGCGGCATTTTGTCGTCGACGACGCAGCTGCGCCCGTTCCGCTGCTGTTTAACCTCACTTGTGCTCATGCCTCTCTTTTTCTCGGCTCTCCTTCGCGTACGCACTCTCTCCCCCGCAAAAATTACATAATGATAAGATTCAGCATCAGCAATACGCTCTAAATTATTGTATGTACTAAAAAATAGAGTAAGCTACACTACTGACACCGCGCCACACACCAACGACACCGCGCCACACACGGCTGTAATAGCCAGTGCAGCGTTGTGTTTTTTTTCGTTCTCTCTCTCAGCTGCACGCACACGACTCATGCGGACCAGATGCGGACCTCACGACGACGAGACTTTGACTGGCGCTGCCTGTAAATTGCGATTCGTTTCGAAGTACTGCGACTAGACGTCCAATATGTGTATGTATATGTAATATTACGTGCCAGCCAGTCCGCCAGTCTACGCGTGCCTATATGGATGGGTACTTGTGGTATATGGATGTGACAGTGACTTTGCGTGTGCAAAAGTGTCGCGTGAATATTTAATTTATTTTTTGTGGCCAACAGGGCAAAAGAGATGTTTGATTGAATTTTTTAATTTTTAAGAATTATCAGCGTAAATAGATGATACAACTTTAATTACTTCTAATTACTATTCCTTATTGATTAATGAATTTGTGGATTCTACATCACGAGTTCATGACGAACCTTTTGAGATATACTTCGAGTCGGACGCTCCTACAATTTGACGTTTTACAAATGTGAATTCAATATATGACAATTATATCTTATTGCTGGCTAAATACTTATCACCTTGGGGAACTTTTTTTAACAATTCATCCGTGTGTCTATAAATATTCGTTCGAATTTTTTTACAGCGGTGATACGTGACCGCATATAGTAACGCATGCAGCAAACGGGAAAAGCACATTCGCGGTGCTAAGCCAATTTGGCAGATAATTTCGCTTCCAGAAAATTACAGTTTCCATTATCTTTTCTATCTCGTTCGAGAGCGCGCCCCGATGGTTTATCTGAAAAATGTAACCTTGCGTTTTTAAAATTACATTTTAATATATCATTTTTAGTGTTCTTTTTGCGATTTTCCATGGAACGACAAGGAAAAATGTAAATGAACCTAATTAAGGTTAAGAAATTTCTATTTGGGCACTATCATTCTTATTAGAGCTTGTACTCGTACATTTATATTGAACTGACGTATCTGTGTAGTGCGTATAAGCATATCATTTTGAATTTAAGTTTTGAACGCGTGACAAAAATGTCAAAATTCCTGTTTAGAAAATTATCATAAGACCCACGCGAGCTTTCAAATTATATAGCTGTGTGATAATATATACGCGTGAGCTCATTTCTTCTTAAATTAGGTTATACCTACATCATCTCGATTACACAATCCACTATTTTTTACGAAAGATCATTCGACGGTTAATGTTTTGACTAATGTTAATTTATCAATCTGACCTTCGCCAACGAAAAAAAGGCAGGTTGTCCGCGGGTAAACGCTTGCCCTTGAATTTTGAGCGAAAAAGCGGGCATGGCATTTGAATGAACGAAGAGCAGACAGCGCACGCGCGTCCGCACGTGTTTTTGATATGCGTGTATGCGTTCGTCAGGAAAAAAAATGGCATGACATGTATATACAACACGTGCTCTTACCTTACGTGATGCAAAGTGGTACAGTTGTGGATTGTTTCGGCTGAGATTGTTTGGGGGAAAAAATTGTGTATTGTAATTAAGAGTGTATCTTATTTGATTGAGAGAAAGAAATTGCGGATTGCGTGTTTCGTGTGATTTCATTCGATGGTATGGAGGTTAGAACCTTGTTTACGTGGTCAATGATTGTTCCTGGAAAAACTTGTGTTTCATGAGCATCATTTGTTGTTATATTAGAATTTAGAATATTAGATTTGTTCAGTAATGTGTAGTATGCATTTAATACTTTCGTCGTATGAAATTAATTGCCATACAATTTTCAGGTAATATGGATATGTCAAACAAAAACCTTTACGAAATTCTCGGCTGTTCTCCGACATCTACAGCCGAGAAACTAAAACAAGCCTATCATCGAAAACTTTTAGAATCTCATCCCGACAAAAACGAGGATGTATCAAAAAGCTGCACGGCATTTCACGAAATAAACTCTGCGTGGAAGATTCTTAGCAATCCTCAACTGAGACAAGACTACGATAGTCAACTCCGACAAGTAGAATTGGAGGCAATCGGAGCAACCATATACGCGACGTTGGTACCAAGTGATTTAGAGAAATCTGACAGCGAAGATTATTTCTCGTACCCATGTCGTTGTGGAAACAATTATCTTGTGCACAAAAGTGATTTGGAAGAAAAAAACGTTGTTATTCACGTGTCGTGTCAGGATTGCACTTTTGTTATTGTTATTGAAACGTGATAACAGTGCAAACTAGATGATAGAATGACGATTGTTGAAAAAGATCCACAATTTTGTGATATGTGTGCATATATATTTTTCCGTGTGGTCTGAGACGTTGAATTTTGGAATAATAAATAAACGATGTTTGTAAAATGCAGCAACATTTTCTATTTCTTATAAAAAAATGATACAACAGATAACACATTCTTATAATTATAACTATTGAGCAATATACAATTAAAATAAGGTTCAACGGCGATTAGGGCCCAGTGATGACGAGCGTCATAGGCTCGGTATTTTTTAAAATTCGCATGCATATTTGTTTTTTTTTTACAAAAAAACCGTAAGATTACAACAAAATATAAGGAATTTGATATTAAGCTCACAAGGACACATACATCTTACATTATAAAAGACAATGAGTATTACTATACAGCTAACTCGATTTGTCGACGTATTGCACAAAATAAATTATAGTTACTTGCACTCGTCGTTACTGGGCTATGGCAAACCGAACCGCCGTAGTTGATTCTTTTTTTCTTTATTTCTTAATAAAAATCAATGATCGTCGCTCACACTCGTTGCCGATATTAACTCAACAGTTCGTTTATATGCGTGTTTATTAGTATGTTTTTTAATTTTTTTTGTTTATTTTTTAATCCTCTTGGCCTCCGTCGGTTGCTGGATGCTTCATTGTTCTCACGGATAAAAAAAAAAGAAATAGATTACATAGTTGCTACGTGTCACAGATTGCGGTAGATCTTTGAACAAATGTTTTTTTAATGTAAGTTAAGTATAACAAAACTTCTTTTGCGCTTATTTACTCTAAAATATCGAATTATTTAGTTTACGGAAAAAATTTCTATCAAAGTCTTTTACGATTTATATTTACAAAAAGAACATTATTTTTTAGTCTTACTACAGCGCTTTTTTTTATTTTACAGATTAAAATTTACTTTTCACCTTCTCAATTAACGACAATTCGAATATACAAACTACAAATGATAACAAATTTCTCACGGGGAAACTAAATGAACGATAACACAACCGCGACAATGTTAAGACCAAAGTGAAATTAGAATTGGCTTGTCACTCGCATGTGACACGTTTTTCTTTTACTTCTATAACATGAAACAAAAAAAAGTACTTTTTTTCAAACACAAGCCAAATTTCAATAATAAACATCACAATACTTAACCCATCCAATCTAATTTCTTTTTTTTTCAGACTCAATGCTCTCAAGTATGATACAATATCTTGGTAATAATCAGCTCGTCATTTGAGTACAATTCATGCAAGCTAAATAAGAAGTATATAATTTTCTAAAAGACCTTATATCCTAGATATTCCTAAAATCAAATAATAATGATAATCATACTAAACAAATGATTAGCTTCTATAAACTTCGCTAACGAACGAACAAAAAGAAATTTCTTCGATAATTATATGCTTGCGTGAACTATATAAAAATGAGAGCTACTCGGCACATTGTAGGGAAAAGAATTGTCCTCTATTCACCAAATACATCAGTCCTTAGAACGTCAAAGAGTTTCTAACATCGCTTCCCGACAGTTATCTCTTTTTATTTTCCTTACGGCGAAAAAGTAAAAACTATTTGTTTTTAATTTTTCGCCTACAAAGATCTTTTTTTCTTTCTTACACACATTAAGACTGCTTTATTACTCGTGTAGACGGAAAAAGTCAGAAAGCGAGGACCTCGATAAAAATGAACTACTGAAGTGAAGATTCTTTTCATTTTTTGAGGGGATTGAAAAGTATCGCTTTTGCATGAATTTGTTGAATTTCACAAGCTTTGTTTTATACATGTACGTTAAAAAACCTAAATCTGATGAAAAAAGGAAAGACAATTCTTTCTCGTCGTTGAAATTCAAAAATATATAAATTATACATAGCGTGAAGATTATTTGAAAGTAATTCTTTTTTGCATAATGGGGGTTATTACAGCTTATATATGATTATTCGAATACACCCGAGTAACTAAAAATTGAAACGTTACATGATAAATACAGAAACTTGTCATGTAACTTATGTATGTGTATATTCATGTGGGAGAAGTAAAACGAAAAAAAAAAAAAAAAAAAAAAAAAAAAAAATACAATGCACGTGTTTCGAATTTGCGTCACTTGGCGTCTCATCGCTTTTTGATATGAATATTTGGAATCTGACGCTAAAAAACAAAAAAAAAACGAACAAAAATAAACAAAAGGAAAATAGTAAGAAAAGTATGTGCTTATTCTGTTTGATGCACTTTTTATGTACAAAAATACGTTTTGTTTATATTTACAAATATAAAGTTATTATCATGCAATTGTTAAAAAAGCCCTGCGATTCTTTTCAGCTAATTTGGAAAAATATGCTTTTACTACTTTTTCTGTCTCTCTTGACGCACAAGTGATGCAAGTTCGAAAGCAACGGCTATGACCCACAAGCAGTCTTATTCAGTCACACGCGACGCGACAACATTGTACATCGTGATTGGTTATTCTATCTAAGTTTAAGTATTTACAGACCGCGCGCTCGCAATGATTTTTTTCTTAGTTTTTTATCTTTCTAGCCTTTCTTTCCTTTTTTCTCCTCTTTTTCCCTTTCTTTTTTACGATTCACTTGGCTTCCACGTCAAAGTCCAGCACAAGAAGTTTAGTTTCTTCAGTACCGTTGCGACTACCCACCGCGCACACCAACTTTGTGTCGCTTGCGCGAATTCGCCAGACTACGCCGCCACTGCCTCCACTGTCCAACGACACAAGATTTCGTATGAAATCACCTGTAATTAAACAATTTGAAAAAAGGTTAGCGAAAAAAATCATTTCATCGATTTGGAGTATTTATCATGTAACGTTACAATTTTTAGTTACTCGGGTGTATTCGAATAATCATATATAAGCTGGAATAACCCTCATTATGCAAAAAAGAATTACTTTCAAATAATCTTCACGCTATGTATAATTTATATATTTTTGAATTTCAACGACGAGAAAGAGTTGTCTACCGACAAGTAACAAGGTTTTTCTAACATTACCCTAATCAGAGGCAAATAGAAAAATTACCGCAATGAATCATTGGCATTACAGTCATGCAATAATTACCTATCACTTCAATTGATCGTACGATTATATGAAACTACTTGAAACAACAACCTAATTTACAAAAGCTCATTATGGCATTAATCCATTATAACGTACCAGTCTTAACATCCCACAGTTTGACTGTCCCATCATCAGATGAAGTGATAACAAAATGGCTGTTGAATTGTAGACAAGTGACTGCCGATTGGTGTTTGTGGATACCTGAAAGGGTCTGCAGGCAGTGGCCACTGACGATGTCCCAGACCTTCACCGTTGAATCGGCATTACCCGAGACGAGAATGTTATTACGCAGCTCCATACCCGAAGTAAGACTTTGATGACCCATTAAGGTATGTTTGCATGCTCCGTTTTCAACATCCCAAACTCGGATACTTGTGTCCAAGGAGCCGCTAACCACGTGCACTCCGTCGAACTGCACAAAACAAAAAACATTCACATTTACACGAAAAAAGCCGACGTTTCTCAGGCGAGTAGACTTACATATTATATAATTTTATACGGATTATAAAATTATATAATATGCAAACCTACTTGCGGTCGACAAATGTTTAGCTATTTTTACGTTTGTTTAACAAATATTGTAGTTATTAGAGAGCATTTCTATAGTCCTAAATTAACTCAAAATTATTAAATTTTATGAATGAGAAGTACCCGAATAAAGTTTGATTAAATAATGCTAAAAAATAAATATCGCTACGACAGTTGTACGATGCTTGATAATAAGAAAATAAAATTTTGTAACCGAAATATTTGACAATCCAAAATAATGTTTCGGGAAATAAGGAAACAAAAAGCAAACGAATAAGTGGAGTAACCAACCTGCAAAGAGTAAACTCGATTGGTGTGTCCTTGCAGTGTGTGCAAGCACTCCTCACTCTCGGGATTCCAGACTTTGACCATGTAATCGTAAGCACCGCTAACAACGAGTTTGCCGTCATATTGCACACACCTGACTGCCGCCAGATGACCCACCAGTACGTGTAAACACTCGCCATTATCGATACGCCATACCCTGAGTGTAGCATCCCGACTACCACTGACGACTTTGTTACCATGAAGATGCATGCAACGCACCGTCGACGTGTGACCATAGAGCGTGTGAATGCAGTCGCCGGTCTCGGCGTTCCAAATCTTCAGGGTGCGGTCGGTGCTGCCGCTTATCACTGTTGTACCCGACATCTGTGACGACCACACGCCGCCTGTGTGGCCGCATAGCGTGCGCAGGCACTACGCGAACAAGAAGACAGAAGTACATCAGGAATTGAAATTGATTATTGGTTTTAATTTAATTGCCGAAGCTCACAAGTCGTTTTGTTGGTAACCGGTGAGCTTGTGCCGTGCCTATTTTTTTTGTTCGTTTGCAACAAAGTGAACTTTTAATGAAATGAAACATTTTACTTCCCAGTACTGATGTTAATTAGGCTATTTTAGTAGAAATCCGCAATCGCATATCAAAGGTCACTAGAGTTTAAAAAGAAATCTGCCAACTTTACGTTAATAAACGTTTCGTTGTAGGCTAAAATCTAACCGCAGTAGCCATTTACAAATACGTACGATTAAAAAGAACATTCACGACTGTTCCGTGTCAACAGAGCGATGCATAAAAAAAATAACTGAACTCACCTTGCCAGTGACAGCCGACCACACCTTAAGGGTGTTATCGTCGGACCCACTGACGATCCTATTTCCGGAGAATTGTAGGCACGTAATCACATGTTCCTCGTGTCCTTTCAACACTTTCGGGGGTCTAATAGGTTTAGTCCTCCAATTCATTTTGATGTTATGGTGACGCATATAGGTCTGTTTCCAAGGCGAGCCGCTATTAATATTCGCCATTCCATTCATGCCATTACCACTTTTTGTCCTTCTCTTCGGCAAATCTTTCAAATCTTCAATACCAGCCACACGACACTTATCCTTCCACAAAAGATTGTCGTCAGCGAGAAAACGCCACGAACGACACGTTTGAGCTGCTCGCAAAAGGTCACGCGGTTCCAGAAATGCGAGCACACAAAGGGCGAGCTCCTTCGGAAGAAGGGATATGAAATCCCGTTGAAATTGAGGCTCGATTACTTGCATCATGTGCCGCACCTGCGTCGGTTCGCAGCGCTCGATCAACTCGTCTATCGCCAACATCCGTTCCGCGTTTGTCCACCTCTGCAAAAAAAATTGATTTTAAAGTTCATGGTTGGCTTTTTTTATGAAAGCGTATTTCACGCTCCAAATAAAATGGTAGGAGTAAAAAATGATTACCTGAAATTGCAAGAGCCAATCACTCATTTCTGGAGGGGGATTGTCCTTGGTAGGTATGATTGGTCTGCCACCATGTTTGACTTTCTCATCGAGCCTCTTAAGGCTTCTGCAACAAATTAATAATGATCATTCGTTGAAAAGTCAACAGATTAAACTCCTTATCTCAATCCCACTTAGATTAAACACAATAATTGATAGAGGTTCAATGAATGAGTCTATGCACTCACATAGAAGTTTTGTCTTCAGGATTAAGCTTTTTACATGGTAAACTGGACTCAGTCTCGCTTTTGCGCTTCCGCGGCGGTAGAACTACGTCCAAGGGCACGCATGTTTCCAAGTTTGGACTTTGGATACGTTGTGGTGACTGGGATTGCCTCTGGATGGTGAGGGATTGACAATCTGACTCGTCGATATCGTCGTCGCCATCTCCGTCGCAAAATAAACCAGAGTCACTGATCTACACAGACAAAAAGAGAGGTTATGTTAGGCACATGGCTCGTATGTGTAGTTTTTGCAAGTAATTTGAAATTTTTTTACCTCGCAGTCTTCCTCAGTGCTTTCCTCCTCCTCTTCATCAGCAGTCTCGCCAAAGTCGTCCAGCTCCTCATTACTCTGTTCTGCCAGGGCAATTTTGCTATTGAGTGTACTGCTGGGTCCTGCAACACTCTCAACCACTCCTTCGACAGGGCTTGGACTTGTTCCACCTGTTTTTTCGTTTGTTATCCCCTTGGACGTGGCTGGAGGGATAGACATTACTAGCTGGTACTAAAAAAAACAATTACTTTGAAATTACTACTCATTATCATACGCATACGCCCACGCGTGTGTATACACATACAAACACGCGCGCGCGCATACGCGCACACGCGCACACACATGAAGGGCAAAATTACAGTTCTTAATAAAATATTTGTAATTTGGTAATCTCAGATTGCTGAACCGTTCATTTTATAATCGGTTTAACAGTGACGAAGTAGAGGTTATTTAGCATACACTTATACACACGTGAAGTGCTTAATCATCAAAAAAGAGTAGAACTGCTTGGACGTTGTTCCTTAGCAACAAATAAGATTATCACAACACATGCAGAGTGGCAATACAGCGTGTTATACTTGATCGTCGTCGCCTGACAAAACAAACATCATGATGAAACCACAACTGCGTATCTCGCAAAAAAAAAGGAAAAAAAGAAAAATAATATGAAAAATACACATTAATCGGAGAGCTTTTCTTTTCTTTTCCTCTCTTTCCACACACACACACACACACCCTCTTCACTCTCGCACTTGTTTGTTCCCACGATCTCTTCTCTCTCTGAAAACGTGCGACGACCTAACCTTGACATCACCAAGTAATTCTTTTCTCGTGAGCTCTCCCTCGGTACTATTAGACCACACCCCGAAGTGGGCACATGTGCCGCGACGACGACGAGAAGATGAATTTTCTTCGATATTTAGCGAGCAACGGCGATAATGAAAAAACTAACCTCGGAGGAAGTTCGCGGCGGGCAGCAGCACGTTCGTCGTGGCGTTAAAAGGAGCGGACGGACGACGAGCAGCTTCCCGGATTCTTCATGGGCACCCACTGACTGCTCGCAGGCTCACTGCTATAGCCGTGTGCTTGAGAGAGCGCTGAGCTCAGCTTAAAGTCAGTCGCCCTACTACCGCTATGTTGTTTGTGTGTCTTGCCTTACCGAGTATGTGTATATGTAGCATCATTCGCAATAAACTCTGCTGTGGCAAGAGTCACAGCAGAGTACGTTGAAGCGATTTAAGAAAATATTTTGGAAAACTTTGATGTTGACAACGGTACAATTCTTTTTATTATTGCCGAAGGCCACAAAAAAAAAGTTTTTTCGATGAATATTTTCAAACAAAAAGTTGACGGCAGTCGGTATAAAATTACACATATTTGTACCGACGATGATAAGCAGATGGTTATTTTGTTTCGTCGTTGCCTTTCTATGATCGATGAATGGAGAGGCAGGAACGATACTGTGTGCGTTTTTGTTTTGATTATAGTCGTAATTGTCTACTAGGCAGTACTGGGGAGATATTAATCCATGCGACGCGACAAGCCCCGCTAGTATTCTCATCACACGCGGTGATTATGAGACCAGAGACGAGAATTGTCGTCGGTGGTGTTTATTGCCGCATTATTATTCTTTGATGATAAAAAGAGGTTAGAATGTTTTCGTCTACTTTGTTTTATTCTTTAATTAAGCTCTATGTGTTTTAAACTTTTTCTTAATTAATTTGTTGTGAGCGTGTGTTCAAGTTAATTGTTTTTTCTTTTTCATTTTAGAAACTGTTAGTTGGGGAATTGAATTAGAATGAATGAAATAATGAAAAGAGACATTGAACTTGTTCAATCTTTGAAGAAGTCTAAAAAGGATGGTTCTTTGGATAAACTGGATGATCCAGCAATAGAGACGTATAAGTGGCGTAATACTGTTGAATATCAGACATTGGAGCATTGGTTAACATGTGACAATGAAGAAGTAAACAAATTAATAAAATGCTCATTACTGTATGAAATTACTTGTGCTTTACAAACTTGATTGTTTCAGCTTCGACTCCATACTTTTGAACTGCTTACGATATCTAAGAAAAGTACATTGCTCTTTACAGCAGCAGAACTGAATTTAATTTTTATTTTTTTGAGATGTAATATGAAAGAGAAAATTGAATTTGTTCCTTTGGCAAAAAAGGTAAATATTAAAAGTGCAAATTTTTTTAACTTTCAGTTAATTCTAGAATTGTTTCAGGTTCTTAAAAGACTAGAGGATAGTTATGTAGTTCTTAAACGCCAATTAAATAATGAGAAAAAAGTCAAGGAATTGCAAAAACAACACCCAAACATTCATATAAATGTTAAAAAACTGTCCAATGTACAAAATGGAATAGAGTATTACAAGAAATTTGTCAGTTCTTTACACGAATTGTGCTTTATGAATTTGTATCCTAGTGCTGTCAATGCTCGTAGAAAGTCTAGTCTGCAAATACTGTGTTTGATGGATGAATATTTATGTGAAGATTTGAAAGGTTCATTGTGGGAACTCAGCCAGTTTGAAATATTATTTGATTGCTTACTTCAAGATACCTATGAGACTAATAAAAATATGGCATTTCAATTGATCAAGTCTAGTAAACTTGTTGAAACATTCTTTGATACTAAGGAAAAACTATTAGAACTTATACATGTTGCTATAGAACTGGGCAATAGTATTAGACCTCTAGGTAGTATTACTGCAGCTTATATGTTGAAAATAAGTATGTTGCTGCCAGACATACAAAAAGTTCTAGTTGAACTAACTGAATTTGAGAAAACTGAAAATGCACAAGAGAAAACTACTTTTTACATGATTTTATTGTTGAAGATGAATTTGGAGGTGAGTTTTAATATTTTATATTATAAATTTGATTTATTTACTTTAATTTGCATTTTTTCATATGAATATTAGAAATCAGTAAAAATAGCTATTGAAGATATAGTGCTTGCTTCAACTGGTTATTCTTTATATGGATATGTATATTGTATTCACAGTATTTTGTCCGCCATTGACCTAAAGTGAGCATCATTCTCACTATTAAATGATAAAATTGTTAAATTTTAATTAATGCAAAACAATGTTTTTTCCCCTAGATCTATTGTGAATGATGTATGTTGGAGGGATCTTCTATTAGAAATTGTAAATATGTGTTTTAAGCTAAACACTGCAGTCTCTCAAATTGTAAATAGCTCATCACCAGAGGGACACTTACCAATGGATTCAGATCCAGACTCAACTAGAATTGAATTGTGCAACTTTGTCATTGTTACCCCACAAATGGTTTTATTATGTTCTTGGAGGACAGTAAAAGAGATTAGTTTATTTTTCGGATATTTGACATTCAATGCACCTATATTCAATGAAAGTACTAAGAGTGGTTTATTAGCCGAAAAGCAGGTTAGATAAGCTATATCAGAAAAGTGACATCGCTGTTTTACCGATAATTTTGATTATTTTTAGTTTAAAGAAATCGGAAATCAACTTGTTACTCTGCTCTGTGAAACAAAGCATCGAGGAGCATTTGAACAAGCTCATGTTGGTTTCAGTCAACTGTGTAGTAGGTTATGGCACTTGAAAGAAAATGAAGCTACTTTGAAAAAGTTACCAAAAACTTGGTTACAGCAGTTATTATTGGCTGTTGTTGGATTGGCACCGCGAAATTCAAAGTTATGTGCTACCAGAAGGAGTGCTGGCATACCTTTCATGGTGCAGGTAAATCTTATTAATTTTTAATTTTATATTATTTTAAGCTTGCTCGAAAATATTTATAGCATTACTTAATTATTTTTCAGGCTCTCGTAACATCGGAGATAAAAAAAAAAATGGATACGAAAAAATTGATTTTCCACTCGGTTATGAGAATTTTATTGCAATTAGTGAACATTGAAGATGACTTCAATCTGAAAAAAGCAGAAGATATTCTATTTAACGAAAGTGTATTCGATGATTTTGAGAAAGCGCAGTCTCTCGACGATTTGAGTAAAGCTGAAAACAATTCCGTCAAATTAAACGAAAACACAGAGATTAAAACTCACGCATTAAATATTTTAAGAGCTCTATATAGACATTGTTTATTAGGGGATTTAGTGAAGGAATATATTGCTGATGGGTTCATTGCGGCTTTTAAAAGCTACGACGGTCAATCGTGGGCTGTAAGTGAAAACTTAACTCTGTATTTTTTATCAACCATTTTACAAGTTAAGGCATGAATATTTTGTTCATAGGAAAGAAACTCAGCAACTCTTTTATTTAGTGCACTCGTTACTCGAGTATTCGGCGTTCAAAGAACGAAGGATCATGTTAATTTGACGTTGCATAATCGTATGACTGGAAAAATTTTTTTTGAGAAGTTTCCTAGTTTACTGTCGTTTTTATTAAATGAATTGTCAACTTTCGTTTGTGAAAATGAGGACCAAATTAAACCTAAAATTCAGTGCATTCTTTTGATACTAACTCGACTTTATCCTGGCGTTGCTTCCAATACTGCTGAAGAGGATTGGAAGGTTTGTAAAATTATTGTTTGTTCTTTGATGAGCGTATAGATTGAAATAATGCAAATATCTATTTATTTATTTAATTTTTTGCAGATTGATCAGTTTATAGATTTAGTTTCCTTGTGCGGAAAAAGTAGGGTATATCAAACGCGGGAACTGGCTGCAAGAGCTTTGGTGCCATTAATAACGGAACAAAATATATTACCTGTATCTAATAATATTTTGAAGCTAATAATCACTTATAGAATACCTATCAATCTATTGCACGGATATTTACTTCAGGTAAATTATAACATTTTTTTTAATCAGAGAAACTTATTAATGTCTGCTATCCATTTTTAGCTTCTTGAGTTGATTAAAAGCCCACACTTTTTGGCGATTAAATTGCCAGAAGAAGATCTGAATTCTTTTTTCAAAGACTTTGTCTTGAAAGTTTTGCATTCTCAAGAGTTTTGTATTACCAATGACAGTCCAGCGACTTACCTCATAGCAACTAATATACTTGAAATTTGCTTGGAATTGATGAATATGAATGCTTATAAGTAAGTCCTTCACATATCTTTTCCGAGCCAATCAATCTCGAAAATGAAAGTCAAAATTAATCTAATTTATGTATTGTCAGTGATGTCATGCACAAAGAACCATTCTCAGAAGTCATGGAAAAGCTATTATCACATGTAACGAACAATATAATACTAGATAAAATGCCTGGAATCGAGATTTATGAATCCACAGCAACGCAAGTCATTATCACCGCAATCAACAGCGAACATTACACTGGACCGTTGTTAAACAGCGAATACGCAAATACACAGTTTTGGGAACGAGTGTTAAATCACAAAAACCCAAAAGTTTTAACGATCGTTTGGTTGAATCTTATGAATTTCATTCGTAAAACCAACTGTCTCTCGTTATTCGAACTTGGCTATATGACGTCGATTAAAGTCCTCGACGAGCCTTGTGAAGACCCTGATTTACAAGATTCGATATATAGCTTTATTTTCTCGGCAATCGAAGAGATCGAGAAAGAATCGACGTTCGTTCAATGTAACTTTTCGAAGAATGAAGAACAAGTGACTGCTGTAAACATGTGCGTGCATATATTTAATACGCTCAGTCATCAGATGAATACCAATGAATTTTATCCGAAAGGCGAGTTTTTCAAGTTGATTGGTAAAACTTATGGATTTTTGGTGAGAAACGCATCGAATAGCGAAGTGCAGAAAGATTCGAAGTCTACACTTTATGAAGCGATTCTCAAGTATTCGGATATGAAAGCGAATATTGATTGTAGGCTTGGCATTTCGGAAATACTTTTTGAATTATATGTCGATCATTCCCTGAAGGATGATATTCGTAAGAACATTTTTCTTTCAAGTTATCTTTTGGTTTATTTAGTTTTTCGATAAAATGTTTTTTTTCGAGTATAGATTTTATGCTGAATTGGTGGACGACGTTGTTTCAACTTCTCTACGATGACAATGGTGAGGTGCGTTTGAATGCCATGCTGATAGTCGGCAAACTGTTGCCGGAAACGAGTCTCTACTGCGACACCGTTGTCACGAACACGTTCTACGCGAAATTCGTATCGATTATGAGGGAAGAGAATATGGAGGCGATACTGGCGACTTTCTTTTGTTGGAGTATGACTTCAGCATCTATTGATCTCGAGGAAATGGACGAAACTAATGTAAGTGTTTTTTGTTTGTTTACTTAACTGTAAGATTCAATATACTCGTAGTTTTTTTTATTGAATATCCCTTTTCAATGGTGAAAATCATGTAAAAGAATTTTAAGATTGTAATGTATTTTTGTTTATAGTTGGACTTTTAAAAAATGTATTTAAGAATTTTTAATTCTCAAACGTTGTTACAAAATTAAAATCTACATATTAAAGAAATCGAAAAAAATATGCGATACGGTAAAAGTAGTTTAAACATTCAAATTCTTTTGAAAACTTTGAATTAGGAATGACACCTCTTAATTAATGAACTTCTGTATACAAGCACCAAATATAAAATCGATTTACAGGCGTTCAACCACAGCGTCAACTACGAATGTTTCGAACCACTCCAAATCACAAAGATCTGTGCACTCCATTTACAAATCTTAGTAGCAAAGTACAATGTCACATCTACAGCAATATCAAAACCCGTGAAAGAGTGGTTGCGACAACGTCTAAGAATTGCGAATTCGAAAGAATTTGATTCGTTTACCGAGTTGATAGAAAAATATAAGAGTATCATACCAGAAACGGGCAAACAACTGAATCGTATACTGGAACCAACGTACTCGGCGAAACTCATTCGTGAAATCGCCTACATGCAAATCAAAAGCACTGTGATAAGTGGCCCAACCAACTAGACTGCACGATCTTCCAACAAAGTTTTGTCTCTTTTTTTTTGCGCGCGCTTTACTCTTGTTAGTTTTATTCTTTTTATATATAATGTTTTATTCTTTCTTCGGCTCCTTTTTCTACGATAATGTAATTTTGTATATATACAAGTGGTTTAGAGATGAGTTCGAGTGGCATGTATAACCTTGTGAATAAAGTTTCTTATTGTTTTACAAAAAGTACTTTTATTGTTTTTTTTCATTTTCTTTTCATCTGTCTTTTTTAGCGTAGTTCACTATGAATTGTGGTGCCTTCATAACATCGAGAAAACAATTAGGCTGACTTAGATAAGCAGTAAATAAACGATATCTTGAAACAAAAAGTCAACAGGTACGTGAATTTATGCTCGTTCTCTCAAATGGATAGTGCGGGCCCAACTTCCAAAGAACATATTGGAAAATAAAAAAAATAAAAAAATGAACGTAGTTCAAAAATCGCAAATCATTAAAATACATCGTATGTCTCGAAGTTAGAAAACATTTCTACGACAACCAAGGATACTCGAGCAAGGTATAATTTTTATTTCAGTTAAAATTTATATTTTCTACACCAATAGTCTCCAAAGTCGAAAGTCACCAGCGCTCTCACCGTTTTAGAACAGAAAAGACAAAAACAAACAACTCGGCATTTATCAGAGCAATAATCGTCACGGAAGAAAAAGCTCTCGCAAGAGAAAAAGAAAATCAGCGAGCCGGATAGAGAACTAAACAGAGATTCGCAGTGGCGTGCGTTCGATTTCTTATTCACGAAACTGGCGAGCGTCGTCGTCGTTTCCTCCCCAAGGGAATCCTTTCCGCGAAAGAGGCTGCGCGTATATTATATGCATGATACCCTTGCGCGTATAGTTCGCCTTCGTCGCCGCGCGGCAATAAAGAATAAAATATCGAGGAAAATGCTAACGCGGGAGAGATTTTCTGGCAATGCACACGTGCCGATCGAATGTTATTACGACGAGCGCTTTTTTTTTCGAGGGCCGTGAACGAATGGCGTTTAGAGTGGCTTCGGAGATGTGACCTATTTTCGTTTTATTGTCTCTTTCATTTGACTTTGATGTATATGCCACGCCCGTTTGTTTTTTTTTCTCTACTTGATAATGAATTATCACACCCACAGAATTTATCTAGTCATTTTTTATTAAGCCAGCGGTCAAGGTTGCGATTATTGACGCCATGGGTTCTTCTGTATTAGAACGCTGTGGTATCCGATTTATTTTTTTTTGTTCGATTCGGCGTTTTCTCGTGCACGCGAGAAACTAATTCAGTAGGTTTCCCAAAACATTACGAAATTATCGTTAACTATTTCTCTATACAATTAATTTGTATAGTTTGCGGTAAATAAATTGGACGACAGAAGCAGTAGTCGACAAAAAAAGTGAATAATCAAATGTCTCGGATTACCGTTAACACGGAAAGAAAATAAAGTTGAAATCCTTCGGACAATCAATGATACCTTGGACAATCTCCAAAGCGTCTATAAGATGCGACAGACAAACAATCGCTCTCTCAACAAATCACTTTAATTTTCCATCCGACACACAGAAAACAAGAATATTTCGCTGAAAATTTTCACACGCCTTCAGAAAGAGAAACATTTCATCATACCATACGTATGGGGTCATATAAATCCTCTGGCACACAAAGAAAAAAAGAACTTCAAAGCCTGAAATTCCCTCATATATAAAGCCATCGCTCTCTCGCTCAAAAAAACCCACGCATACACACATGCACGAAACTCTTTTACCATACTTACCTGTTAACGTATATATGTAGTTTGCTTCTCTCTCTTCGGGAAGCTCACCTCCCACTCTCTCTCTCACTCTCTCTCTCTCTCTCTCTCTCTCTCTCTCTCTCTCTCTCTCTCTCTCTCTCTCTCTCTCTCTCTCTCTGGTTCTCGCGGCATGTCTCGGTCGCGCCGCCAGTCGTCGCTGCGTTCGCGTGCTCGCCGGAGGTCGCTGCGCCCGCCGACGACGACGTTCCATCCTCTCTTTCTGCTTTTTAACAATTCCCCGACTCTCTCTCTTTCTCTCTCTAACCTTCCTGAAAATCCATTCGTCGTGTACGCCAGCCCTCTCGCTCGCACGCACATACACACACGTGCTCCGGAATGTGACGAGCGGAGAAAGACGCGCCCTTAATTATCTCCTTGAAGAGTTTTGTGTCCCGTAATGTGTGCGCGTGTGCATGGTGTGTCGTGTTTTTCTCATTCCTGTCGGTTGGTGTCCTGTCCTACGTAGAAAAAGTCGGGAGAAGAGGAGTGACCCAGTTTTCCCTCGACCACACCGGGCAGGTGCAGCAGCCATACACGAGGGCAGCCCTGCTGCTGATAAATAGTTTGCCAGACCGAGTGTCAGTGTTGTTTTCCTGCGATGTTTTCAGTTTGATGTTTATACGTTGGTGCTTAACGAATCTGCGGTAGTCAATTGGCGAAAGAGAATTTTTACCGACGAGATGAGGCGACGTAAACATTAGACTTATAAATGACGGTTCATTGAACTGCGTGCAGCGGCAAAACAATCTTTTTGGCTCGCGTGGTGAGTTTTGTTTTCTATGCAATATATATGCGCATTCCCCTAATGCCTTATTGCTCTCTGTCTCTCTCTCTCTCTCTCTCTCTCTCTTTCTTTCTCTCTCACTACTCTCGCGCGCACTTAAAGGAAGGTTAAAGTACGTTGAACTTTAAATCTCCAGTCTAGACGACAACTTTAGCCTCTTCGTTTACTTTGAATATTGTATATTCACATGCGTCGACAATATTTCGTTTTGGCATTCTAAAATTAAATCACGGAACCTATCCGAAATTCTCAAATAGATCTATTCGAAAGTATTATTGTAATAGTTTCGAGCCACATTACAACATTCATGCTATTTATCACTTCATAAAAAAAAATAGTCAAATAATTCCTCAAGTCGCATGTCAAAAAAAGTAATCCGGCAAATTACACACACACGCGAGCTCGCGCATGCACACGTATACGCACATACACACATATAGCTAATGGGAGCCACGTGTAGTAGGTAGCAGCAGCAGCCTTGTTGTGTTTACTTCGTCAATCGTGTGTATTTCATGGTGTTTTGTTCTGGAAATTTAATTATTCAACGGGGTCAGTTTTGTAATTATGAGATAGGAGGAGAGAGACACATTTATTTTCAAGTGCTCGAGGCTTTTTTCGCTCCGATCAGAGCTGCATGGCGTGATATTGATCGATCGATCTTTCAATTGTGTAACGGAGTTGTATTTATTTTGGCGACTCAGCCGTGTACGATAGTGATAGAAACTCGAGTACAAGAATAATTCTCCAATGGCATTGTAGTTGCGCATCGGTTTTCAATAAAAGCTCGTTCCGACGAAAATAGCCCGCACGCACAATGTTCCGTTAGAAATTGTCATAGGCAAAAGTTTCGGTCGGCTTATCGTATCCCGTTGGGAGGACAGTTTTCAATTGTGTCACTGTGAAACAACGAAGTTAAAAACAAACAAACAAACAGGAATGACAGAAAATAACAAGCCATCGCGTTTGTATTTATTTAAAAATTTTCCGCGTAATTGCGAGCTGAAAAGATGACTTAAAAAGGGCGTCTCACCGGTAAACGTGATTTCCACTTAATTACGCGCTTTGGTCCCTTTGACGCGCATTGTTTCCTTTTACAGTGGTACTTGACCCGCCGCCACGCTCGGAAATCAATCGGACGAGTAAAGCGAAGGAGGGGAACCAAGTGTGCTGTTAACACCGATTTACCGCGCACGAGACTGAAATATGCGAGCCATTAGGCAACGGCGCCTATGTATTCGCGCGTGGAAGGCTTTGACGGAAATACAGCGAGGGACGTTGTTCAGATGTCGGCTTATACGGTACCGAACGCTTTTCGCCAGCTGAAAGAGCTCTTGGTCGCGAAGGCCTTTGCCCGAAACGAGGAATTTGCGTTTGACGAGTGGGCGCGGAGTTATGTAATTTGCTAATTGACACGGCTATTGTGTGCTCCGGGCACAGGCTGCATATTAAAATAATTGGCATGAACATCGGCGACGACGATCCTCCTTCATTGACCTTGGATGTTTATTCAAAACGTTGTCGTTAGTTTAATGCACCGGTAATTGTGGACAATTGCGATTGCGGCTAGAGGACCTCGTAGCGAGACAAAATAGGAACTGGCAGTTACATTATCCGACAACATCTTCCTATCCAAAAGAAAAGAAAAAGAATGGGACTACCTGCCGTGCAAAATGAGAAAGATTCTCCCCAAAAAAGAAAAAAAAACTGTTCGACAACTTACCTCGAAACTTCGCGGTCGTCGCTAATGGCTTCTTTAACGGTCAATTTCATCGCCAAACTATCCTTATTGTCGCAATAAATCTCTCGCCTTCTTGAATTTTAAATAGATCAAGTACTTGTGTGCCGCCTGTTCGCTGAGCCTCGGCATACGGGCGCATTTGTTTTGCGGATAACGACGACGTTCGGCGGCTGTTGTCGAGTCGAGGCTGCTCGAATTGTCTATATTGCGAAAGTGTTCATTGAGGTTGCCGCGCGCGCATGTAAGGTCGTCGCGCGAGTCTCTGATTTTCATCGATTCCGAGAAGCCGTTCGGTGCCGTCATTCTCCATTCTCTGCGAATGGAACAACTCGTTCGCACCCGACGCCAGCGCAGTTGTCATTCGTGTTGCTCGACGAGAGGAGCATTCGAGTCAATTGTGCCGACGGTACGCCAAAGTAACATAATTATAAAAGACGAGCGTCGAGCGCAACTCAAATAGAAGCGAAGCATCAGCTTCGCAACGTCTATTCCAGCGGTTGGCATCGAATGCAAAGCTGACGGCTCGAAAAGTGCAGCGACAACGCTGAGTTTTAAGAAAAAAGGAAGCACGTCTATTTTACGAAAGATTTGTTCAATGGCGTAACGAGCAACTCTCTCCTTCCACGGCGCACACGCAACCGAATCGACCTTCTCCCACGTGCATTTTGTTTTTGTCGCAACAGCGGCAGCCTTGCGTAGGTCGTCGTGGCGTTAGTTGCGTCATCGCGGAAGCGACGCAGACCGGCGCCCCGATATCGCCTCTGCGCGCACGGAGCATGCAAATAATGTCAGTGTGCCGTTAGCCTCGCGACCCGCTTGCGTAATGTGCGCGCGCGTATTGTGTCGCGCGCTGGCC